TTTTTTTAAAAATATTTTATAAATAAAATTTATATTATATTTATTTTATTATATTTATTATACATTTTATAAATTATTAATATAAATATATTTTTATTTATAAAATAAAATTATTATTATAAATTTATAAAAATTTATTAATTATATTATAACTTTTTTTTTAATAAAAAAAAATTTATTATAATTTATTAAATAATATAAAATAAATAATTAAATAAAAATAATATATTAATTAATTAAAAAGTTATAAATATTTATTTTTAAAATTATAATAAATTTTTAAATTACTGGTTTATATTTTAAGAAATTCTTAATATTACTTTAATAACTTAAAATTTAATTATTAATTTTAAAAAGTTTAATTTTTTTAAAAAAATAACTTTAATATTTTTAAAAACGCCTTTAAATTTATAAAATATTAATATTTTAATAAAAGAATTATTTTAAATTAATTTAATATTTAATTAATTTATAATAAGGTTTTTATTTAAAAAAATTAATAAAATATTTAATAATATTATTATAAAATTAATAATAATAAAAACTTACGTTAAATATTTATAAAAAATATTAATAAATATAAAGTTATAAAAATAATATAAAATATTATTTAATTTAAATATAATATTTATAAATATTAAAATTATTATAAAAATAAAAAAATAATTAAAAACTTAAAAATTAAATAATTTAATTATAATTAATAATTTTAATATTAATTTTAAAAATAATATTTTATTAATTAAATTGGAAATAAAAAATTATATTATAATTAAAATATAATAAATTATAAATTAATTAAATTTTATTTAATTAAATATTATTAATTTAAAATTAAAGTGTTTATTTTAAAAGTCTAAAAATTCGAGGTGGCCCTTACACGGGTGGCCCCAGTAACGGTGCTTTGACTTATATGTTACACTAACGCCGCCACGAGACTATTTTCTTGGATTCTCCAACGACTATTGGCATCATGAGTAGCATCGTAGGGTACACACCATTCCGCAATGCGCTCGAAAATAAAGCCTCTACCTGACTAAACTAGACGACATGATCATATCGACCATATTTAGATTACCACTGTATATAGCCTCGGGTAATATTATAGTAGATAGTAAATATAAGTTACTGCTCATTGCGAGTTAATTCAAAAGAATTGCTTTGTTCAGTTGTGTTGATTTATTGTCAGGGGAACTTGCGTTGGTTGTTACCTACCCCTATTTTGTGACTTATAAATTATTTCACTAGAATATTTTGTTACTATTTCCTACGTGCAGTTCCTAGTCATAAGAAGGGACATAGCAACATGGGATCCTTACCAGAAAAGCCCAACACTCCTGAGACCCTCGACTTAATTGTCGTAGGTGCTGGGATATCTGGTATCAACAGTGCTTATAGACTGCAAACGGAGTTTCCACGAGCTACGTTTGCCGTCTTCGAAGGCCGAGACAGTGTCGGCGGCACTTGGGATCTCTTCAAATACCCAGGTGTTCGATCAGACACAGACCTCTACATGTACGGCTTTACATGGTATCCCTGGCCGTATCCCAAAGCCATCGGACAGGGTAGTGAGATAAAGGAATATCTAGAAACATGCGTGTCTAAGCACAACCTCGATCGCCATATTAGGTTCAGGCACAAAGTCTTATCCATGAGCTGGTCTTCCAAGTCAGCACAGTGGACTGTGACCGTGAACCATGACGGCGTTATTACGGAATACAAGGCACGCTTCGTAATTCTGGGAACAGGATATTACGACTACGACACTCCACGGCAGGCTCATATTCCTGGCATTGAGAACTTCAAAGGCCAGGTTATTCACCCCCAGTTCTGGCCTGAAAACTTCGACTATACCGGCCGAGATGTAGCCGTCATCGGCAGCGGAGCAACAGCCGTTACACTTTTCCCCAATCTAGTGAAGAAGGCTGGCAGAGTTGCTATGATACAGAGAAGTCCTTCTTACATATTAACGGTGCCAGACGATGATACCCGTCCGGCATGGATGCACCCATTCCTACGAATTTGGAGCACGCTCTTCTCTTGGTTCGTTATACTATTCTGCAAGTATTGTCCTATGTACGCCAAGAGCTATCTCATCAATAAGGCGCTTCCACAGCTGCCAAAATCTGTCAACATTGATCCTCACTTCATGCCTCGGTATCTACCCTGGGAACAGCGCCTCTGCTGGGCTCCCTCAGGGGATTTTTACCAAGCTCTCCACGATCCGAGAACAAGTATCGTAACCGGCGCAATCAAGCGTGTCACAGATAAGGCTATAGTGATGGATAACGGCCAAGTAGTCGAAACCGATGTGATAGTTACAGCGACGGGGCTAAGAACGTTGCTCGGTGGACATATTGATATCAGAGTGGATGGAGAAAAGATGGAATGGGGAGGCAGACTCATTTGGAACTTCTCTATGATCCAGGACATCCCCAACATGATGATCGTGATGGCATACGTCAATATTCCATGGACTATAAACGCCGACATAGTTACTAACCGCTTTTTCCGAGTCTTGAAGCACATGCAGAAGCGTGGCGCTAGGACTGTCGTCCCACGCGTTCCGAAGGACTCGAGGATGAAAACCGAGCCATTCTCTCCTCTAACATCTACCTTTTATGCCGAGGTAGAGGACAGGATGCCTAAGTATGGTACGAGCGGGCCGTGGAAAAGAAAGGTTAATGTTCCCTTTGACTACATCAATGCTCGTTGGGGCGATGCTACAACCGGCTTGGAGTTTCACCCTTGATCGATGTAATCAATCTTAGCAACCAACAGTAGTGAGTTATTTATGTGTGAAATAAAGGGATATGCGTCTAGAGGAAGTATGATCGGGGGGAATTCGGGTTATGGGTATTTCACTCCATCAAGTACCTACACAACACTCCTTTCAACTCACAAATGAGCTTAGTACCTAGTCTTATAATACAAGTTCCTTCGGTTTCATGATATCACGTCCTAGTTATCTCATAGTTGCCTTAGTAAGTACCTACGTAGATAGACATCGTTAGCAGATGATTTATAATAAACACACCCGGCTAACGCCTCGAAGTAGATAAGGGTAGCCTTTAGCGGGCTGTAAGCGGACAGCAGCGGACTATTGTCAGATGAAGTCTCGGTCAGACTGCTTCACGTGATCGGACCTGTCTATCGTTTTGCCTACGCGCAGGGCGGACTTCACTTGGGGCGTCAGATATTCCGCACATCTAATGGGTTGTCGGCGTTAAAGATGTTAATTTATGCTTAAGTGCGTGTATCCTGTAGAAATCGATCAGTGATTAGCAAGCTATGAGGTAGTAATATAAATATCGACCATAATGGCCTCATCATAAACACAAAATCCCACACATCCATTCCATCTATCCTCAAACATTTCACAATCTCTCCCCCAATAGACTCTTACCAATAACAACATGACTCGACTCGTATGGCTTGTCACTGGCTGCTCTTCCGGATTCGGGGAGATTTTGATCCAGCAGATATTATCTCGAGGGGATCTTGCCGTTGCCACTGGACGAAAGCTAGACAAGCTCCAGCATCTCAAGCGACTCGGGGCGACTATATTAGAACTCGATGTCACCTACTCTCAGGAATCGATCAATGATACTATCGCTAAGGCGATAGCCGTATACGGGAGAATCGACGTACTAGTCAACAACGCCGCGTTCATCACGACAGGCGGGTGGGAGGATATTGAGTAAGGAAGAATATATCCTAATAGAATCCCTTGCTTACAAAATGCTAGATACGATCAGCTCCTCGCCCAGTTTGATACGAATGTTTTTGGAGTGTTCAAGGTCACACGCGCAGTCCTTCCTCATCTAAGAGAGAGGAGGTCAGGCGTCATGGTATTCATCAGCTCTCTCTCGGGCTGGCATGGGCATCCCTTTACCGGCCCCTACGCCGGGTCTAAGTTTGCTCTAGAAGGTAATAAATTTGTGCCACCAAAGTCAGGTTTCGTTGTTAACTCGATGTAGGCCTCGTCGAAAGTTTGAGTCGGGAAACGGAAGGGTTTGGAATCAGAACCTTGTTAATCGAGCCCGGTAGATTCCGAACGATGCTCTTGTCGCCGAGCAACCTACGTGCGGTGACGTCTAGTATCCCGGACTACGCGGGGGCCTCGAAGGCCAATATGGACGGGCTAGCAAAGGAAGATCGGATGCAGCCCGGCGACACGGAGAAAGCAGTCAAAATCATCCTGGACCTTGTTAGAAAGGAAGGGTGCGCGCTGGGGAAAGAAGTGCCGTTAAGATTCCCTCTGGGTAGGGATTGCTACGATACGATCAAAGGGAAATGCGAGGAGACTTTGCTCTTGCTCGAAGATTGGCATGATGTTATTAATAGCACGGATCATGATAGCCACCCTGCCACCCTGCGCTGAACTAAACAGGGATACGCGACTCATGGATAATATACTACATACTTCGTAGGTTACGATTATACATCCTCTGTACTCAAGTAATTGTAGCATATTTCTCCAATCTGGTCCGTAAACTTCGTTACCTAGCGTCGAGATCTCAGGACAAGTCTGATCTAGATACTTACCAACCACGTTCCTACTAGTCCATGCGCGCCAGTTGGTACAGGTTTACGGCATAAGATTATTGATATTTTCATTATTAAAGAAATCGTCGGGCCGTTCCAATACCACCCATCCCGTACTGCCCGGTCAAATGCTACGCCATGCGACTGGCCTAGGTTAAAATGTTAGCCATCCACGCAACTTCACCTCGAATCACGATACCATTATAATGGAGCAGCCCCTTGAAGTCCCTTGGTTATCCTGCTTTCATCGGATCACGGTATAATGGCTAGGCAAAAGCATATAGACGTAGCGACGTTGAGGGCTTCTAGGATTGACAATAGATCCGTCCCAATATGGGCCATAGTTGCCGATAATACATAATTGGTCTCGGCTTGTCTTACGTCATTTCTCTAGGTACTCCTGAGCCCGGGGAGATATCGAGTCTCCGCTGATGCCGTGGGCCGGGCTTGGGTCAGAAGCCTCGCCCGGGGAGGACACGAGAGAATTCAGGTTGTCCGTGAGGAAACGAGGTTTCCTTGTCCTCGAAGAGACCTTCTCGGAGGACTCGGAAATCGTGGCCGTGAATATGTATGGGATGCGGTCGGAATTTCGTGTTTTGAATAATGAAATGGGGCGATGAGTTACCGCCACAGCCACGGATATTTTGGATGTTAGGGAATTGATAATCGGCGTCCCCAGCATTTAACAGGTGCAGATCGCCGCAATTGACTCGAAATCTTCGGTTCGCCACATACCGCAAACTAGATAGCCCATTCAGATGCAACTCGACGGGGAGTTTCTCTGTTCCGTCAGGCTCATCAGGAGATAGGCGGTACGCAGACATAGTCTGTGATGAAAGATCATTGCCGCAATAGTTATTATAGGCGTTTGGTCCAGGTTGGGCCGCCGGCATTTGTGTTCGGTCTGGCTTCTCATAGAATATCATTCGGGTAACACTAGTATCTGGCCAGGTCTTATCGTCAGGATTAATACCCATTGATGGTTTCCATAAACAGAGTAAGTGTCTAGTAGATAGACCCCTGTGGCTACCCCTGACCTACTATACCTTGACACTTGTATGCATCGGTATTGGCAACGTTCATAGATAAGTACCTAGGAACAGCCGTGCCTCGTGTGGTATGTTAAGTATCTATCGAGATACCGAGCATGACATATCCCAAGGTTTGATATAGCTAATCCCATTAGTTTCATGCTCTTGTTCCTCGGCGGATACTTACAATCCCGTCCCGCAAACCCATCATTACCAACACCGCTATTTAAAGGGCGCGCACTGAGACCTGCCGTTGCCCATGGACGTACCGGGGTTATACGGATATATGCCCACAAATAGGTAGCCTTTTTATAGGGTAGTTGTATTTGGTCTAACCTAATACTCCTGTGAGCAACATATATTCAGATAGAGAATTGGTAACAGGATAGAACGAATAGATCATAGAACTAGCTCATAGGGGATAAAGACCAGCTAAGAGTAATAAACTATGATACTTAAGCATCGAATAAACATGTAAATACCTGCTTAAGCTTCGTTGATTTGAACGTTTAAACGGCCATGCGTCCATCGAGGTTGACTCTACTACACCTTAACCAAGCACAAGTTCATATGTAACGTCATACTTGAAATAATCCCTTATAAAAGTGACCTTTGCCTTTTATGAGGTTCGGTATACCTGAGGTCTTCCGCTATCTGTTCCTATTGCCTTCCGAGGGTCCTATAAAAAGATTTCAAGGAGGTAGTGGAAGGTATTACTAACCAATTAGGCCGCGAACGCTAGGAGAGGATTCGTGCCATCCCATCCCGCAAAACGAACCAGGGAAAGCCCCCGGTTCCATACCTATTTACCGCTAACAAACGTTGGAAATACTACGTCCCCTTTTCACCTTTCACTCAATCATGATTACTCCATACGTATCTACTTCTATGGTAAATAAGCAGTATATAGGTGTGGACTTACAATTATATCAAACCCTAAATTTTAGTATATCGCAATCAAGCCACATAACGTTCCGGACAACCAAAAAGTAGAAAATAACTGATATTCTACCATCATGACATAACACAAAGATATAAATGACATAAAGGCTACCTGGGCATTGTGGGTTATTCAAGTAAATATTAGGGTTTTAAAAGGGTCTGGGTGTTATTTGAATACTGCGAGTGTGGAAGATATTGCGTAAACGCACGCAGTAATGATTCTCTTTCAACTTTCACATTCAATGGATACTGTGCCTTAATCCTTTATCCTCGAATAACCCTATTAACTCTACAAATCCATTGTTATTCCTGATATATGGTTTATGTCCTCATAAACTATAAATTCTAATGTTTCCTGTTCGTTGAATGTAAATTTTACACTAAGACTACAACTACCTACATAGGTAACGGTACCTACCTCCTATATATCAAGACGCGACTGCGAGCACTCCGTATCGTAATTATACCATTACTATAATCATAAATGACCTAAGGACTACGAGAACTGAACAGAGGTTGAGATTATGATTGGTATATAAATCCATCAGAATATACTATTAGAATTATCTTGTTTATTGATACTAGTTGGCAATGTCTACCGACCCTATCAATGTGGTGAACCTCGATAATCTGATCATCAGACTATTAGGGGTTAAAGACCCAAGAGAACGTTTAAACACAGAACTACCAGAAGGACGACAATTGGAACACGTGGGTAGTGTAGCCCTTAATCAGTTTATTAAACCAGAAGCTCGAGCATCAGTGCGTCGGCTATCGAGCGATTTCGATTGGTATGAATTTCGAGAATACTTACACAGGTGCAACATAATAGAGCGCGATGTGCTCTTAGACCCAGGACCACCCTCATCCGTAATTTATGCTGCCAGTTCCTGGAATGTTCTTTTGGCTAGAGTTCAATCGGGCGATCATCCGCTGACCGTGAAGTCCGACGGTTTGAGATATCTTATATTAGGCCCCCCGTCTGCAACGTGGAATACGGCAGGAGCCCAAGCCGCAATACCAGCTGGAGGTGGAGGTGGAGGAGGAGCTGGAGCTGGAGCTGGAGGTGGAGGAGGAGCTGGAGGTGGAGCTGGAGGTGGAGGAGGAGCTGGAGGCGGAGGAGGAGGCGGAGGTGGTGGAGGAGGTGGAGGTGGCGGAGGTGCAGGCCCGAGTTTAATTCCAGGAAGACGGATTGTGAGACCCGGTGCATTGGAATCACCTTTTCCTGGCTCTCATGATCGGATAATCAGCACACCTAGCCGTCGCCCAGTAGCGCCTGCTGCCGGGGCATCAAGTGCTCGTCGAGGCGCGGGACGTGGTCCAACACCAGGCCGAGATCTCCAGTCGGGTTCGAGACCGATCCCTACTACAAGTGGCGAGGTGGATATTAATGATATGAACTCTCTCGTCGAGGCCCCTAATGCCCAACGCGACAATGGCGAAGGTGAATCAGGAGATGCGGACGAGAGTAGCATGGCAGACGGTGGAAACGCAATTATGAGAATGCTCAACCTCGAGCAAGCAAAAATTGAGCCGCCTGTATGGGAAGAAGTTTGTGGGCTTTTCGGATGTGATACTAATGTCACGGAGGTAGAAGTTCCAGGCCTTAGGTTAAGACTTAGGGGGTATCAGATGCACGCAGTTTACTGGATGATAAATCAACCTCTTCGCAACATCAGGGGCGGGATGATTGGAGACGACGTTGGGCTTGGAAAGACGGGGATGACGCTGGCTACTATCGTAATTTCTCATCAAATTCATAAAGCTTGGCGAGATGTACAGCTCGAATGGGAACAGAGGCGAATAGTGGAGAGACGAGTGAATTCGAAGGACCCCGTTCCTCGATTCAATCACCTTCCCGATCAAAAAGGAGCACAAACGCCTCTCACGAATTGCCCTAGTCAGGCGCAATCTAGATATCGTTTCATATGCCCTTGTGTGCCGGGATCGGTAGCTAATCGGTTTGCGAGTCGAACAATGGCGTCGGCTAGTATAATTGTCGCACCCTCAGATTTACTTGAACAGGTACGTGATATCGAGAACCCCTTACACCCATATCCTTACCTGTGAAAATTATTAATGTCTAGCTGTTATATCTAACCGTTACTTTAGTGGATGAGAGAAGTTCATAAATGGATTGACTTCTCGGATGGAAGCGTTGCTGCAGATATGATATTTACTGTCGCTCACCGGTCTTGGAATCGTAAGCCTGAGTCACACGATGAAGAGGCTGTAGGCTTGACGCGGGGCGAGCTGCAAAATTCGAAAATAGTTCCTGTCACCACGCGGCGTAGCGTGCAATCCCGATACGTTATAATGGTAAGCAACCTCGGCGTGACAAAATTGCTTGATATGTATAAAACGGAGATAGTGGACCCAAAGAACAGAAGAAGGAAGGTATCAATATATGAGCTAGGGGCCGGGTATGTGTTCATGGACGAGGTACACAATTATCATGGGAGCAGGAATAGCTCGACAGACCCTTTTAAGGCTCTAGAACGGCTCCGAGATAGTTGCTCTAGAGCTCCTATTGCCATTGGTTTATCAGCTTCGCTACTAGGCAGCGGTCCAAACCATTGGCGACCAATCATCAACCATATTATCGATGCAGAGCCGCAGGCGGAGAAGGAGGCGCGAGAGCGCGAATATAAGCGGCTCTTACCAACAATCGGAACGATCAAAGAGTTAGACACATATGCAACTTCTTGGGATTATTTTGTTCATAATGATCCGGACACCGATCGTACAGGTAGGTATCCAAACCTCGTGGCATTCCTACAAGCGTTTATACCTTATGTACTGCTTTGTCGACATAAAGGCGAAAAGTTTCGAGAGACTCCAATTGGAAACCCCCCGGCACCTATTCTTTGGGAGATATGCGATATGTTTGACGAAGAGGTCCAACGTTCCCATCGAAGGTTGGCCAGTTTAGTGCGAAGTAAGTATCTCCAGCATTTAATATTTCATTATTTTATTGGTTTTGGCTGTACTGACTTTTGACTTTTTACCCTTTTATAGGTTGGCTAGACGACAAGTTTAAAAAGGCAATGCTGGAGTGGGAAAAAGATGGTAAAAGAGGCCCAGCACCGGTCAAGGAGTCGGTTCAAGCAAACGCACTAAACACCGGAGCTACTTATACTTCAGTTAATGCTTATGAAGCGATCAAACGTTCTTCGACATTCCCAGCAGTCGCAAGACTCGTCTACGACCAGGTAATTAAGTACGAATTACTCTTAGGAAGCAGTATTACAAGATATGCAAACGATATAACGAATGCTCTCGAGCGGGGACTGTCTGATCGAATGGCGAATGAAATTATAGAAGAGAACGTAAAATCCACATTGCGGAAATCGGACTTATGGGATCATCGAGAGGAATTAGAAAGGACGTCTCCGAAGTTCCATAAAATATGTGACTACATCGACCATATAATATATCTGAGGACAAACATTTGGGATAATAGTACCGGATATCCCGACCCGGGACCCGAGCCGCAGGATGGTAGTCGGGTTCGCCATATGTTAATCTATTGTGATACTCAAGCTTCGGCCTTCATATTATTTATGCTGCTTTATCAGAGGTACGGTCAGAAGATTCATTGGATCTATGCCCACGCCGGAATACCACCCAACAGACGTTCCCCAATGATCGGACGGATAAATGAGGACTGTACCGCTCGAAGTCGGAATAAGATACTAGTATCTACCTGCCAAGTGTCAGGAAAGGGCCATAACTTGCAAAGGGCGAATTACTGTATCATTCCCGAATTTCCTCCAACTAGAGATGATCAGAAGCAAGCCGGCGGCCGTGTTGATAGGACAGGTCAGACCATGAATCCTGTTGTCGTTCAATTGTTGGACAATGAAAACTTGGCCGAAATGGTTCGATATCGGCGGAGTCGCTTAAGGGCACAGATGGCGGATGAGAGCATAAGGGAAAATGAACAAATCGACATCAACGACTTCTGCGAACCTCAAGGGGAACTTGTTATCAAGGACCTTGCTATCAAGCAACTATCTTGATATTACTAATTAATATTGCGTGTTAAATTTTAATATATATAGCTCTTACTTGTCTAACAGAGGCCTATAATCTGAATTAATAATTAATATACCAAATGTTTTATTCAATTTATTTATATAGTTGTATGAGGTATGTAATACCTTTCCATGTTCACTCGACTTCTGGATATCAACATTCTTACTTCTTAATATACTTACCTAGAGCCCCATCCTCAAATAGTAACAAATGCCATAACCTTAATTCTAGATTTTCATGGTAATCCAGATGCTAACTAGCCCCGCTCGTCTCGACACAAGTAGCATTTTACCTATTTAGTGTCCATTGACCCCATTCGTGCCATTGGTCCCATTAGTGGCACAACAGCCCCCTGAGCTACTACCTCCGTTAGTAAACGCGAGTTTACTCATTCCGTCTGCCGCATTGACAACCCCCGCGCCGCTCGCAGCTACTTGGCTTGGGGTGCTAGCATAACTGGGTGGAACATCGAGGACGGGATTATTCGAGAAGAAGTTACGTGGACGCAGGAGCAATGTGATGGGCTCAACCGGCATCACAGGGAAGTCTTCCGGAGCAGGGATGTGTGTAACTCCGAAGGTGTGCCATAGCACCACGTTTGTGTCCTCGATGGATTCCGTGCCGTCCCCAATCCACTCTGGTAAACCAATAGATGGCTCTCCCGAAGTCTGAGGTACGTGCCGCCCCGCCGGCCACAGCTGGTCATCTCGATCTGCAAGGTTGACTCCTAGTTAGAAAGACCGCTTGGCGGATAGAGGGGGTGGAAAAGGGGGCAAGTAGTCTTCTTACACTTTGTAACAAAGACCGAGTGCCTGGCGAAGCCGGCCCTCTTCCAGACCAGAGAGCCTTCCTTCGGTAGAAGCCTAGGAACTTCTCGGCTGACCAGCTTGTAACTCGCTGGCTTTTTACTATAGGGATGTAATTTGCCTGTGTTGCAAATGTCCCATGTGCGGCTCGTAGCGCCGTCGTAGTCTGTTGCTGCTTTGCCGGTAGTGTCTAGCTTTGTTCGCTTGGCGTAAAATGCGTTGCCGTAATAATTTTCTGGGCTGCCGACTGGCGCATCGGATGGGACTGCGTCTGCCATGAATACTGTGTTGTTAGGCCCGTCTATGTTGGCATCAATCCGTAGGCAGAACAAGTGTTGGTGATTATGCGCATTGACGCCTGGGGTTACTGTTAGCCACCAATACAAATCTCAGGAATTGTCGATCTTCGATAACTTGCCTGGATACACCTGAGTTCCCCAGCCCTTAGTATCTTCATCAGGACCCATGGCATAAGTATTCAAGATGCCCGTGAGCTTGATCTCCGGTTGGATGGTACCATCTTGCTAAAGTTGAAGTCAGTAACATGAACAATGCAAAACCACATTTGAATTCTCACATGGAAGATCCACTACTTCGTATTAGCATTCAATTACCATATGTCTTTCTAGAAAAACTGACCTGTATGGCGTATTCGTAATTTGCAGCGGTAAAAATCTGCTGAACGATGAGTTTCCGTGCCCGGGTGACGATGACCGATTCGTCCCTAAAGTCGGTATGTTTAAATAATATGCCGTCATCCTCCTCGTGAATACAAATTGCATTCTTGATGGTGCGAAGGCTGCCGGATCTTGTAGGGAAATGCGCATCTAGGTAGTGAATGGAACCCTTGCAGTCACACCCCAGTGTAAGACTGTTGGTCATGTACCCAGCGCCATACTCTCCAAGGTCAAAAGCATGTTTCCGCTGATGAGGATGCTCAGGGTTCCCACTGAGTTTATTATTAGCAAGTCCCCCGTGAATAGATACAAGTTACTCACTAAGGTACCACCATCTCCGCTAGGGAGAGTCGGTAAAAGATTGGGCGTATAGTTCCCTTGTCGTTATAAGTGATGTTATTGAGGATGATACCCTCCCGATAGTTGAAACCGATATGGAAGTTCCAGTTCTGCCACTCTAACTCGCGCCCTTTCATTTTGAATGAAACTCCTTCGGGCTGAGTTATGTTGATGGGCTTCAAGTCGTTACGGTATCCTCCTACCTTTTCAATTGCAGCAGGATGGTAATTTATTGGCGCTGCCTTACTCAGTGGCCGTCTGATCTTGGGGATATCAATAGCAATAATTTCTTGCTTCTCTGCGTCAAATATGGGACAGAAATCTAGAGGGTACTGGTACTGGCAGTCGTCGACATTGGGCCTGTAGTACATCAATGCTTGCTGGAGTCGAATCTTGTTGCCGTGCCGCTCGTCGTAACCAATCGTCCACGGGTCGCAATAGACCTTGTGCATCTCTTCCTTTGGAATTCCACTGATTTCACATTGCTCAATAACTTTAGGGTCCTTCCGGCAGATGTGCTCGACAAGAACTAGCTCTTCCATAGTTATCTAGGCACCATTGTGAGCAATACCCCTATTCGTTGAATATACCAAGACTTACTATGGGCTGCAATCCATCCAGTAATTCCCATTTGGTGATCTTTCCAACCGCTATATCAACCAAACCATCGTAAACCTTACCACCGGGGGCGATTACGACGATATCAGCAATCCTGGGCGGTCGAGGAGTGTCGGTTGGATTTTCTAGCCATTTTGTCATCTCCGCCTTTCGCGGCTCATGGAGTGAAACAACATTGAAGAATACCTCCCCATGGGCCTTTTTTACAATGCTAATAGCTGTCTGGATTTCATCCAGACCCAAGGGATCAAAGGGGTGCGGAACCGCGTCGGAAATTGTAGAACCCATTGCGACTATGGTATGAGGCGTAAACTACGATAAGAAAACGTTGAACGAAACCCCTCTCGGGGATGACACGAACTTAAGTATATCACACGCAAACATATCTTGATAGTGATAATCCTTATACATTCAACTCTCTAATAATAGTCTATAATACGAATTATGTAGTGACACACATGTGATGTATCTATCTAAGACCAATTACCAATAGTATTATACTAGAACTACCTGATAAGAGCTCCACTCGCCGCCTTGTCGTGCTTCAATATCAGTAACTCTGGGCTCAGCTCTGCAGCACTTGCCCCTCCCCCGTCTGATAAGTGATAAGTATACTAAGTAAGGCAAGGGGCGATGATAGGAAGATCTCGGGGTTCCCCTCTTCATGCACGTGTAGGCCAAGGACTAAACTAGTTGCGGGGGAATAGCCGCATATAGTTCCCCAAAGCGGTATGGGCTTAAAATTGACGGCTCTGGATGGTTGGCGATATGCCAGTATGCTTGCTAGTAATGCCAATGTAGATAAGATATCAACCAGAATAAGTCAAAAACCCTTAGATACCTAATCTTTATATTCCGATACCGGGTTCTAGTAGCCCTGAACCCTATCTTTTGCATCTTCCCGAATGCCAGGAGGAAGATCCCGATTCCCGAGTCTTGGTGTTCAGTGGTTATACCTAGAACATGTCACAAACGAATACTGATGTTAGGTAGCCAAGTCTCCAGCCCCATCAAGTCAGTTCTCTTCTAGGCCGATCATGAAGACGCTACTGCACTTTTGGCAGCCTCATTGCTGCTTTAAACATAGCCTTTCATTTGATATCTCTATCCAATACTGATACTGCTAGAGTTACCATAGTTCTAATAACATGCTGTCATTATGTGAGACTATAAAAATCCGGTTTGTGGCGAATGAAAAATATTCAACTTGGGCGACCTAAGGGGATTAATATAGTTGTTTGTTGTTCGAATATTTTTTTAATTATAGAAAGTTGTAACTGATAAGATTAGAATAGTAGCCTTTTATTTCTCTATTTATGGTACTTAACTTCAAGTTCCGGCTTTAGTAGCTATTTTAGTTAACTATCACTACTTAATTCTAACTACTAGCAGCATTAAAGGAAAAGGAGATGCGGCTGAAAGGACGTCATCTCTGACTTATTAATGCGCTTGAGTACTAAAATACTTAATTTATATGATAGACAATTTGAGAGCATTTCAACTTAATTTGGTTATGAATCAGGGGAACATTATCTGCACCGTTAGCACTTTCTGGTATATTATTCATGTACCAACATAAAAGAGGTTAAACAACACAGTAATCTCATAACGAATAACAATATACGAAGCCTTATTTATACAGCATTGTATAGGTCGCTATTCTGTTCATATCCCTTGAAACCCTTAACGATACGTACCTCAGGTAGGCACTTAATATATACCTAGGTAGGTAGTGCCGATATGCCAAGATGTTGCTGAGATGAATGAAAGAGAATAAAGCTACCACACGAAAAGGGCAGAATTAAATATATCATTGTTTTATCCAAACGAGGTTAACGTGGTATTTCCCAGGCGTCTTAAGGTAACTAATAGTGGGACAATACTGGCGTGTTCACTAACAGCTTCGTCTTAGTGAGGTGCTTGGCCCAATTGAGATATCGTCTTACGGACTCTAAACGTAGAAGGGCGCAATTCAAAGGTTATTTCCAAATTAACGGTTCACAATTATGTCATAATAAGCCTATAGTTTCATTTTACAACTCTATATTTCTTACACACTCATGCATCGTCGCTACAAACTCCGGCTGACCCCTGGCTATTCCCTAAATGTTGCAGCTGACTCATCAGATGACAAATCACTAGGTTAAGGATCTTACAGCTAAAGAGTCAACGTGGCTGTAGTTCCTAGTTCCACCTTTTCTCTTCAATACAAAGTTGTTAGGTATTGTTAATTGTTAGGAGAAAAAGCAATAACTACTGAGATCTGAGTTGTCTAACTTGAAGGCTTTTACGCCAGAACAAAGCTATCCATTGTTGAGACACTTATTTATAATACGTTATGGGAGAGAACAATGAATTTAGGGATTCGGATTGTCGGCGCGCGGAAGTACCAGATTACATCGCGGTAAGACTCATCCATAACTCTTCTTCAACCTCCTCGAGTATCTACCTAAAACATTACATATGTGAACCAGGCCCAATGCCAACTGCTAAGTCGTAGGCCCGCCGTGAGAGGGGTAAATTGGCCCAGCGAGCATTTAGACAAAGGCAGATCGACACTATCCGGAGTCTAGAAGAAGAGAACCGCAAACTTCGCAGGGCCATTTCGGCAATAAGCGACGCGGCGGATCGTAATGACGCCACCATATCGCAAGCAATCGCCGAGGCCCGTAAGGTCGCCGGCATTACGACCCCCGAGGCTAAGCGCAAACAACCCGCGCCAGTGATCCCGGATTTGAATAGCTCTAGCTGGTCGAGTATCACTCCCATTGAAGCTACACCGGTTGCAGCTCCTGCGTCATCTCAGGAAAGTAGTAGTCTTGATGATTTCTCATTGGCATCATTTCAAATCAGTGATCAAGCGAATAGCTGGTCACAATTCTTGTCAATGACGAGTTCCGATGCATACGATTTAACGACAAATATAAACGATTTTGACGGCGGCTTGGGCTTGTCCATGTCAAATCCAGATTACCTCGGGGGACAAATAGTTCCCACGGGGGTTTCAACCGCATTCGAACCAGATAGAGCCATCCACATCGCGGATCCCCCACCGGATATCATCCCTTACATGGGTGATAAGGCCTACACTTTAGCTGGCCAAATTTACTGGGCAGCATTAGCTTTCGGTTTCCAAGCGCTACGAGCCATAATCTCCTCGGCGACGCCTCCACCGGTAGCCGTGGACATCATTACAAATCAGTGGTGTTTTACGTCAAAGCGTCTGGCCCTTCCGCAGATAATGCGCTTGATGTACGCGCGACTTACTTTTCGACGCTATGGCTACTTCCATCTCGCTAGCGATAAGCATAGGGAGGAAATAAAGGTAACCCGAATTCTACATCCGTTCTTGAGTTATATTCGTTTGTGAATATTGGAATTGACACAGCACAGAGCTTCTTAGACCCGAACCTAGGAAAACGTCTGAGTATCGCACTATGCGACGAGGCCAATAAGGATGGCTTTAGAAAAGCCGATTTCTTGTCGCCGCTGGACTTCGAGAGAGAGCTGCGGGAACGTTTTCGTGATGATTACCCCATATTTGAGGCGGCGCTCAGAGGTCAGGCGCTCGATCAGGAGCATGTTGCATGCATGCGGAAACTAATACAGCTTATGTCGCGCCAGGCTGTCTGCTTTGGGGACGGTCCAAGATGGCGGCCGGAGTCCGTCGACACGTTGGTAGATGGCTGGAAAATGAGTACAAGACCATTTGCGGTACACTGACTTCCCCTATGAACGTCCTATATGGTTATATTAGATGAGCTCGTCGTTACGCTGGTGCTCCTTGTTTCAGAGATGTTTACTGAAACTAGCGACCAATCTTTTCTAAGCACAGTAAACGGTGTCTTGGACGATTAATGTGTATATAACTGACCTCCTTCCTCATCCATCCTAGCAATAACTTACGTCAATATACAATATATTAGAAATTTACTACTTGTATCGTTACTTGTATCATTTACACAGGTTTTACCTGTGCCAATAGTTTCTAAAATACATAAAAGGGGTAGGGCACGACCATGTTTACACTTGTAAGAGACACCCTTGACTCTGAGTCTGAGGCGCATAAACGATAAGCATATCATAATTGGGGTGGTAATGGGTCACTAAATGGGATGCCAAAATGATCAATTGTATTACTATAGAAAGCCGTCGCACTACTATTGCGTAATGGCGTCACGGAGGAGTCAATCACAACTTTAAATATGCGCCGGGAACTTGAGATAATGTGATTTTTATAGTGACAAACAGTTTGTAAATATATCTAACTAGGTTAATAGCGGTAGTTATTGGGTCGAGTCAAATAAGAAAATGTGTTCATCCAAAAATGAGCATGTCCCGTTGGGATAGGGATTCAAAGTTCCATTCTCAATTATCAAAGAGTAATATATCGAAGTGAAGTAAAAAAGGAGGTTTAATAAAAACCACATGAGAATTCCTATTGTTTCGAAGCCCTAACTGTCGTTTGTTGATCAGGGAGTTCGTCGGTCTTTAAATAGCCGCTATTGCCAACCATTATCCCAGAGTTGATCGGTAGATGGCAGCAGCTGACTCTGGTAATTGTGTACTTATATATCCTACATTTGGGACATCCATAAATATTAACCACTCCCTATACGCATCGGTTGGGCCGTTTGTGAGTTCGTAATCCGATCTTTGAAATTTTGGATCAATACCAGAAATCCTAGCCTCTTCGGTCAATTTGAAGTGGCGGTTCAGACGGTCTTCTTCCCAAAACGCAAGACCCATCCAGTTATGAGGATCCTTATTGATCAATGCCTCGATTCTATCTCTGTTTTCCTTTTCATCAGGGTCGAAGTAAGTTCGATATAACCATGACGGGCCATTGGTCCTATCAGGGGCGCCCCTCCAGGATACCATACTTGTAGGAATCATGGTGGGGATCCGGATGCAATCTATACCTTGGTAGTCGCTAGAACAGTATCCCAGAGGCGTTGTAAAAAATGAGTTTCCCGTTGGGTTTTGCGACATGCATCGGAGGCAATACATGTGGATCGCAACTTCGTCGGTATATCCCTCCGGCATGAATCTAGGATTAAAGACCTCTCGCGCTAACGATTCCAACCCCTTGCTCATAATAAATTCGAGTGTTTCTCCAGCAGATCTTACGCCACGTCCAGGATACAGGGGTAACGAGACGCGGCAGGGTATCTCGTAAAGACGCCAACTCCAATCCAGGTAACCCTCGATCATTCCATATATAGCATCTAATTCTGCCAGGAGAAAAGGCTGAAGTGACTGAAAGAATAGCATTTGCTCAGGAACTCTACCGTCGCGTTTTTTACGGTTTGGTGTATTATGATTATAGTAAAAGAAAAGTGTACAATAGAGTTCATATAGGAGGAGAGCCCGGCGAATGCGGTACGATTCAACGGCTGAAAAGGAATGCTCATCCTGACTATCACTTCCGTGTAATAGGACCATTTCCTGGGTTCTGAGGAACGTCTCAAAACTTTGGGGATCTTGAGATGGATACGACCTAGAGAAGTTGAAGTGAAGTCGGCCTACCCAGCTTTCAACGGTTTGAAGTAAGAGCTGGATACGGCTCAAGCTCGCAAGAGTGCGAGGGATAGCTGGAAGCATGGTATCGTCGCTTCGATTTGAAAATTCTTTAATCCAGTTAGCGTACATCTGTGGGCCCTTCTTCGAATCCATGAAGGGCAGCTCAGACGAGGCTCCAAGAGAAACGATATGATATACAAGATGCCGTATCTCTAAGGTGTAAGGCATATTGGGGTATTCTTCGAACAATAATCTAACAAATGAAGGGAATTCTTGGACAATCACCTCCATAAGCTGTGGAGTTACCGAGAGCGCTTTCTCTAACTCATCTATACTCAATTGACCGAGAATCATGACCTGGATTTCGACCGGACTGTCGAAAAACAGTCGTAGCAAGTTTTGATCCATACTGAGGATAGCTAGGTTTTGTCTTATATAAATAGAGGGCCTGTATAATAATCTTCTCAAGTACTTAATGGTAGGTGGAACCATTTCAGCAGAACGGGCGTACAAATAAGGGAAGGATAATATCATATATATTCATCGCCAAATATTCGTTGTCAAAGAGCTTGTCCAGACCTGATCTGGATAATAATGAAATGAATCTAATTGTTAATGGTTGGTCAATGGGTGATATGGGGAGACAATCAAGTTGTTAAAGACCGAATGAATTTTAAACTAAGCCTATCAAAGTTTAAGGAACATCACATACTGCTAAGGGCTCAATGAAACTATACCATCCACAGGTACGTCGAAACAATAGGGGGAGCGTGATTAGGGAATTACATGCGGATAGATTACGGATGAAATTGGAGCGGTAGATGATCATCTCATGACCTAGAGACCTACGAATAAAAAACCGACAAACGATAATTTCACTAGCTTTTTCCAACATTCTAACCGAAGCAGACAATACTGGAGTTGTGAACGGTAATCCGAAGTTGTTAGTTGTTTAACATTAACAATCTTAGTGTGTTGCTCTTAGTGTGTTGCTAACAGGGCGCTTTGACCAGCTGCAATTGCAGTGATTGCGGCAGGTCCCCCCCCCCCCCCCCCACGCATTTCTTAGCCTTAGTGGAGCTTGGTAGGTTTAGGTAGGCGGTACCTAGGTAGGTACGTAGTACATGTACGTATTGTACAAGGATGTACGGATTACGGACTACGGAATACCTAATGCAGCTAAAGATGAGCTCCGCTGGTCGCGCGACAGTCCTGAGCTTCTTCGGCTTCAATTCTTTCAACTTTTATCATTCCAGCGCAATTTCTTGCTTCAACAAAAGAACATATACCCAAACAAATCTGCCATGGATCATAGTTCTAGCCGCGATTAATAGACTCCAATTCCTCTCCTTAACAGAGCCACGATTAGTGCTCCGGTGCCACTCGAAGCTGGCTTCTACTTACCGGCTTCATATCATGATAACTTCTCAACTTTCTTAGTCACATTTAACTGCGATTGATCATATAATACTTCGCCATGTCGACCAGCGCCAATTCGCTGCCCCAGTACCTGGAACAGCTGCCGGGGACTACCTTTAGGAAACTATACCAGCAGCCTTCTACAGCCTTCGCTATTTTCCGGCGCATGCTTCCTCATATGGGTAAGAGCTTCTCAATACGCATGTAAACTTGCTTAGGACGAGGATTCTCTAACTAGGAGAAATAGCAAAGACTATTGTAATGGCCATACTATATTCGCCGACCCCCTTTCTTGTTTCCGATCTCGATCTATGGGTAAAACCCACCGCAATCCGCGAAAAGGACCAAGCCATCGCCATCCTTCGATCGTTACATATAGTTCAGCCTCAGTCCTTAGCTCTTACCCAGAATTTTAAGAATAGTCTACGCCTCGCGTTAGAAGGTGGGGGCGATCATAATTCTTTTGGCGTGCCGTCTACGCAACCTATTCCTAGCGAGGTTGACCATATGTTCCTGGATAGGTACGCGAGGAGAAAATGGGATGATATACTACACTACGTCGTTTCGGCTACCGGAATAACCAGCATTCAGACGGGCTCTAGTGGACCTAAGCAGTCAGTCAAGGACCTCCTCTTGGCTGGACGGCTGGTTGAGCGTAGGACTGGCGAACTTAAGATTACACACATTGGCTTTTCCTTCTTACTGCAGGAAGCAAACGCCCAGGTCTGGGCTTTATTACTTCTTTGGCTCCAGGCTATTGAGGCAGCAAATGCCAACGGAAGCAAGTCTGACATGGATCACATTGATATGTTATCGTTTTTCTTCATGTTAGCCTCTCTCGAATTCGGGCGTGCATATAGCACTGACGCCCTCACGGAGAGCCGACGCAATATGTTGCCCACTCTCATCGACTTCGGTCTGATCTACATTCCTCAACACAACACTCGCCAATTCTTCCCTACTCGTCTAGCCACGACTCTGACTAGTAACGAAACGGCCCTTCGAAGCGTTAGCGCCGGCTTCTCAGCTGCCGCTAGCGCAACCAGCGACGAGCAAGACAAGTGCACCGTTATCCTTGAGACCAACTTCCGAATGTACGCATATGTACACTCGCCCCTACAAATCGCCGTGTTAGCGCTCTTCTCGGATCTCAAGTTCCGCTTCAAGGGTCTTGTATCAGGCCACCTGACGCGCAAATCCATTAAAAATGCCGTCAGTCACGGTATCACGGCGGATCAGATTGTCTCGTACCTCTCTACGCATGCGGACGAGCAAATGTACCGGCACGCGGCGGCAACCAACAAGCCCGTATTACCTCCCGTCGTCATCGACCAAATTCGCCTCTGGCAGCTCGACACCGAGCGTATATCTACCCGCGACGGCTACCTCTTCAAGGAATTCGACGAGTACAAGGAGTACAAAGCCGTAGCCGATTTCGCGGACAACATCGGCGTCTGCGCTTGGCGTAACGATAAGAAGGGGATCTTCTTCGCTACCAAGGTCGAGCAGATTAAGGATTTCATGAGATCTCGGAGGAAGGCGAACGAAGGGGGCAGTTAAAAAGAAAAACCGAGTAATGGAGGGTAAACTGAATCATCTTGCCTACCTATTTTATTCGGCGCGAGTGTCTGCCCATTTATTTTATTGTTTAAATCTGGTCATTCACATCATTAGGCATAGGAGTTCTACGGTTTATAAGGTGCATTAGGATACGGTGGGAACGATAGGGGCGCATTACACAGTTTACGATATGATTAAGGTAGACAGGGTTTCACAGGCATTCTTCGTATAAGGCTCTCGCCATAACCGCGACGGGTAGAATTCAAAAGTTATTCCCAGCAAAAATGAAATATTTCCAGACGAATGGACTATATTATTATCACTCAGGGTTCATAATTACCTAGGTAATGAGCCGGTTTATTATGTATTACTGATCATAACTGAACTGGACCGGGAGTGCGCGTCTTTGATACGGGCATTATTATTATGCAGTCCTAAAGTCCATGAGGTTCGTTTCTCGTAACATATCGTACACACGTCTAACTATTATGCTTCCAGGTATGATTAGTTCCACCTCCGTTTCGTGAAGTTTCCCCCTCCTAGAATAACCGGAATGAGTATTAGTATTAAGTCCTTCTCCGCATGACACATATCCACCTCCTTTTTTTCTTCTTTTTTCCCCCCTTTTTTTCGGTTCTTTTCATTATAACATAACTGCGTATAGCAACGTAGGTAGTTAGGTAGAAATAGTATAGCCCGCACTAAACTATTAAGGGCTCTGAGAGTACCTAACGAATGGAACTTCGCACTGATCACGTCGGGTGAATATTAGTATTAATTCGGATTTTCTTCTTCCCCTCCCCTCCCTACTGCGATCCATTTCCATTACCCTTCTTCTTGCCGCCGCCGCTGCTGCTACCGCTGAAGATGCGGCCGACCCAGCCCTTCTTGTCCTTGTCCTTGTCCTGGTCCTTGTTGTCGTCCCAGGACGAGCCGGGAGGGAGCAGACCCTTCTTGCCGACGAGACGCGCGTAGTCCTGTTGGAACTCGTGCATGCTGTCGAGGGCAGAGCGGTTCGCGCATTGCGCCTCCAAGTTGCGGAATACGCGGCGGACGCGGTTGTCTTCGTCGGTCATTTCCGACGCGGCCTGGACGATGGCGACCATCTCTCCCGAAAGCAGTTGGGGAGTTACGCCGGGCATGCAGGCCATGCTGTAGGAGGTCGGGAGCGCGGCGTCGGACGTGGGCGTAGGTGTAGGCAGAGGTGTGGGTTGGGGCTTCGGCGCGGGGGCTTGGGATTGCTGCTGCTGTGCCAATGTGGCGGCCGTGATGATTTCTAGATTTCGTCCCTTTAGATGCTCGTTGCGCAGCTGGTCTTGCATGGCGACGAAGCGGCCGGTCCAGTACGCTTGGGGCTCGGCGTTGTAGACCATGCGAGGGTTGCGCTGGATGGGTTTGGTCGCGAGGGCGGGTGCAGGCGTGGAAGCTTGGTTGGGAGTCTTAATTGCGCCTGGAGAGCTGCTGTCGCCTTCGGCCGGAGACGCGTTGCCGTCCAAGGTATTAGGAGGAGGAGCCATTATGGGCATGGGCGATCCTATTTGACGGCGTAAATCGCTACGACTGCTATTATTATTATTGCTTTTGTTGCTGTTGATTTTGTTGTTGTTCTTGTTGCTGGTTAGCGATGCGAGCGATAATGAAGATGTCAGGTTGGAAAGCGCGCCAAAAGTGCGTGACTTGGGAATGCCGCTCTGCTTCTTGGGCTTGGAATTTGGCATCGGCATGGGAGGTAGTTGTGGACGTGATGGATGAATGCGAGCTAAATCGATGGAATTAATGCAATCTACACTTGGGAAGGTTTGTTTTGGCAGGTGCTGCTTTTGAGGTTGAGGTTGTTGTTGTAAAGGAGGTTGCTGCAAGTCGGGTTGTTTTTGTTTGTCTGCAGTAGGAACCTTCTGTTCTGCAGTCTGCTCCGTAGTGTGCTTCGTAGTCTGCTCTGTAGTATGCTCTGCAGTCTGCTCTGCATTCTTCTGCTTTACAGTTTGCAGTATTTGCCCTGGCAACTCCGGGATGGGTTCGATATCGTTGGATATGTCAGAAATCACCTTTCGCTTTCCGTTGGGCGGCGTGCGTTTGGGTATCTTCTTAATACTAGATATTTCCAGGCTATCCCTATGTCTTGTTCCAAGGTCGACTTCTGACTGATAAGGGTTGATGTTTTCTGCCCCGAAACGTGGAATGACCCCAGCCGTAGTTGCGGCAACAGAAGAAGTGGTTGCTCCGGACGACTCAGGTACTGAGAGAAGTGTTCTTGATGTTTGTAGCCCGCCTTTCTGGCGTGTGTAAGTTGATGGGGTAGGTAGATTACCAGTTGTCTGCGATTGTCTCAGGGGTCCTGGTGCGTATCTGTCGAAACTACCTCGCGAACCAGATGCGGTCATAGACGAATATGCGGTAGTAGGGTGACTGGTCAATGGACCTGGGTGATTGCTAATAGAAGTCTGAGGGACTGTAGACGCAGTTACAGCCGTATAACCCGTAGTTGGTTGACTAGACGGTGGCCCATTAGTCGTAAAGCCTGCCGACAACTTTCGAGATGATGTAGATCCAGAGGGATGGTTTTGGGAACCTGTATTAACTGGCGACGAAATAACTGGTTGCTGAGTATTCCACGGAGATTCTGTTGCTTGACGAGTGCGTCCAAGTGCGGCAGCGCTCGTGCTTAGTGGTAACTGGCTTGTTCTACCGCTCCCAACCCCAACCCTACTGCTTCTTCCTTTACCCCGTTGGGAATCGCGTCGAATGGATGATGCTCGACGGATGTCCCTTGCCGTATGCATATCTGTCTCAGAGTTAATGGCTCCGGGAAGTTCCCCTCGGCGTCGGGCTCTCGGAGTGAGTTGAGAATCTCGAGATAGCGGCGCCATGATACCAGTGTTCTCTTAATGGCCTTATATAATCGAAAGGCGTTTTCGAGGGGGAAAAATATGATGAACTGCGTCCAGATGAAGGCTAGTGCTAAAGCTGTTTTAAAATACAGCGTGCCGAGAGCGACGAGGCAGATCGCGGTTCCTTCGATGAGGTTATACAGAATAGATAGGGATTCTCGGATTGAATCCAAAGTAGAAAGATATTGTTCTGGATGTCCCTGTATCTGATGATGTTGAGTTGCCATGGACAGGTTAGGTATTTAACCAAGGAACACTAGGGACTGATTGAGTTGTGTTGCAAGAAGAAATCCAAAAGAGAAGCCTGTTGCTCGCGAGATATGGTGTCAGGACATGTAAACGAAACGCACAGCAACCTGAGAGATTGCCAGATTACCAGCTTTTAGCTTAAAGGGCTCCGTTTATTTTCCAGATAGACCCGTAAGGAGACACTGACAGGAGTCGCTAAGGCGATTGCAGCTTCTACATCTCAAGTACCTCCTCAAGGGTACCCCTTCTTGGATTATGTCGTCAACATGGTCATGATGACTCTTTCCTTATTAGAAATATACAATTTTTACCAGTTGGTACTTCCATCAATGCCTCACTTGACCAGACCAGTGACAGACGTGTGTTCGTCAACCCCTGAATCTATGAACCAAGACTCTCAGATCACTCCTATCAATAGGCATATTCGAAGGTTCATTTTTGACCATAAGTGTCCGTTTAGATATCCCTTAAAGCAATGTAATAACGCATCCTGTTATTTTGGGTTTCTATGTGCTATGAAATAGAGAAGGGTAGGCGGTTGGCGATATGGTATTATTATAAGTGCGAGTTGCTTAGAACACTAGAGAACTTACCAGGACCCGGTGAAAAGCAGGACTTGAAGGATGAAGATCCGTGCCCTCGATATGTCAAATGTGTACGTTAGCTGCCTAGATAATATTTAAATATAAAATATAATAGACGAAATATAACCGTTGTGTGTGTGTTATGTGTGAACGGCACGAGAACTGCTTGAGTGTCTTAGTTAGAGAGGATGCTACGGACATGGGTCTGTTAGGAAATGTAGGTAGCAATGGTAGGTATGTGCCAAAGATGTCTAATAACTTCTCATATTGCTTTCTATATCACCTTATTCTTCTATCTTAAACTTGAACGTCTCATCCCCCTTTCCTCTTTCAATCGGGTTCCCGTGAGAATCCCATAATGCCCGCTCTTTATATGTAATATTGCCTTCCCAATCTAAAAGAATAATGGTCTGTCTTTGGGTACCATAAGCACCCTTCATAAAATACCCATGTGCGTCCCTGTGTTCTTCCGGCTCGCTCTTATCTTCGATTGCGTCAAATGCTGCTTTTGCCCTCCCCTCGTCGACCGCATCGGCCATGTCTTTCCAGCCCTGGTCCTCTGCGAAGCTCCGAATGAATACAGACCGCCGAAGGGCATCCATGTGCTCTTGAAAACTCATCTTGGGCTCCAAGGGTAGGGTATCATGATCGAGGACTTTGAAGAGCCGGTTGGTAAGCTCTTCTTCGTTCAGGTCCTTCTCGACAGCTTCTTGTATTGCCTCCTCGATCAATTTCTTCCCGATGTTGACCTTCTCCCATTGAGCAGGTTCTACATAGACGGCATTGCTTAGGCCATATATGCGTCCACGTTCCCCACCTATCCACGGGACCTCGCCGACATGGTCCCACCGATTGGAGATGATGGCGAGCGGCTTGATACCCTTCTCAGTCCTCTGCTTCAAATCGCCGCATACAAGCGAAAACCCTCCGACACCTTTGGCAGCACGACCTTCTAGCATCGTATTGACGAAGTCCTCCAGGCTAAGTCCAGATGGGGCACCCAACCAGGCATTCACTATGGTACCTCGGCTCCTGACCCCGGCGATGGCGTGATCCGGGTCCGGGTCATCTTCGCTCGACTCCCGATAATTTGTCAGCACGGCGAATCGACCGGTTTTAGTGACGCCCAACCATGTTCCTCGCTCCTTACGGTATAAGTCTCGCGCGGACAGTATCTGTTCTCCTGACGGCTGATGGGTCCACCAGTGCGGCCGGCTAGTAGGTCTTAGGATGTATTCATCCCGGTTGTCAAGAGCAATAAGTGCATATTTCGGATGGGCCGTCGTGATAAGAACGATGCACATTTTGATGAAAGGTAAACTCCGAAGGAGTCTTTTATCGTTTACTGGTTGTGTTTCTGATATCTACCTAGGCGAGTAGATGGTTATGGGCGTTTGTCCGAAATGTTTTAATTATACCAGGTAGAGCGGAATAAAATCAACCACTCGGGGACACAATTATAGACGAAATCGAAGAGAGAGAAAATTAAATAAAAACTTCCGCCGTCGCCACCGTCTCAGCAATGTTTCTGTTAGACCCTGCTGGACCGTCAATCTCCTGACACACGTTCTTTTTCCTTGTACGGCGCGGCGGTAATTAGAGCTAGACCATTCACGGGATGGACGAGAGTGATTCCAATAATGGTGTGACACGTCTCATGCGAGATTGAGATTTGGAACGCTGTCAGGAGTTATGTATGTAGACCGCCTAAGAACTGCTGGGCTGATGGGCTGCTGGGTTCCTCGACTGCTGGGTTTTCTTAGGGGCTTAAGCTGCCACATGCGACTTCGGCCGTGCGTGTTGGCGTCTGTGTACTTGAGACAATACCGAGAGTTACACTAATCATCTAGAAATTCAAGGTGCGTTCCGTGTCACCGGACTTGTGTGGGGTGATGGGTATGTGCGATAGAAGTAATAGGTGTAGGTAACTAATGGAGGGAACTAATAATAACTCACTATACGGACACTGCCGAGAACGCTAGAAGTGGCTGAGGCCTAGTAATTCCCAAGGTTTAGGGCATATTGAAGATGTGGAGAGTGGCTGATACGGTGAGTCGTGTCACCCTTTCGTCCCGGTGGGTTCAATTTAATCCCCCCAAGTTCTATTCCGTACATACACCAATGTCGTCTTCTCATCTAACCCTAAGGGATCATACCAACTATTGAGCATCGATAATAGGGCGAATAATTACCAGAAGCGAATGCATCCAATCAGAACTAAATTTGTTATGACTCCATCCGGGATGATACCGCACAGTGATACCCGGCCAAGCTTACCAAGATTCCAAATCAGATTGGCCTCAATTCATTCACATAACCCCGGTTGCTTATAACTAGCGTCAACTGAACTATACCAAACCGTGATAAGGGCAGCATAGAACGAACACCCTAGTCCAAGTATCTCCTAATCTCTGATCAACTTTCACTTTAGCTTCGTCAGTCAAGTCTAATCCATCCCATAATATCAAGGTAGTTACCTATATAATCTTAGGGTAACTACGAGAATTCGGCCAAGGGCTACTAATTACAAGTAGGTACATACTCTTATAGCCAAGTTGGATTTACATCCAAACATGCCGTATCCGTATTGGTACCTAAGGTAAGGGCTACCAGTAAACGTCTTGCCCCTTCTCCTAAATATTTACTATTAAGTATCCGGCATATCTATATGTGTATATGTCCCAGACCCAACCTAAGGTAAAATACCTATACATGAGTATTACCTCTGAAGAACAGCATCTTCAATTTTTCTATCTCACCCTAACCCGATCCCCTCATCTACCTTTATTCAACTCACATTAATTATCCTACAGAACATGTTTATTGTCTTCCAACCTTTATCCTTAGCGATAGTCCCAAGTATTAGAGGCGGATAAACAATGACTCGTTACTCTACTATGGGTCGCGTGCCTATCAGCAGCCTAGACGATGATCAATTCTATAGTGCACCATCCAGTCGTATAGCTAGCCGACATGCCAGCCTTATAGCCTCACATAACTTACAAGAGACGGGCCACGGCGCAATATCCGTGCAATCCCCTAACTCAACCCACCAGTCCGGTTGCTCAACTCCCGGGTCGCCCCTAGAACCTCACACTCCGGGGTCGAAGCAAATATCGAGGCCGCGAGTGGCAACTCCTTTTGCTATAGACTGTCACCATAATCCGAGGCGTCACCATTTCTGCCCGAAGTCTATAAGTCGTTGCTTCCACAGGACGTTCCATGCCACGTCAGAAAGAATTCCACTACTTCAACCACTGACAAACGACTCAAGCGTAGACACCAACGGCTATAGGAGGCCTTTGGTATCATCGCCCGGATCCCCTACTGGAACAGATTGCTGGAGTCCAGCGTACGCCGGAGCCCAGACTCCTTGTTCAGAATTAGATGGAGCTATGCTCGATGGTCCAATTGCCGTTAATAGACAGGCAGCAGATACCATTGTTCGCAATATACGAGCTTACTTGTCTAATAGAGGGCATACCGGTTGTTCAACTCGAACAGAGAGGTCAAGCATTAACGAGAATCTGCCCCCCCTATCAGAATTGTGGGCTGGCCAAAATGGCTTTGGAATTGATCACCCCAAAGTTAGCGAGTCGAGGGCGGAGAGCTATCTGGTAACCACGGATGATATTGCGGGGATTCTAGATATCGTAATTGCTGGTATTTGCCGTGTTCGCAATGATAGTTCGGCAGTTGAATGTCTCTCGATGTTATTACCTAAAGAACCACTGGCAAAGCCTAAGCCCAACATGGACTTTATTGTTCCTGGATCACCCAGCATTGCCGACCCAGCTACGACGATCAGCTATGTCCAACCTTCTTTTAGCATAGCCAATTGCTCCGACTATCATGGTCATTGCGTCGACACGGCTAGAACTACGTTCATTTCTCGACAGAGCATTACCGAGGTCACATAGGGATCCGCCCCGGGAAATCTGGTCCGGGAGATAGTTATGGAGCCTTATGCGAGCATCGTTGGGCCTATGGAGGTCTCTCGAAACGCGTCCACGCACGCCTCGTCATTGATCGCTTCAAACACGCCGTCTATCAGTGACATGCGAAGGACAAGCGCTAAATTTCATTCCACAATTGAAGAGTCAGCCCATGTTCAGGAGCCCAAACTTCAAGGTAAAAGGCGATCGGCGTCCGAACCAGTTAGCCCCAGAAGGTCTTTGGGAGGTATCAAAATCCCCACCAATCGTTATCGGGATGGCTCAATGACAGGTTTCCCAAAGATTCTCTCGAGATCCTGTACAAGCGACTGGTTGACGCCGCTCGGCCTATCTAGCGAACCCAGTACGCCACAACAGAGAGAGATTATACCCGACCTTTACGCTCGTGGTGTAGACGCACATTGCGGGGTTAATGTTTCTAGGCCTCTAGAAATACTCGAAGAATCACCGCGTCAAACTCCAGTTCCGCCTACCGATACCCCTTTTCAAGAATCCATGCTACAATGGCCAGGGAAACTGGATGAAAAGCCCGAGAAATTTAGTAGGAAGACGGGACGTGCAATCGGTGCATCTTCACACCGCCGAAAGAGCAGCTTTGAGCCCCCTGGATTTTGGGCCTCCAGTACGAGCCATGATCTTTTAGATAAACTGCGCCGCTACAGTTTCATGCCATTGTTGGATCAGACACCAGAGAGCTCTCGCAAGGTTCTGCCTCTTCCACGAGTGTGGGATGAACTACCACCGCGAGAAGGAGGTAGGAGGCAGTCATCCAAAGCGCTGCTACAAGAGATGCTGAACGGTAAACCGGCTTCAAAACCGGCTTCAAACAAATCGTCGCGGAAATCGTCCCGGTCCGGGACCCGACGGCAGAGGAAGAAGACTGGTTCGTCGGCGACGCAGAAAAGGCAAAGTGTTGGGCGCGGTCGCGTGTCATGCTCGGAAGATCAGACACCGCATATATGTATGGACGAACAGCTGACACCCTTTTCAGGGTCGGAAACAGCATGGTTCGAGTGAAATAGGTTGTTTAGTACAACCGGGCCTATGAAATAATAATCGTTTTGCCTCTAGGTATGGTTCTATTCTATTGGTTACATTGCGGTTCTCGAATTTGGCACCCCGTTTTACCTTCTGTTGACTTCAGGATATGAATCTCGTCAGATGCTCAAGTCGGTAGGTACCTCCTAGGCAGGTAGGTAGGTAGATAAATTGGATGACCTATCGAATATGCGCGTATAAATACGATTAATAAATCACTCTACCTACTTCTCGTTGTTCTTAATCGTAGCTGTCTACTTTATCACTTTAGAAATCTTGCATAAGTGTGCAAGATATTAAGAGGTAGAGGTATTATATATTAAAATCCAATTTGTCTTCGTGGCGCAAGTACCTATCCAGTGCGTATCAGTGTACCTAACAATACAGCCTATCCCCACGTATACAATATCGTACACGCCTATTCCCAACACATAACTCCAATTACTCCATTATATATTTAATTATTTTTCAGCAGCGTAATCGCCATCCCTTTTTTATTGGGGGTTGTTGTTGTCGTTGTTGTCGTCGTCGTTGTTGTTGTTATATGTGTCTTGGCATCGAAAGCCCCTTTATTTTATTTATCGCTTCCACTGGCCAGCGTTCTCGACGCCCTTGGACACACCCTCGGCGCCGTCCTGGACGCCAGTGCCGACGGAGCTTAGCGCGTCGCCGACGGGCTTGCCGGCTGATCCCGTGGCGCTTGTGATAGTGTCGCCGAGCCCGCGGGTCGCGGCGCCAACTACGCCGCCTGCTGTTCGGCCTACGCCGCCGGCGACGTTACCCACGGTGCTGGTGACGAACTTGGCGGCGCCGGTTACGCCGGAGTCTTCTTGGTTGGTAGATTTGTTCTCGAGAGGCATGTTTGCGAGGGTGGATTTATGTTTCGTTGGTGTGTTGTGTTGTGTGGTATGGTGATTTCGAGTAAATCAGGAGGTAGGTACTTAAGTTTTTTGGGTACTGTTACTATTGAGAACTGACTTGCTTACTTTGCCACTCGAGCGATATTTATAATATATATATATATATATCCGATGATGTCTTCCAAGTCTGCTAACCCGCTACTGCCCGGGCGAAAACGAGATGTGACGAGATGTGACGTCACGGCCTCAGCGGTCTTCATCACCGAAGGCGTCACAGCTACATGTACATACGCAAGAGCCAATCAAGGGTCTTAGCTCTGGTGGCTGGACCTTAATAAGGTTGTGACGTCACGATAGGGTCTTGATTTGGATTCCCCTCTGCCCCTATCTCCTCCAATGTAAGTTGTTTAATTGGGCTGACTGGCACGTGGAAAGAAGTGAGACTTGTTTAGGTTAGTGTTGAGTTAAAGGGGTTGTCTTAGTTGGTATTTAAGCTTTTAGTGTTTGCGGATGATCCGTATAAGATGAATTAGCTCAATAAACATAATTACAATGTTTATTATAAGTCGCCACCCCCTTTTTCCCAGCTCCAAATTTATTTGGTTACTATATTTATTTAATAGGTAACCTCCTTAAAAACGCTGGCTATATCTAGTCGTAGTACTTTTGACTAACACCGGCGATGATCTCCTTCTCTCGTCGGTCAACTAACCCGGTGCGGAACCTGTGGTCTTTTGCGATTCGCGCCCTTGCCCATTCTGTAGCCTTAGTTAGTATCTCGTTACTATTCACCGAGCTATCATCTATAATATCATCTATAATACTTTACCTTCAGCAGTGACATCATGTGAGAAGTGCTCTGTTTCTGACTGTAGACCAAGCCGCTGTAGCAATGGGCTTACGACGGGCTTCAGGAGGATGTTGGCCTCGGGCCGAGCGAAGTAGATCAAACTCAGCCTGGGACGGTCCGCTTGGTCCTCGGGGGGCCGCACTACTCGATGGACGGTGCTCTTCAAGTAGCCGCCGCTTAGGAATTCTAGCGCGTCTGCGATGTTTACGATGATTGCATCCCTTGGCGATCTAACGTACTTCCATTCCCCCTCGGGCGTCTGTACTTGCAACCCTGCGACTGGCTGGTGGAAGAGGAATGTTAGCGTATTGTAGTCTGTATGCCCCTTTGCCCAGATGTTGCCGATTTGGGCGTCCGCTTCTGCTGAGCGGGGGTGGTACTTCATGTACCGCAGATACTCTAAGCCTTCAGCTTCGTAGCGGTGGCGCTCAATGAGATAATCCTCGTCGATCTCGAGAACGTAGGCAAATAGGCGTAAAAGGGGAAGTAGAACGTCGTTGTGAACCTTCAGTGAAAAAGTCCGTATCTGCTCCCAATGTTCTCTGATGAGCTGCGGATGGGGTCGCTCGTGTTCTGGTGTGAATTTAGGAATATTGTAGCGCTCGTCGTTATCCCGAGCGGCGAGCTTCCCTGTAGACTGCGGCTTGTAACCCCGAAAATCCCCCTTTGCTGTATCGCATAGATACTTGGTCTTTTCCTCTAGTGGCAGATCAAAGAATGCCTCGCATAATGCATACTGTTGCCTGACTTCCTCATCAGAGAATCCATGACCAATAACATAAAAGAAACCTGGAGTAGATATTTAGCAGTAGTTATTGTGCATAAACTCCAGCTCCCCATACCATTTTTGTTAATAAACCGTAACACCTGCTCTGCCAACTCCTGCTTACCCCCTGGTTGGTTCAGTTTGGAAATATCAAGCGCTTCCAACTCTGCATACTGCACTATCGCACCTTATGTTAGGACACCAATATGCTGTTCATCGCCGATTATGTACATACATATCTCTTTCGTCTCCGTCGGATATTCATAAGTTGAGAGCGATTCTACTTCGGATGGAGGCATAATTTGTTTTATACCGTAAACTTTTGACGGTAACTTTCTTTCGGTTAAATTTGATCTCCCATCTGTTAACCAATAAGTCCGGTCGTAAGTTGAACCACTCAATTGAGGAAGCAGTTGTCAACTTTCTTCTTCACACAAAATAACCGAGCGGGGAAGTTGTCCCTTCATTTGATGGCCATGCTGCCATGTATCTCAAATATCTCCACAAGCATTGAGCAGTAAAATCCGGCGGAAATGATGTCATTTATGACTTATATGGCGAATTTTACTGGTATACATGCCAGTGTTTAAGTAGTTCTCTCCAACATAGCCATTCTATTCATCGTTCCCAATACGTCAAAGGGATCTCTACTTTCAATAGGTTCTAGTTAGTCACCCTAAACTCATATATGCTACTCAGCCGTCCTCATCATTGTAATAGAAAATTCGGCAATAGCCCTACACTTAGAAGTATACTTGGGTAACTCTGTTTTATTGTGACTATTCTTGATAATATACCCTTACCCCCAAGGTTCTTGGAGTTGTTACGCATTGCCTATCTACCTAGGTAAATAGCACGCATTCGACCTGTTCAAACGACATGAATCCATTCAGACTTGGAGCGAAAGTACAGTAATTAACACGGTACTTCGAACCCAGTCTCTATGTATTATTACCCCGGGATATCGTCTCATTTAGGGGTACGGCGCGGTTCTGGAACGACCTGTAAGTCCCTATGTTCAAGTCCAAAGTTTGTCTCTTGAGGGGCTATGCAAATGCATCTAACGCCAAGTAGGCATGTTAGCACCTGGAAGGAGTTCGCGCATAATGTGCTTAAAACTCCTGAGGCGTCTGGCGAGCTGGAAAGAAAGGGGATGGATGAGGCAAGGAAAGGGGCTGAGCTTATGTTACCGAGTCTTGTGTGGGTTGTGAGAAAAGCGTAGATCACAACCGACGCTCAACCTATCCTACATATGATATTGAGTACCTAGATATTGTGGCCAATGCGCTTTTTATTGTTTGATAGGAGGTAGGCATGGTAAAATTTAGGTAGCTGCTCAAATCAAGTTTCTGAGACGTGTAGGTTATTATACACTATGTCCTTCTCTTGTATATGTTATGGAGAGATCACCTTTTGACTTCGTAATATTGGTTCAGGGATCCCGTAAAGCTATAAACTCATTGATAAACTTCACAATCTGCTCCGCCAAAGCCTTAGGTTGGCTGACAAATGGCATGTGCCCTGTTTGGAAGTCAACTACTTCCCACTTTACCTTTGATTTTTCAAGCCAAAGATCTTGTAGCCATGAAGGGTTGCAGCAGTCCTTCATCGTGCGCACGTAGGCCCTTCTTCCGTCAAACCCCTTATCTGCCCAGGCCGGCGCTGTAGCCTTAATGTCGAATGCCATGAGCGCGTGCGGCTTCATGTACTTATCAAGTTCGGAGGCTAGGGCAGGATCGCAATCATTATATAAGATATCCATGGCTGGTTCGATAAGGGCAAGACCCTCGGACGGCTGTGATTTACTCTGTTAGTTTGTCGCCCTAAATTCTGCCGCCAAAATGTCATATCATTTAGGTTAGGTACCTTGTTCATCTTGATGAATGGTGGGTGTTTCCCGCCAACTGCCTCAAATAAGGATTCACCTTCGAGCGCGATGTTGCCGGCCACATAGATTAGCCCAATAATTCTACCGCCAGCCTGACCTTTGGTTATGCGTGTCTGGATATCAAACCCTTTAGCTGCACCTCCAGCTACTACGCCGCCGTACGAGTGTGCTATAATAACGACATCCTTCTGTTGCTGATCTAGAAGAGGGAGAAGAATGTTATCGCGGAGTGAAGCGATATCATCCTGGCAAGTTGCGGTGCTTGGATCCGGAGGGTCACAACTGGGATACGGTCCTGGATGTGTTGTATATCCCGCGTCTTTGAGATATGGCAATAGCTTTTCGAAACCGTCAGGGGTTCCGAATGCACCTGGAACGAGGACAATTGCGGGTAAATTGTTAGACGACATGCTGGCTTTTATATGCTATGTTGTTTACGATAGCAGTTTGCTTTGATTTCTTGTTGGCAGTGGAAAGATAAAGGTTAGCAGTTAGGTTGGGAGGAGGTTAGGTTAGGAGGTACCTAATGCAAATAAATCAATGTTTGAGGTCCTACGAGCAAACTAGGAGGTACCCGTACTAAAACTTGGTGGGTCGAATAACCCGTTAATTGACTGTTATTTTACCATTTGCGTCTCCAAATGTTCGAGAATTCAGGGTTAAATGAACATTAAGTAAATAATTTTTATCTATTCGAGTTATTTTAAACGTTTAAGACCGACTCGAACGTTTGACTTTTCTAATATTAAAAGATCCAAACGTCCGAGTCGGTCTCGAATATTTACGACGTTTACGAGAAGCCACGGGAGTCAACGGGAGCGACGGGAAGGTATAAATTAGGTACGTATATTATACAAATAAACACGTACGGGGCTAAGAGGTAGGCAGGCAGGCAGGCAGGCAATCAGTCAATAGATTACGATAGTTACGAATATAATGACCTAGTTAAAATATTGATTATACTCTAGGACTATCTAAGAGACTGTCTAGGAGGCTGGCTAGAAGACTGGCTAGGAGACTGGCTATATATCTGATTGGCCATAATATTAGAAGGTAAAGGGGCTGGTTAACTGACTATCTAATTAGTTGATTAATCAATTGACTGATTACCTGTTGACTGATTAAGTGACTGACTGACTGACTGGCTAGCTGACTGATTGGTCGGTTGAAAAGTTAAAGACTTAGCAGAAAAAAAAGACAAATACCTAGGAAGGGAGGGAGGGTCTTTTATATAGACCTATATACCTGTATACCTACCTGTATTACCTGTACAACGTCGAGGATTTATTAGATCCCGTTGCAAGGCCTTGTAAGACCTTTCGTGACTTTTTTTTTAAAAAAAAAAAATCTTTAGGTCCACGGGAACGACGGGAGCAACGGGAGAAGATATATTATCTCAGTATACTCAGACCATAATTTAAGATACGGGCTTCGCCCGTTTGCGCCTCCGGTGCCATACAACGTATGGTCTGTGTGTTTGTATCTGTGGGTCATGGGTGCGATGTTTTTTCTCAAATTATGGTCTGAGGCAACGTGGGCGCTAAGACCTCAGATGATGATGAGAACGTTAACGTCTATTGGTTGCTATAGGCTAGGTAGCTACAGCGGCGCATCTATGGCGCTTTAGACGTCTAGAGTGCCCCCTTACATGAGGGAACAGAGCTAGAGTTTCGCTTGACATGAGAGATCCTCCACTTCCTGCCTATAGCATCCCCAGCCCCTACCTAGTTAGCGCCGGCGCCAGGTAGCCGACTTTTGATCAGGGGGAAAACCGTCGAACACGCTTTCTTATAACGGAGATAGAATCACCCTCAGCGCCCAGCATGCCCAAGGAAAAACCTGAGTCGGACCAGTTTGGTTTGACCACAGTGGGATTTGAACCCACTTGTGTTGCGGCACGTAAACTAAGACCTCAGAGTTGGCAGACGTTTTCAATCAACAATAGACCTAATCTACGATGATTTGATATGTAATAAAAACGTACGAAATACCTTCTTTTTTTATGACTCGGGGCTAGTATTTTGCTTTTTTTACTTTCTTATCTTTTTTTACATACCTGTACGGCATCGGGTCGTGATATCGTAGGCCTCGACATAATAGCATGCCGAGGGTGTTGCACCGAGATTTACACCTGCACCAGCAATAGCAATAACACCTACAACAGCGTTTGCAATCGAGTATAAAATGTTTTAGGGGCTAATAATACTATTAACTAAGCCTTTCCGTCTTTTTTTTTATACCTGTACGGCCTTGTTGCGTGTTGTAACTAACGCGTTACGACGGGTGTTGCGGCAATTTTTAACACCTACAACAATATCTACAACTAGGTACGCATAAAGTAAATTATTTTATATTCCGGAGCAATAATACTATTGCCTGAACCTTCCCGTCTTTTTTTATACCTATACAACATTATATTTTCATGCGTTAGACCTTAACGTTTATTGAGACGGGTCTTGCGGCTAACACGTTGCGACTGGCGTTGCGACCTGTGTCGCGGCTCTCCCGAGAGCCCCGAGAGGCTCAAAACGTATGGATTTAATCGGTAGACTTAATAAGAAGGTTAATAACTGTAATAGAATTAATTATTACTTACTTTACGCGTGTTAATATTGTTGTATTTGACTGCCATGTATGGGGTAAAAACTACCAAGTTGCCTGAGACCAGTAATGCGAGATTTTGTGAGGGTAAGTTGTAGTTAAAGAGGTATAACGAGACTAACGAAAAAAATCTCGCAACTGGTCTGAGTTTCTTAAGATAAACCTATAGTAATTTAAATCTTTCTAAATCGCTTTAATTACTAAGTTTTTTTTTTCTTTTCGTCATCTTGCCGTTTGCGGGCAACAAAGACATGTTTTCATAGGTAGGTAGACACCCTTAATCGACGCACATAGTTGCCGAGAAATATATCTTACTTAGGTAGGCATACCCAAGAGGTAAGATAAGTTGGTAATATCTAATTTTCTACGTTATTCGACTTATTAGTCAAAATCGGACAATCTACCTACTCTCCTATTCCCTTAACCACAAGTTCGTTTGCTGTGATCGGTGTGAAGATGGGGTCTTCTTCGCTAGACTCCGTGGACCTCTCAGAGAATCGTCAGCCTGAACTTTATGCACCTATAACTATCTGTTTCTTCATTGCATTAGTCAGCGTGGCTCTTCGCTTTTGGTGTCGTTGGATCAACAAAGCAAGACTTTGGCTTGACGACTGGCTCATCCTCTTCGCACTTGTAATTATGAGCACATTCTACCTATCTTTTACGTTTTCGCTAATAAATTCTCTATTAGGCATGCTCTTTTGGTCTTGCTGTTGGTCAGTTGTGGTGTAAGAATAACCCTACGAGGCTCCGGCTATTGTAGATACCTACCTACCTAGGTAACTAATACAATTAGGGATCCCACGAGGCCTCGGAAGGCATGTTCAAACCTTTGGGCCTGATGTCGTCAAAATATTTTATATTGGTCTTTTCATCTCTGAGATGACATATACTGGTGTCATAGTTTTTGTCAAATTCTCTATCCTCGCCTTTTACTGGCGTATCTTCAACAGGAGCGGAAGCATCAAGCTCCCGATAACCATTCTCACGACAGCGGTTTTGATGTGGGGTCTGGCAGTAGTAAGTTTCTAGTTTATACAGCAGTATTCAAACCTGACAAGACAGTTTTTCCTTACTCTGTTGCAATGCATCCCAACTCGAGGCATATGGGATAAAACTATCCAGGCTTCTTGCAACGTAGACAGTCAAAAATTCCTCTTCGCCATCTCGATTCCGAATATTGTAATCGACGTTACCATTCTCACACTTCCTATACCTTACGTTATCCGTCTTAATGTTCCAAAGAGTCAAAAAAGAGCTGTGATAACCCTCTTCCTACTAGGTGGTTTGTACGTTATGTATCAGTCCTCTGACTTTCTAGGTGTTGTAGTACTTACTAAGGGTAGCGTTTGTGTCGCTTCTATAATGCGGCTCGTTGCAGTTGTCATTCAGAAGGATGACGCTGATATATCCTGGAATATTGTTAACCAGAGCATCTGGGCTACTGTTGAAGCTGATGTCGCGATAATCTCAGGTGTGTCCTTAAGGCTTATGTTTCCCAAAGTATCGAAGTCTGTATGCGAGTGTTAATTATCAAGCATGTCTACCTACCCTGCGACCGGTATGGGTAGTAATTCGAAAAAGGTTTCTTACCGAACAATCAACTTCATCGTATCAACGTGCGGCCGGAAGTACGCCGCCGAGGCGTAAGCCATCTTCGTGGGCGACATTGATCCTCAGATCCAAAGTCAACTATGAGGAGGATAGCTGGCCATTCTCAGCTGTACACGGTTCTCTCGAAGGCTCTTCACGCTCTGGGCCCGTACAAGAGCTACAGGGGTCTAGCATGGCCACATCAATCCCATTGTCGGATATTCCAGCTCGGGAGATTCAGAGCCCGGATACCATAAGAATCGAAAATACGTGGGAGGTAGAGTACAGCCAAGAGGTTCAGCCTGGGAACCATACCTGAAGAATCCTACCCATTTTCGTTTGCCTGAGTTTTCGAAGACCATTATGTTAGATTTCCTATATAGGCGCTGAATAGACCCGGAATGGACCTGCAATCCGACGCCATGAGGTCACCGGTAACACGATATATTAATAGTTCACTCCCCAATTGGATCGGTTGTGTAAGCCGGCCACATCAGGGGCGATCTCGGCTTATTCAAATAAATCCGACTCATACGGATATATTAACTGGATAGAGTCGGGCTCTAATGAGCCGTCTATATTCTATCATGTAATTCTATGATTGCTGATTGATTATACATTCTCAATCAAATCATCCAAAAACCACCTCCAGATGGAGAATACCGACGTTCTTATAATCGGCGGAGGTCCTACCGGGGCGGTACTAGCTCTATAATTTGCTGTGCAGGACATATCCTTCCGCATTATTGACAAATATCTCAGTCGTTCAGATAAGAGTTGAGTTCTAGTTGTCTAGCCGCGTATGCTCGAATTACTTAATCGCCATGGATTCGCCCGCGACCTCCAAGAACGAGGCAATACCGCCCCCGACGCAAGTTACTTCATCAACGGAAAGCAGGTAGTCAGGATCAACGTCAAGGATGCCGCGGTACTTCCCAATATGGCCTTCCCGTTCTAAAAACTCATTTCACGGGAAGACACGGAACATTTTCTCGGCGAATGCCTGGCGAAGTATGGGTACTACGCTGAGAGAGGTCTGGAGGCTGAGAACATAATTCAGGACGTAGACGGTGTGGCAGCCACTCTCGGCTGAGTTAGAAATGTTGTCGGGTGGAAGATGACAATAGGGGCAAAATTCGTTGTCGGCTGTGATGGGAGTCGAAGTACCTATTGTACGCCAGGCTACCGGCTTCATATTTGACGGAGAATCCTATCAACAGCACTTTATCCCCACTGACATACACGTAAGTAGGATACTCCAAAACATGATGCGATCGTATCTTTCGGTCAAGGTGTATTAGATGGTCCCGATAGGTGGAAAACTACACTTCACCAACCACTGACTCTCTCTCCGCGATGACTGCCTTTCTTGCATCTTTATTATTAATAATTTATCTAAGCACCTATATCTACTTCAAGGTACTTCAAGGATGATAAATTGTTAACCTTTCAAACTACCGCGGTAATGAAATATTATTCGATCGTAGAAATCTATCGCGTTCGTCATTGGTGAAGGTTGTCATTTCAATTTTGTTGAGCTCAAAGACAATTAAAAGGGGCAAACTATAGCCGATATTTAACCGAAGCCTCGGTAAGTGTCGGTGGACTAGGTACGTACCTCCTAAGATGGCTTAGACACGTCCGGTCAGAAAAACACCAAAGAAACTTCGATAAGACTCAATTATACGCAGCAAAAACCATCATGACCAAAACATAAAACTGCGGTCGATTCTAAGTCATGGCCGCTATTAGTTTCTCTCCGCTTCAACTTCTAAATAGCAATATATACTAAGAATACACGTTTCGTCAAATCGCATTCGCTTCAATCAATTCCTAACAAATGGCGCACATCTTATCTACGTCACGTGCTTTACTGCCATGTCGGGCGATATCATTATTATATACTGCCGTCGCTGGTGCTAGACAATCACCCTCATTATGGCAGCAGCAAAGATTACACCAAAAAAGATGGAGCACCCACTCTCCTCTCGGCACAGCGTTAGATCCTTCAAGGAAAAAGGTAACCATGGGAACTCTTCAATCTATGTATAAAAAGGGGGAACCTATCACGGTCATGACTGCCCATGATTTTCCGAGTGCACATGTCGCAGATGCCGCCGGAATGGACGTGATACTTGTGGGAGATAGTTTGGCGATGGTTGCTTTAGGGATGGAAGATACCAGTGAAGTAACGGTCGAAGATATGTTGCTACACTGTCGATCAGTCGCACGTGCCACCAAAGCAGCCTTCACAGTAAGTCCACATGCCGAGTTTGATTGATATAGAAAACTAACGTCAAACTAGGTCGGAGATCTTCCCATGGGGTCGTATGAAATCTCACCGGAGCAAGCGCTAGAAACAGCCATACGATTCATCAAACACGGCCGTGTCCAGGGTATCAAGTTGGAAGGAGGAATAGAGATGGCACCAACCATTGCGAAGATAACCAAAGCCGGCATACCTGTCTTAGGACATGTCGGGCTTACGCCCCAACGCCAAGGAGCCCTTGGTGGATTTAGAGTTCAGGGGAAAACGTCAAAAGGTGCAATGAAAGTGCTCGAAGACGCGTTGGCCGTCCAAGAAGCTGGATGCTTCGGTATGGTAGTGGAAGCTGTTCCAGCGGAAGTCGCAAGTATCATCACGAAGAAGCTACGCGTACCGACCATCGGGATCGGTGCAGGGAATGGTTGTTCTGGCCAAGTACTCGTCCAGGTTGACATGACCGGTAATTTCCCACCGGGTCGCTTCATTCCCAAGTTTGTAAAACAGTATGGTAATGTGTGGGCCGAAAGCCGTAGAGCGATCGAGTCTTATCGGGAGGAAGTTAAAACCCGACAATACCCAGCTCCAGAGCATACATATCCTATCTCTCCAGGTGAACTCGAAGCGTTCATAAAAGATACCGAGAAGCTATGAGGCGATATCAATCGCTTAGTTGGATTTTGCATTATACCCCAAACTGTTAGAGGGTTGAAGCCGCGACCATCCAGTTTGGTTTAATATACCGTATTAGGTAGCATAGATAGGCGTTTGAGTATAATTGAGACGTTCTGATTGTAGCAGTCCCCTATCTCATCCAAATGCAGGAGTCATCGAATAAGCCACGATCAACTGATCGTTTGAATCCTTAAAACACTATTGGGCTGGTCAGCATTTTAATGTTTAATGGCAAATATAATGAATGAGATAATAACACATACTCGATGTAAGTTGCCGACAATCTCATCCAAAGCGGGCGCGAATACACTATTCACGTAGAGAAATAGGCTATCGGTAGGATTGAGATGCAGCGCCTTGCGCAGGTGAGACACGACAGCCTCGAACTTTTGCGCGGCGCTTATTTGACGCACTTCACGCTTAAGCTGCGGAGCAGACCCTCCAACGGCCTTAAAGCGAATGCGAACTTTCTCCTTTTCAAATTTGCCAGCGTTGGAGAGAGCCGAGCTTGCATCTTGAGGAAGGGCTGTGAGGACAGCTGATGCGGTCATAGTAAGTGGGAGTTCAGGTGATGCAGGTCGATCCGGAATGGGAGAAGCTGGAGGCGATGGAGAGGGCTGCTCGGGAACATCAGGGTACTCCATTTTGCATTATATACACGCTAGAAGATTATTGTAGAAGCGTATTTATATGGATGGATGAATCAGTATTCAAAATCCTGAGGCTTGCAGGACATACAATCATACAAAAGTGAATGATGAAATTGATTTGTTCCTGACTTGGAGTTTCCGAAGAGTGCATACCTAAGGTCAGGTAGGACTCAGTGATCTCCACATTCAGCAAGCCACATTTTTGAAATAATGTGGCTTACGCACTTAAGAAACTTACTATCGAAGTGTTGTACAGGCAGAACAGTACGTACGGAACACCTCATACGAGTAACCTCTTAGCAGGTACTCTCAACTCTTGTTTCTTACCTGTTTCAACCAACTTTCATATTGAAATACCAATATCAAATCAAATTCGCACACTCTTATATACGTTCAATAGTCGTGGAAGACCTCGCGAAGGAAGTATGCGCGACTTCCTATTTCACACGCCATTTTTATTAACTCCTAGTTCTACAGTTTCATACCAATTGATACAGTTTTAATAAGATACAGACTTACCATAAATAGGTTGAGGCTCGAAGAAGATATGTGGCATGAGTTTAACCTTGTCTGTGCCGAGATTTGCATCCGCGAGGACAGCTTCGAGGTCTTGGATAACTAGAGAACCGTCTGGCACATCTGGGTGTTTCTTCAGGAATGTAAGAGTATCATAGCCGTGGTGGCCCCCTATATCAACAACTAGCGGTGCGCCAGAAGCAAGATCAGCGCCGGCGACAAGCGAAGTCGTATCGTAGAAATCAGGCCACGAAAACCTATACTTTGACCACTCCATCATACAGCCACTGAAGCTATCCTGGTAGCTTTAATTAGAGAGACATCTGTCAAAGAATGATAGCCGTTCCGGGAATGCATCAACGTAGTTATTATACTTCGGATCTAAAGGTTCTCGATACGACGTCTTTGCTAGGAATGACGGCAAATTCATAAAAGAGGCATTCCAATGATGGGCCCTACAACAAGTGAGCAGCCGCACAGGTCATCCATAGGAATACAACCTCACATAGAAAGAATGTATTGGGCAGTAGTGGTAGATTCGTCGCCGATTGAAAGTGAGAGGTCAGTTGGTTTGTAACGATCTTCCCCTGTTTCCTCAATAACGTACGTGGCCCCTAAAAGTCGCAGTAGTCGGCCTTTCAGGCCAATGTTAGTCCTCAACCAAGAAAACGGCGTCCGTATATATTGGGTACCTACTCACGGAGCAGGTTCAAATCACAATCTTTCGTAGCCAACTTGGCTAGCTCTTCAACAGTCTTCTCACCACCACCTACCGCCGTCCACCGGTGCCAGATACCAAGATCTAGCAATATTTTCAGCGCCGCATACTCGGCTGGATTTCGAAAATTGATATGGAAGATTCTTTCTTATTTCGTTTCCAGCCTACTAACTAGCTTGCGCGCACTTGATAGCAATTTCAGCCTTTCTACCTCGTAGCCTTCGAAGTCGGCAGGCGTAAAGGCATTAAGCCTGTCTACTACCACGTTATAGCTATCAACCATTGTGAAGTCCACAATAAAATATGATGATTAAAAAGGTGCAACTTTTGTTCACTTTGGTCCTCAGTAAGACGCTTGCCGACGTATTTATAATGTGCTGTTAACCCCCTCAGCCAAAGTTATAGCACCTTCATGCACAACGATATCGAAGTGATGCATGTCTCAGACAAAGAGGTATGTATCCATATCCTGAATGATACACCATATTTGACAGTAAGTTCAAGTGTACTTTACTCATCTAAGCAATACCATTACTATACATGCATATCTCGTATAAAACTGCAGGGTACAAAACAGATCATTTCTAAGTATTTGGAGTTATAGGATTCCCGTATCAGATCGTACATCTAGTAAAAGCTGGCATACCAAGAAAGCGACGGCATTATTACATACTTTAATGTGTTATTCGGGTTACCCAACCCTGTCGTGTAACAGTCATTCCATCATGGAATTAGGAAGGTTTTATAACAAGGTTTATATAAAGGCTTGGAACGTATTTAGATTATTAATAATTTTTCTAAGGTTTTAAGGTCTTTAATAATCTTTTTATCTTAATCTAAAGAGATTAAGATCTTATTTATAAACCAATTTTAAGAAATGTATTTTCGTAGTTAACCGCTCTTTTAATCAAGTCTTATATATTTAATTAGTACTGCCACAATTTTTTCAACCAATTAGATACTTAGAATCGCCCCGCAGTTTACGACTTTTCTTTTTGCCACTCTATCGCATAACGTTTGCAAAAGATGCAAATGGTATAAAAAGGTCATGCAAAACGAGCTTTATCCAACAATACCAATTATCAGAATTTTTATCTAAAAGTAAAGCAATTTAATTGATTTTATAAAAAATTCATCGGACGTGCGCTGAGGTGTGGCTAGCTAATTAGAGGCTAGATCTATTTGTGGCGTGAGTTTTGCGCATGATGAACCCCCCCCCCTTTTTCCTCCTCTTTCCCCCGTCCGCGTTTGAGCGGACGGGCAACGTCATTAGTTATGTATTGGTTATCTTACATTTTACCTACATTGTCTTATGATGTATTTCATCCAATGATTCTGAAAATAGCTATCTTAACCGCCTTAATGGCTTTTGGCTGCATGATGAAATGGAAATTATTACTGAGTAAAGACTTTTCAGTCGTCCCGCACCGAGTAGTATCATGATCTAGACCATCATAAGTGATATTATCATAGGAGACATACTGCTACCTGCAACGTCAGCATCGGATATAGCACATAGGGGGATATAACATCGTAAATTGTTTATCTCGATATGTATTAATATAAAAAAGCGCTCAAACGGCATAAGAATGCGTGGAAATGTTTACAAATAAGACAATTTATATAGCAAGTCCCAATTGCGCCCTCCAATGATAGACTATCAAGTAGGTTAGACGTGCATCTTGGAGTAATATATCAATCAGCTGGTCGGAGATGGCTGTTTACCGTGCGTAAGATAACCAAGGCGTCATTCTATTTGACGTTCCAGTCTGGCAAGTTAGGTACGCAGCATATATTGCGGGAATATACAAACCGTGAGGAGATACGGAGCCTGGGTCGAGATCCGAAGCCATAGCCAGTCGAGCATCCCCTTTTCCGCGCCCTGCGCGTTGGCCTAAGCCCTTATTAAATCAAAAGTATTCGGATAGCAACTAAAAACTACTACACATGAGGGCCACATACATAAAGATAAACGTGTGTTGTATTTCCTTACCTTGACATATGGGGAAATAAAAATAATAATAATAATACCTAATATAAAGAGTTATTCGATGTTTGGCACATAACTCCACGAGATGAGGCAAAAAAGAACTCCGAATCGGGGAATCGAACCCCGGGCTTGACGGATCATAGGTTGTATGATGAGAGCGTCAAATGTTAGCCACTACACCAATTCGGATTGTTCATCGAATTCCATGACAAAGTCATTCATCTGATGTGTTGAAAATTTGAAACATATTTTAGTATATATATCACCTAGTTTCGCTAGCGCAACCCGAGCCCACTTTAGCCGCATCTCTTGGGAGGTTGAAGTTTTCCCTTTATAGGCAACAAGTGGAGGGAGCTAAATAGGAGGATGGATATTAGCGGCTATAAATGTGGATAGTTGTTGAGATTGATGGTCCAGCGCCACCGCAACAAAATCTGAGTACCTGTGGGTATTTCTACATAATACCAGTTGGAAGTGGGGTATTGGAATCTTTACCAATACAACATCCTTTTCCACATTCACTATTACGGTACCGTCCAGTCAAGAGTAAGAGCTCAGGCTCATCAGGGGCATACCAAATTATCCATCACAATAGGGGTACCTATAAGTTAAGAAGCAGGACCAGTCAAAAGCATGTCGTATCATCGGGTTCATACAATGCAAAACTTCTCTCCCCCATTCATAATACCTTTGATATACACGCTATCCTCATCGGTTACCCGCCAATGAGTTCTGTATATATGATGTAGCGTACGAGCTTGAGCGGGCCTCTCTTCTTACCAACTTCCGCGATGAAAGCTTTCCGAGTAGGAGAACTAGCGGCGACGAGCTCGAACTCGCGAGATGGCGTAGGGTCGAAGTCCAGAGGCTGCTTGTAAAATGTCATGTCGGGTCTGAAAAATATTTGTCTAAGATCAGTATCCGCGTAGACGACTGGTTTAGCAAGCAAGTCAGCCAGGCTAAGGCTTCCTAAGGATATCCCTCCTAGCTGCGTAAAGAGCCCGCTTCTTGTAATCGTCGCGGCCCGGCCGTACGCCTGCTCAGATCCCAAGTTCGTGAATGAACGCGGGGCCCAAGAGAATCCTGCATCTTGAAGTCTAGGGACATTCCAGAACAGCACATCGCTTCCCATCTCCTTTAAAGCCAGATAGAACTCTTGCATTCTATCAGCGCATACTTGTTCTGTTTGCTCGGCTCCTTTCCTTTTATCAACAGAAAATTTGAGCATGCGAGAAACATCAAGGCCGATGATCCCACCGATACATATTGTCTCGTCTTCTTGTCTACTAGTCATCCTACCCTTAAGTCCTTGTACCACCTCCCTAAAAATTTGATAAGGCGGACTGGAATGACCCGTGAACTAAGGTATTTCCGTTGGGTTCATGTCCTTATCCCTATCCATGGTGTATCGGAAAAAGATACCCCGGAGAGGGCCTAGAATGCTCAGTCCATATGAAAAGACCGGGTCTCTAGGTGAATTGAGCATGCCCTCTATCCGAGGGTCCACACGTGTATTTATATAGCCATCTCCCAGCTTTTCTATAAGGGAAGAGAACCTTTGGCAGAGTTCAGCTTTTAAACAAAGACTCTCCGCCGCTTCAATGGCCATGATGCGAAGCTCTTCCTCTTCCCCCCCCTGCCCCTGAAAATAGCTGAAATCTGCAATCTCTCGCAAGCTTAGCTTCCTGATCAGTCCAAAGCCTCTGGTTCCTATTGCTTCTCCCTATCCTTATCAGACACTCTCGCGGACCTCTATCAACCGTTGAACTTTCTAGCCATTTGTCAATGACAAGGACGTTGGTCGAGTGGGCATACGTCCTTGCCATTCGTGAAATTGCTAGATTTCTTACACCAATTTCTAGCGGCACGCACAGCGTATCCATCCAGAAATGGCTCCCCCCTTCCGAAGTTGGGTTTAGAGCATTCACATGCGTCTGAATCCGTCTTAGTTAGCAGGCATGCATGCTATTACTTGTTGGATTTCCCATACCGTCGGACCATACGTGGGATATCGCGACATAGGGTGGTACTGTACCTGGTTCACCTAGATTAAAGCTGTCCAGCTCAATTATAGGTTCATACGGGCCTTCCACGACCCGGACGATCGGGATACCGCCATATAAGAGAACCTCACAAATAGCTTGAACCGGCGCCGTTATCATCCCACACTCCATACTACGGCAATTCTCATCGTGAGAAGGCTTATACGTTCCATCTTCGATCTGATTGTCGCAACATGCTACATCGGTACATCTTGAATGGTCTTTATCTGGCCTCGTCCGTTCTAGGGTCGCGTGGTAAAGCAGAACAACAGGCGAGCACTTGAAATAAAGGTTGGGTAGTTCTCCGCGGCACCAGCCATAATTCAACAATAGGCGATCCATAGTCGGAGAGCGTGCCCATCTAATTGTAGCCATGGTCTCCGTCGGGATATCAAATATATGGTTGTGGTTGAAGACTAAATAATCCACAAGAGCCATTAGTTATAGCTGTCGGGTACGTGGTTATACTCTTAAATGAGAGAACTATCTTCAGAAAGGAGCAATAGTGATCCGGGGACTTACTGGGTAGAATCCTAATAGATCATCATCCAATGCGACCCTTAAATTGCTTTGATGGCAATGATGAGAGACACAGGTAGAGTCACCCCCAAATTACTCGCCACACCCAGCCGCATATATCTCGTTGCCGACAGACCTCAAGCTCAATAATATATTCAAAGTAATTATATGGGAGAAGACATATTAAAGTATTGCGTACTGGGTGCAATAGGGCAATTAAGCCAAGGAATTGTTAATCTGACTGACTAGAAGAGATTAGAAAAACTCAAGATTTGCACAATTCCTCGTCTTATAGACTACTACCTATATATACACGATCTAGTGATCATATTTACACCGTTCGCTTCGTTAATGTCGAATACTATCGTTTTTAATGTCGTTCCAGCCGCCAGTCAGGTTACCGTCAAGCACCGTCCATACCGGAACCCCCAGATACCCGTGAAAGCTGGCGTTTGGGCCGCTACGCCAACTAAAATTTTGACGAAATAGAAAACAAAGCCACCCTTCGCCAACAATGCATGAAATAGAGATGCCTGACGAGTGGATGCGAAAAGAACTAAATGCTAAGACTCCATTCCATGCCACGCCACGTCCTTTTTATGGGATATATGGAGAGGCGTATTAGGCTCCATCGTTTTAGCCGAATAAGGGTCAAAATGGGGTATCATCGCACCGCGAATGCCGTAGAAAGGACAGCTCAAAATTAGAAGTAGGGTCAAAGTATGGTGTATTCCTAGTTGTGAATGATCGGCTGGTAAGCATAGCTTATAGAACTGCGGAGTATCGGTGGTAAATCTGCGTCTGCCAGCAGAAATGAGTGAGCTTGGTTCGAGGTAAATTAGTAGACCTCGTCGTATTCTTGGAGAGAAGGAGCCCAAGACGACAAAGATTTGCGCTTAGGCATCCGCTGAAGCTGAACAAGGAGGTCATCCAAGTCAACCCAGTTGCGATCATCGTCAGCAAATTTGCGATGCTTCTTGGACAGGATGTGCTACGCAAAACTGTTAGTATCTGACGCGTCATAACTACTAGTTTACGCTTAGAAAAGGAACATACCTCATCAAAATCAGCGTATTTATCCGCGCAGTTCTCACAATAACCTGGCTTAAGCTCGCCCTTCTTTGACTGCGGCGATTCTCGCTTTTCTGCGCGTGGAACAACCTTCGGCTTGGATCCTTCTTGAGAGTCTTTATCGGTGGCGTCTTCATCAACAAAATCTAACTTTCGACTCGATGTACGACTCATAGGGAAAGTCCGCTTGACTGGAGCCTCGTCTCGCGGGTTTATCTCGGTATTCCGACGAGAGCTCAGATCCTGCGAAGTTGCGGTACTGTTGCGCTTCAGGACCTGACGCTGAAGACCGTGAACTTCTTTGCTTAGACCAGTTATGAGGCCTGGTGTTGTTGCGGTGGAGGAGACCATTTGGGATCGGATTGCTGACGTTACGTTCGAAGGCTGAACCCCAGATGCAACTGGCTCGCCACCAAAGAGGCGGCTAGCAGCACGACCGGTAAACGCATTAGAGCGTGACTCCGCAACCTGGCCTACGGGTAACCTAGATGAGTTGGACAGGTCCATGGAGGCGACACTAGAGCCACGGGAATGGCCATTTTCCATCTCACACAACGATCGCTTTCCAGTTACGGGCTTCGGAGGTTCCATCTTGAAGGATTGAGGAGTAGGTTTAGTCTCGGTGGCGGCTCTGGTCACCTGGACTTTCGGCTTGGGCTCGGGTCGGGCATCTCTCGGCTCATGCTCGTTAATAAACGGACACCGTCCCAATGCAGCAGTACGAAACTGGGGCCAGGCGCCCTTTGACTTCTCGGCAACCTTCTTATACTCTCTGACCATGATAGGCTTTTGCTTCTCCTCGACGTCGTAGACATATATATAAGGGCCCTTGAAGTAATGCAGCTCCTGACCATTCGCGGCCGGATCTCGATCAGATGGCCCGTTGACTCGCTCATTGTGAAGAAGATGTAGTAGGTTACGATCCTCGGTAGTTCGAGGTTCGGGCTCTCTTGCTTTGCGAGCTCCGTACGCAATCTCCACGCTAACGTATGGATCGGTCTCAAGGAGTAAAGCCATCATTCGCTGCAACTTATCTAAAGACCAGATCTTTTTTCCCATTTCCCTAGCACGCAGTAAGACATCTGCGCTACGCTTTGGTTGATTTAGTGAGCCGACTTGGACATGCGACGATATTCTCTGTGTTCGGGCATCTCTATCAAAAACTCTTCGTTTGGTAGAGGCCTCTGACAGTCGGGTTAGTAAGGAAGGATTAATAGTCTTGACCTCCTCTTGTTCCTGATCCTGTTCTTGTTCTTGTTCCTGCTCATGTACGTGGTCCTGGTCCTTTTCGGTGGTTGCCTCCTCTTCTTGGCGACTTATACTCTTCTCGGAGGGAATAGGCCGAGTTGTTACAACATGGGTGATGTCGATAGAGAAAAAGGCTGCCTCACGCTGTATAAAAGCAATGTAAGCAAACCGAAGCATCTAACATAGAAACACTCTGTCTACTTACAGCACCTAAGGCAGCAATCTGTTTCGCTAGCTTTTTATGGGCATCGTTAGGGACCTTCTCGAAGTAGAAAACAAGCTTAGGGAATCTAGCTCGGTGGTGCTGCTGCCATATTTGAATCTCCTCGACATCCTTCTCTGTATATCCAAGAGAAGCAGGTGTCTGTTGTTGGGAGCGTTGATGGTGAGAATGGCCTGCTCTTTCCCTAGCCAACTTGCTCTCGTAGGTGTTTGCATTGCGACGTATCTGTATGGGGATTTGACTCTTGGAAGCCCGCTGCTGTTGGGATGGAAGTGATCGTTGAGAACCACCCTCGATGATTTGCTTCTTGGCCGGAGGCGGTTGACCGTATTGTTCTTCCCGTTGTATCTGAGCTACAGTGCGTTTCTGTTTGCCGAGAGTGGCGCTACGAAGAGGAGAATTGGCCACATTCTGGTTCGTAGACAAAGGAACTCGTCTATTAGACATGACGGATCGGGCCACAGGCGTAGGTGATAAAGATGCAGCTGCCATATAAATGCCGACTACTCAATATTGAGGTATTTGTCAAAGGTCAAATGGGTTGTAGGTCAAGACAGTGCTGACCAATAAATACAATGTTATTGTTGGCGGTGGTCGAATTGTCTTGGGGTCGTTGGGTTCTGGGGGTTAACAACGATAAAGGTGGAATCTAGATCGGGAATAAAAGGCTGATTTGTTTTTCGTTCTTCGTTTTGATCCGGTTCGACGTAGAATGGACGGTTGTTCTTTTTTTAAGTTGTGCCTTGAGGTGTGTGCTAAAGTATATTTTTTAAGTCCGAGAGTTCCCACGCGACGAACCACCAACCACGAACCACAAACCGTGGCACAACACGCCGGATTCAATGAGCACAACACGACAAACCTTTTGACGTTAGGAGATCATTGAGACCAATTGAAGAAAATTAAATAATCTTGGAAGATTCAGTGAGTTGAGAGACGCGAAAGTGACCAGTTATCCTACGTGTATGAGTGTTGAAGTTGGAGTTCCAAGTTCGAAAGCTCTGGCTGGTGGTAGTGGGCATTTCAGTAGGTGAAATTCAGTTCCAAAGCTTTTTGAGGCGTGACTGGTAATTCCGCGCTAGCACTAACAATTTACGAATCAACAACAAGAATTGTGCACGGGCCATTTGACATCACTGTTAGCCCCCACTATAGATTTGCATAGCAACCGTAATTTAGTTTTGTTAGTGTGCATTATTTACATCTTCTCAGCTAGCCCCACCAGCTCCCCCGCCATGAGCCACTAGGTACATAAGGCAGCAGAGCCAATTAGAATTTGGGTAATCAATCTGACGTTTCTTTTTGATGTGCCCCAAAAACTTTCCGAATTACAACATCAAGATTGGGATGAGGTGCACCAAATATATTCAATCCTTAAGTACCTAACATATAGAAAACCGGAGTCGTTCTAAAAACCAAGGATTTGTCCTAGTGCTGGAATAATTGAACTCTATATTCTCATATTACCCCTTTGGGTAATACTCAAGTAATTCCGATGATGCAATTGGTTACAGTATTCCAAGGATTCCAAAGATGAAGTTTCGTCAACAGCAATTATGGCAACTGGAGCGCTATCTTAAACCACACTCGAATATTTCCTCCCCACAGCTACAGCGATCACGATCCATATCAACAACAGCAGCAACAACCACAATACCCTCTTCCCCACGATTCTCGAATACGTCCTTCAGTTGTACAGCCTTAAGACGTAGACCAAGACCTGCGCGTACCTATCATACATCCGTCTCTGCCTCCGAACTCCTCTTTGGCCAACCTGTCCACGAAACACACCCTCATATCCTCGCAGCCGGTGAACTCACACCGGGTATAACCGCACAAGAATATCATGACCGCCGTGCTGCCCTTTGCCATTCCTTACCCCCAAACTCCGCCGTCGTCCTCCCCGCCGCGACCCTCAAATACCGATCCGGCGCCGTTTTCTTCGCCTTCCGTCAAGAGTCCAACTTTCTCTATCTCACCGGATTCTCCGAGCCTGAATCCCTAGCCGTATTGAGGAGGACTGGCGATGAGCTAGGCGATTACACATTTCACTTATACTGCAGGTCGAAAGACCCAAGAGCGGAACAATGGAGCGGTCCTTGGAGTGGAGTTGATGCCGCGAGAGACGTATGGAACGCAGACGAAGCAGAGGATATTTGGCGGGTAGACAAAACACTAGCCTCGGTGTTGGATGGTGCTAAGACAATATTCACGGATGCCGAACTAACGCAAAATGGGGCGTCTACAAAACTAGCCAACCTTATGCATTCGGCAGCTCCTAATGCGAGTATATCACCCTTAAGGCCACATATCAACGTTCTCCGTGCCGTCAAGTCGCCAGCCGAAATAGCCAACATGCGGCGCGCGGGGCAACTCTCCGGCCGGGTGCTGACAGAAGCTATGCGACGGCCTTGGAAGTATGAAAAGAAGTTGGCTTCGTTCCTGGAATACCAGTACCAAATGTCTGGTCTGGACGGACATGCTTACATCCCCGTGGTAGCCGGAGGGCCAAAGGCGACACTCATCCACTACGTCCTAAATAATGGTATATTAAACGACTCGGAGTTCGTCCTCGTAGACTCCGGTGGTGAATACGGAACATACATTACCGACATAACACGGACATGGCCCATTTCAGGGAAATTCAGCCAACCACAGAAGGACTTATATAACGCTATTCTTCGCGCCCAGCGATCATCCATCTCGCTCTGTCGCGCTAGCGCCAATGTCACTCTCGATAAATTACATGTGATCACAGAGAATGCCCTCCGTGACCAACTACAACAGATTGGCTTCGACGTGGGCGGAGATGCTATGGGAACCCTATTCCCGCACCACGTTGGGCACTACGTTGGCCTCGATGTCCACGACGTTCCCGGATACCCGCGAAACGTAGTTCTGAAAGAAGGCCACTGTATCACCATTGAACCCGGCATCTACGTGCCCGACGATGAGAGATGGCCCAAAGCCTTCCGGGGTATGGGCATTCGAATCGAGGATAGCATATGCGTGGGCGATGATAGCCCCCTTAACCTAACTACAGAAGCGGTTAAGGAGGTTGACGACATCGAAGCATTAAGAGAATAGAAAACATTCATGAATTGTATAAAAAGAATACCTTTTGGAAATATTTGCTAAGAGGCCCGAGACGGCCAGATATCAAAGACATAGCATGCTTTTAAAGAAGTCTATTATGAATTACCAAGCACTGCACGGCGTACAGTTCACCCCCTGAAATAATGTTAGTTTTTCGGACGTGCACAATACAAAACAGGGCTTCAAATTCTGAATAGAATAACGCCATTTAAAGCATCTCAACTATTACGCTAGAGTTTTATGGCATAACATACCCTAAAACAACGTTTCCGGAAAACTACAACGACCTCCCAGGGCGGCAATAGATATATGTTTCAGGATCTTAGCGAAGTAGCTCTAGGGGTCCGCTGAATAACATGATTACAGGGGGCGTACTGTATACATATATTCTATGTATAGACGCCTCCTCAGCAGTCTATTGTAAAACATATACATACCTTACTTATATTAAACCTGGTTTATTGGACTTATATCACGACGGATATCGTTGCTTGTCTTACTTTCGCCTTTTTGCATAGAAAGGTGGCAATGGAAAATGCCTAACGCTTAGAGCCCGAGAATAGGGGGCGCCACTTCGGAGCTCACGAAACCTAAATCACACTTCCCATTAGGTCCCGAACACCACCCCGATACCCCCCGATACTAGCCCGATGAAACAACTCCGAATATGTATTCGTATTCGTACCCAGGGCCGGTATGACGCATCAGTTGCCATCAGCCAGCGGAGCAAGGCGCGCTGCCTCGGTGCCAAGTAACGCATCGTACGATAAACATATGATGTCCTGGGAAGAAGCTTACTAGCGGAATTGACTCATTTCTGATGTAAGACGTGCAAGAGAGAAGAGGCGAGAAGAGAAGAAATTGCGCGCAGAAAGTATCAGCCTGAGGCCGAAATCTATTATTAACCGGGGCAAAAAAAGATTTCAAATGCGCTTCGTCTCCCACACGAGGTAAGTTACCTAGGTATCACTACAGCAGAAACTTGTAAAATGCAAAAACAATATCGCTGGCGCCGCTCCTCTCGAGTCTCCCAGCCAGACTCTTATCCTGAGTAGGCAGTAAGGGTAAACCTAATTCGATTCCTTTTTCCCTTCCCCTTCGTTCTCCATTTCCCCATAGGCCGTAGGATATTATACCTAACAGTCTTGAGTGAAATTTGCCAGTTCCTGTTCCCCAAAACGCCGTAGTTGTGCTTACCCAGCACTGTCCCATCCCAGTATAAGGCCTGTTCATCTATCCCCTAGATGTTCTCTCCCTAAAATTGAAAATTCAAAGTTTTTTCTAAAACGCCGAACGTGCAACCCGACTGGGCTATGTACCGGGCTCCAATGTATTTTCATACAGATTGAGGGATGTGTATATATACATGTGTGATGGATGTTTTGGTAGTAGGTAAAGGCGACTCAGAAGATAGATGGATTACTCGTCCGTATCCAATGTTGACGTCATTCCGCTATGAGATTCAAAGGTTTTCTGAGACTACCAAGCCCAGATTTAACATGGTGGGTTGCCAGTGTCGGGCATTGTTGTTTAAGCAGGATATTTGTTCGTCGTCGTTAGGATCGTCGCCGAAGTTGATTAATACGAAGGATGAGTGGTGAGTGATGAAAAATATTTCAGTCATAAACGGAGTATAAAGTAGAGTTCGTCATCCCTCAAGAAAAGGCTCTGGGATTGAAGACAGTAGCGCCGTATCCCTGGGGTGCCCAACCTGGTGCAGGTGCGGCGCCAACCAACTGTTCGAAGGCATGTAGCCGGCGGGCGAGTTCTTCATTCTTCTGTGCCATCGACCGATTCCTCCTCTCGAGCTGGTGGATGTATTCAGTGGCTTTAGTCAAGACCGTGCCCTACATATTGTTAGTCAGTTATTCTATAGACCAATCTGATTCTCCACTCAAACACACCTTGCTTACTTTAGGTGCCGTTCTCGACGCGCCACCGTTGTCATTGTCGTCTCCATCTTCAGGTATCGCGCGCAGAGACGGAATGGCATCCCGTAGTTCGGCGATCTTGTCCTTCAGATTGGTACGATACTTTCGTTCGATATCGTTATGTGCCGCCCGGTCACTATTCCTGGGCTTCTCCTTTGACTTCTCAGTGGCATCCATTGAGTTCGTACGTGTTGGTGCGTGGGGTCGTGCTGCGGTTGGCTTAATGCGAGGTTCGGGTGTGTTGCTTTTACTATCGCTCATAGTAGTTGGGCTTTGATTGACTTCGAATCTGAAATCCATTCCAGGAGCTTGTCTCGTAGCTATTTGTGGTTGTGGGACTTGCCCCGTGCCCATAGCAATAGCCAATAGTCTCTGACGCTCGGGGTCGTTGAAGGGGGGGTTGACGTTTACGTAGTCCATACGAAAGCCAGGCTGCGGGGGTTCCCAGCTTAGCGGCGTCGAATAAAGTCTCTCGCGCGGAGGTACTTCAGACGGTATAGGGGCAGAGTCGTTCTTAGTAAGTTGGTCGGCCAAGGCCATAGAGAAGAGGTCGTCTTCGTCCGACAGCGCGTGGTCAAGAGCGCTATCGTCGACTAGATCGGCAGTAGACGACGGCGGATAAGCCACTTTGAAATTGTCGCCGGATCTCCCGACAATCCTTGACCTAGGACGAGGTTGAGCTAGGATTGGAGACTTGCCCTATATACCCCAATACGCTTTAGCACTATCCTGAGAGATGTGTCCGAAGGCCATCTTTGTATGAGGGGATGTATGAGGGGTTGTAGGTACTTACGGTTCGGTTTTCTCGGTTTTCAGCAAAAAGAGGATCACTCTCGTTGTCACTATCAAAGCGAAGCCAGTAATCAGAACAGTCGAGGGTGGATGGGTTCTCGGCAAATTTGGACCTTCTGATATCAGAACACTGGCGCTTCTTAGGTAGTTCTTGTCTGGCAAGCTTGTGCTTATGAGAGATGGTAGAAAGGTTCTGAGAAGCAGTTGAGGCCGGCGAGTCGGCGGAAGTGCTGGGGGTCTGATGCGAGCCTGAAGTCGGGACCGAGTTCACAACACTTGATTCAGCTGACCTATCGAGTTCGTCCCAGAAGCTGATGGATGATAGTTGCTGCGAGTAGTCTGTAGATTGATCGAAGAATGTTTCAAAGGTCTGGGGAGGATTAGGGCTTTTATCTTTTTATGATTCAACCAAGGTAGTATCAATCTATGTCTAGCATACCTTGTCGTTACCAGCAGGATAAACGTCAATGTCCTGCATAACACCTGCGTCCATGACGAATCCCACAACAATTTTAAGGGCCACCAGCAGATCTTTGGTGACACTATACGTCGATTGCTATGGATATAGAGAAATGGGGGGAAGAGTCCCGGGAAACGGGATAGTCGTCGGGAGGCTAGACCTTGTAAGGTGATGGATACGCTATCATGCGAAGTCCGGGCTTGGCGAGATGGACGATGAAGTCGGAAAGACTGAAGGCGAACAACTTCAAGAGAGACGGCGTGAATTGCCACGTCCGTTGCCGTGTATCGTGGTACGGTTGCGCAGCTAGGTAACCCTCAGGCCGGGGATGTAGTATGCAGAGGTGTGTATGAAGAGTTGGGTGTAAGTTGGGTGTAAGTGTGAAGCCACCAGACGAAGCGAGCAAGCCACACAAACCACAAACACACTATACACGAAAGGTAGTATAGGATTCTCGACTGTGAGGGTATGGAAAGGTATGATATCACGAATATCAGATATAATGCCACAATGGTGAATAGATCAAACGATCTTAAAGAACGGATGATATGATAGAATGAACAGATAAGCTAGGTGGTTTAGTTCGGTTGGATGGCTAGCTTATCTATGTATAGGACGGTTGGATCAGGATATCAGGATGAAATGAGATGGGAATTCGAGAATTCGGCGGTTAAAGAATAAGAATTAGATCCCACGAAGTCTTACTGGACCAGGGTTGCCGTTTGAAGCGTATGAAGCAATATGAAGCGTACAATGGCCGAGACCGCCCGACGATGCAAGGATACGGAGTTACAGTCCAGAATTAATGGCCTGACGCTGCAGAGCAACGGAGACGCTTAGATAAAATTCCCCAGGGCAGCCGGACCCAGAGGGAGATCCCGATATGGATCCATTACTACTACTCTTTTTCTTTGGGTATTTCTCTAGGTAGGTACGGTAGGTACGGTAGGTACTGGGGCGGTACTGGACGGTACCCGTATAACTAGCAAGTACTGCTCGGCGGCAGGTCGCCGCGGCAGCAACTTGGTAAGACCCGTTGTAGAGCGCCAGCGTGACCTGTAATCCAATAAGAAGGTCCGAATAATTCCTAATAATTCCTAGGTTAGAAATTTCTGGGCAATTACCTTAATACCTTAATTACGGGGGGTACTACTGGAGGTGCCAGGAGCGGCAAACGGGAAAATGAAGGACCTGGGAGGGCCTTTGGAAGGACCTAGGGGAAAGGCAGAAGACCATTCTTTCGACATTGTGGGCTGATGGCCGCAGCGGTCAAAAAGTATGGGAACCGATGGGAACTAATGGGAACTGTGGGATTTGCCCGCGTTGCAAATTTTGTCACAAGTACCTCTCATAGTCTTCGCAGTTCCTCGCAGTCCTCTCGACGAGAAAATTAGGAAAATTGTTGTCATCGGTGCACCGGGAGGGCAAGAAGGTGGCCTGACTTTTTGTCGATAAAGGGAATCTTTTCAAGGGTGACGGTCTAGAATCATGCGTCAGGTGGGGTGAGAAGAATCAAGATCAGGCCATTCACAAGGCTGACCTTTTAAATATCGTATGACCTTCGCTTTCTTTCCTTTGGAAATAACGAGAACAGGGTTCTAGATGCAAAAAGTTGTTGTAATTGGATAAAAACGTAGCAATCATTTATTCCATTGGTCGGCGCTTTCCCCAACCAGATGAATCAGATGCACTAAATGTTTGCAGCCTCGCTATAACCCCACTGAAACCTAACGGTTTTAGGTAGGACAGTCATGTGCCACAGAGGCTAAGTTAGTGTATGTAGGTAGATACCTAACGGAGGACGGCAGGATCCAGACAGAGCTCGAGACTTTATTTAAGTTTGTGGCGGATTGTGGCTTATCAGCTTATCAGCTAGTCAGATCGAGTTACCTTTCCAAGATCTTGAAGATTAGGTCCACTTGCTCCGATGCTTCGTACAAAAAATATTTTCGTGATCGTGCTAACTCCCATTCAATACCTCTTACTAATAACCAGTGCTTTAGTACGACCACATATCCACTTCCGCATCGAATCTCTTCTCCGTTTTCTTCCGTGATGCTCCATGTAGGAACATCGCATATACTTCTGCATACACCTTCTCATGCACATCTGCACATATGCATATATGCATGCAACGTCGTCACGGACGATCGATTCCGGTATCAACTACAAAAATTCTCACGAGGCTTCTTACCGACACGAACACACTGCGTCACCTTTGATCTCGTATAAGATAGCCAGCGTCTACTTCATATGGTAGTTTCCTATGATTCATACCACGTGTATCCATATATGCTTATACATATGCTTGTGCAAGGCACATATTCACCCACGTTCATCGTGGCATCTTTCAGTTGTGATATCAAGCAGGTAAAAATTATCTGATACTCGAACACCCTTCTGAATATCAAGTCTCCTACACAACAACTTGGTAGATTCTGTCCCCTACTAGTGTGGTGTATTTCCCGTACTTCGAAAGTAGCGACAAGTCGGGGTTCGTTCCGTTCTATTATAGGTAGGGTTCTATCAGGTAGGGCTCAGGGACAGATCTATTGGCTCTATTCCCTTCGTTCAGATATTCGGCTAGATCTTAGATCGTATGATCACAGCAATTCTTATGCGAGTGATACCGCGTCCAGGGTCCTTGCCATCCTAGAACCTACATATCCATATCCAAAGATGTTCCCAGCGGCCGCATACCCGTGGTTGCAGAAAACTTACTACCTATACCACCTTGAGCTAGTCACCTCCTTACTAATGTAGGAGAACTATCATATTTACAACCTCGTGGGCTTCGTTAGCGAATATTAAAGTTACCTCAAGAATATATTCTAGACATCTCAAGGGGAAACCGGTCAGCGGTCATAAGTCGGTATGTTTAGTGTCTGTCCGGCGGGGCATCGTATCTTTCATCAAGCAGTCCATCGACGATTAACTTTATCCTGGTCTCTTTTAAGACATTCATCTGAGGGACCATTACATGTCTGCATGGCAACGTAAGCAGACACGTTGCAGCTGTCAGAGAAGTGCAATATACTTGGTAATATACTCTGAATTGCCCGTATCGATGAGATCTAGATCTAGGCCGACATGTGCACAAATCCGGACTACCGGATACTCTTGGACAAGCGGAAGATGCCTGCTGGTGATGAACCGAGCTTGAGATATTCCAAGAGATGGACCAGCAGCATACATGATGTATTGTAGTTTGGTAGCATTTCCTTGGCACATTCTATGAACTTCACTTCATCTATTCATTTCCAGACTTATTTCTTCTCGTCACATGGCTATAATACCGTATTAAGGTCTCGAAGGGGAATATGATATGTGCGTATGTAGTCGTTTCCTAGCGTAGACACAACTATCGGCAGCCTCCGAACTAAGAAATGGCGCGCGCCTAGAGCCTTAGGTATTTGCGTATTGCGACTGGAGCACGGATAGATACAATAGTTTATTCTGTTTGGTACCATCGATTCCACTCATTATTCCGATCGCTATGAAACAAACCCAGCGGGCTGTTATGTCTAACCGGGAATCCAAGTCATCAAGCTATTCCTAATCAATATCAAAACTACCGACGCTAGGATGATACGACGACGAGAACGATCTATAATATTTTAAGCCTCTTGTTAAGTTAAAGAGCTACTAGGATGCTGGGATGGCGTCGGTTTATTTCGGAGAGCTCTTGGGCTGTTTTATTTACTCTCGGAAATTATTCTGAAAAAGGTTCAAAGACTCCGAGGTATTGAGTCGTACTTCCTTCGACGATAGGAAAGTCATAAGATACGGGTGTTCGCGTAGTAATTAGACGATTTTAATGTAGTATCAATTATCCTCAGCTTTATGCAAGGCCATTCTCAATCCATAATTTAAATATGCAACTCTAATGTTCCAGTTGTGGAGAAACAATTTTCACACTACTATAGGGATGTTATAGACTTTTGTATTGAGTATAGCGTATGAATTTCTTAGGTCTAACTACTACCTAGGAGCCCGATTTCAAGTAAACGCATACTATAGTATATACCGCACTTTTCACTCTTGTGTCTTATGCTCAACACATACTTTAGGTAGTTTCCCCTAGAGTCAACGAAGAAACTCCCATCTTCAGTAGATATTTCAATGATGTTTGAACCTTGTTGTAGATGCCCTTGACCACTTATGTCTTAACTATCCAAACCAGTCACTTACAAAGATATAAAAATGAACTAGCATTCGTTTGGAATACTAGGCTGGTGCTACCTAAGGCGTCAACCGGGTAAATTCACACTTTTAGTTCAGATCAGCTAAATATGATATCGTGTACGCCATCAAATTATAGTTAATCATTCCATAGGTGTAGGTATAATTATGCAACAACTTTGTGATAGATCCTTAGCCCTAGTATTCAACTATCACATTATAGCACTTGTCTCCTCGTATTACATTCGTTATTGACACCTACATACGTAATATCGAATTCCAAAAGACCTCTCAGCCCAAAATCCCCTGTATATCATGATCGTGAGAATGCTTAGTTGGGCGAGTCTTGTGAAACGAAGTTTGTTGCATCTCACCTATTGTCATTCGATCAACATACTATCCCTACATTCTTTATCATTCAACATCATTGCCACAGATGATGTCGCACAAACAAGCTGAAACATTATTCTCTAATCAAATAATATGTATGGCTTATGGTGGTTAGATATCATCGACGATCTTATGATGCTACACCGACTCTACGACATACAGAAACCCAACAAGCTAGAAAATCTTTCTACCCTTGGATGTGCCTACAATCTAGATAATCTAGCCTAGATCTAATCATAATGGCTAATACGAGATTATCAGGCACACTTCTCCCACAAAGTACTCCTAAGTACTCACTAGTCCTAACAGTGTACCTAGCCTATAGAGTATTAACATAAGCAATAATTACGATGTAGAAAACATTCATTCGGACCTATACGAATGAAAATAAAGACTGCATCGAGCATTAGGTTATACATTGAGTTACGTACATGTGATTAGAGACGCATGCCATGATATCAACTAGCGAAGCAGGTGGGTTACAACATTGCAACAATTAAGTAATGCATTCCTTAGTATCCCATTGAGTCCGTATTGTAGCATTATTTTGATAGGTAAATATCACGGGCACACGGCGAATCACGGCCGATGCGTCGGACATTTTCGATTCGGAGCGGTTCCCGGGGTTCAAGAGTACATGCACTAAGTGGGGAGAAGTGGAAACGGGAGCAACGGGGTCACATCCGGCGCTCCCGGAATCGATAGGTTGTGCCGCCGGGCGGGGGGAGAATAGAAGCACGTCATTGGTTCATTCGTAGCGCTATGCGAATTTAAAAGGTAACGCTCCTAGAACTAACATCGTACGACGGACTTAATTTATGAAATGCACTTCTAAAATTACCACATAGAGCCTAAGTCCTATATTAACGCCAAGTGTATACTGAGACTCAAGCACGATGGTCAACTCAGTGGGGAAGTATACGTACGTCTCTCCCCTCGAGGGGTTCGAGAATGCCCCGCCGCTGCCTGACGAGAAGAATGAAGACGGTAAAAGTTACAAGAATCCAATGAGCGATACTCTCAGCAAGGCCTATCTCGAGTTCCCCGACCCGCTGGATAAGGGGCGTCGCGGTGGTTTGTGAGTTTCCGACAACAAGCTCCACAGTTGCTGTCGACTGACATGTGCGGGACTATACTCACCCAGTGATATACATATCTACTATTTTCAAAACAATGAAAGCCAGACGCAGCATGCAAAGGACCTCTGGGAGCGGATCCGACGAGAGTGTACGATCCCCGCCTACCTTTCCCCTCACTTTCCATGTGCCCTCTCTCGTAACGTAGGACAAAAGCTTTAGCATATTTACTAAACAATATTTGTGCACAGTTCCTGAGCTAAGGATATACCGCCTCTGGGATAAGCCGATAGGCCCTCATCCAGTGGCCATGTTCGAGGTGAATCTCTTCTCACCAGCGCAGTTCGGCGCCTTCATCCCTTGGCTTGCCATCTATAGGGGTCCATTGTCAGTGTTGATCCATCCCAACACGGTTGAGGACGAAGAAGGGGTTGAGCGCCGAAACCATTCACAGAGGGCTATTTGGATGGGAGAAAGGCTACCTCTAGATTTAGATAGATTCTGAACTGGGTGTTGAGAAGATACTGGAGTATTGAATGAGTAGATCTATGAATTGAATTAGTCTATCCTGTGTCTTAACACTGGGAGTATTTCATATCGGATATGGCATTAAAGGGCTTTCCTCTAATTTAGAGCCAATATAACGAATCCCGCTCGTAATTCCCGGTTACCATATATTCTGCAAAAAGGAGCTTATGCTAAAATGCGATTTTTACGATGTAATCTGATAATTTATAACATCCGAGGTATTAGCAAATAAAATATCATTTCTTTGACTCTAAACTACATATCATTTCAACTAATATCCTGAGGTTGTTTCATTTTGATCAACTACCTACCTACTAGAGACCTACACGAACAAATGTCCAAAGATACTTGGTATCTAATGACACCGGCCGAATGCCTAACCTTATCCTATCTGATGGCTTCCACATTCTGAAATCTAGATTACTTCGGCATATTGACAACCTCCCCAGTCTCCAATAAGTAAGGGGTAGAGTACCCCGATGAGCACAAGGCTCTAGTCGTATCAACCCAATCCTCCTGGTCCCTTACTGCTACGAGCTAGTCCGGATTCGACGTGACATTCGTGATAGTTTCTACATTAGGAAGTGTATACTCGATGTAGCAGTCACATTCGGCAAATTCCCAGCTAGGTCGGGCCTTTCCCACTTCTTGCTTCACGGCCTCGTTGAGAGCAGCCGGTGTGACGAACTAGGTATATGGCGGGCGTAAGCGCCATACCTAGATGGCTCAGGGTATTAGCGACGAGCACTTACGAGCGAATAGCCAAGGATGTCGTGCCGCTTAAAGACGGGGATGGAGAGTGGGAGGTGCCCCTCAACCATCCATTTGATGAATGCCTCGTGAGTGTGTTCCGGCTTGTGATAATGGCTAAGATGTGATGGTAGAGGAATGTTCTTTTTGCTCACTTAAGAAGGGGAGGGCGGAGTGAAGGAAGAGGGGGAATAAAGGGTCTACTTTTCTGCGTGTCTACCTCTGAACTGTTTGCCCAAGCTCTCTATCAACATAATATTGATCTTTAAGTTAAATTTATATTCAAGGCACTCAAGGAAATGAATTCTAGCTTCCAGCTTCTGGATAAGAGGTATTGATGGTCGTGTCTCCGCAGAAGTTTCCCTCAAGGGCTTCCTTTGCCAGTTGCGCAGCATCCTTATTATGTCCTTTCGGAACACAATAAAACTTGAAGACGAAGCCAACACTCTTTTCTACCTCGGAAATAAAACTGTCAAGTTTTTGATACATATCGCCGTTCTTAACAGGTTTCCTCTGCTTTGTCAACAATTTCCCATTTTCCTCCCGCCATGGTTTTCGCTGCTTGCAGATATTGTCGACGACGTTCGCATTGTCTAGCACGAAGATGGTCCGGAACGGATTATCATCCTCGCAAGACGAAGCGTTGCTGTAACTAGGGCGCTTTTGAACCTTGTCGTGGCCCTCGGCACCTCCTGTGTGTCGAGATGGTGACGCATCTCTTAATGAGTGCCCGGAAGGGCCCGGCGTGGATTCTATGTCAAGCTCAGCTAGGCGCGCTTCTATTTCAACAGAGTCTCTAGAGTTTCTCTCTATGGCTTCTCTCAGAAGCGCTTTACGCTCCCTAATAATATTAGGCAGTACGATTGTAAGCACTAAGTATATAGCAGCAAGCTCGGCGCCTTCTGCGTCATGCCGTGTGTCCTTGTCCCCGCAAGGCGCTGCTATGTTATACTTAGAACCTGTTCCAAAGAAAACTCCATGGCCAGCCCGATTTCCTACATGGCTTTTCGGTGTTTGACCTTCCGGTATACTTTCTCCATGAATATAGACAATAAGAGATCCTTTCGCAACAAGGCCCCGTCGGTTACTGTCAATATCTTCTTTTGCCATTTCCCCAGCAAAGTGTTGGGGATGTTGGTGATGTTCGAGCTCGCTATGTCCGACTAGCCAGGTCAGCTGGCACTTTTCGCAATACCTGAACGCGTCTTTCATCTTTGGGTCCGTCGGTGGTAAAGGCTTAGGAGGGTTGTGGAAGTCCCATTTCCCACGTCTCTGTATCCATGCCGGGCCGAGCAACTGCTCATCCCACTGCGGTACAAAGTAGCGGGTGTCATAAAACAAAATCGTCCAATCTGCCGCACTACCTGTGATCACGTCCCTAGAGTTTGGATTGTATTTTTCTAGAACTAGTTTAGTGTTAGTGTGTTCTACGTAGTGTAGTGTAGTGTAGTGTAGTGTAGTGTAGTGTAGTGTTTGAGGAATAATTATACCTTTCTTACATAGTTCATAAAGGGATAGAATACGTGAAGTGTTAAGATACTCAAAGACCCACCCATTCATGTCGTCCATGTTGCAACCCCAATAGTTAGGATTGCGAGGCCTGTAGATAATTAATAGCGGAATGACGAAGTTAAGCGACGGGGGTTGTTGTTGGGATGGTTAAAATCGTGAATATCCTAGGAGGGCGATATTTTATACGGAGTCTATTAGTTGCACAATCTAGCTCTCTAATTTGTTTGTATCAACGAAAACAGGATAATAGTAGTAAATTCAAAGTTACAATTTATTACAATCTGAGCCTAGATAGTATGGAAACTTAGGTATAGATTAAGTACCTACCGAAAGTGCCCTTTGTTCCAGATGTATCATCTATAATCCTGCCTAGCACAGTTATGAAGTTACGGTAAGCTTTAAGTAGTAGCACACTGAGAAAGATTTCCCTCGTGGCATATAAGAGAGTAAAGCTATTAAAACTCCGTTGAACTAACCTTCCGTTGGAAATAAACAAACCTTAGACAATGCAAATCAATATGACATGACGAACTGATGGGTTGTTTCGCAGTTACCCCTTAGTCTACATGCATGCTTTAAAGGACCGACTGGGTAATCTAGACAACCTTTAAACCCGTTAAAATATGATATGTATATTTTGATAATTGATTTGTGACCATTCTGGCATTTTCTACCGGTCCATGTCTTTACTAAAGTTATATTATCTTAGGAATGAATTTGGTTGCCTTATACATCATTACCATCCAGCAAACGGTACCGGAAGTTTCACTCAAACTTAACTAGGAGACTACCAACAATGTGTTAGACCTAGATGTTTCCTAGGATACTATCAAGGCAGGATATGTCAGGTAGTTACCACCCCTCAGATATACCCCAGAACAAATCCTCAGTCTCGTCAAGCCACCACCCCTTCCAGTACTTCCATCGAGTTGCACAATCTTGTACCTTTTCCATAGTTCCCGTATCCCATATTTCAATAGACCGAGCCACTTTAGAGTCCCAAATATCTCCCCCGCGAAGGACGGCAGGCCACCTATAGTCTATCACGACCTTCTCCTCGCTCCAGGCCCATACGACCCATAGTCCCCGCCGTGCGCCGTGATCCTCGCAGATGACCAAGCTCTGAAGGGCGCAACCATGCTTGCGGGACTGGATGTACTGGAACATTCTTATCACTCCGTGTTTATTAAGTACGTCTTTAACGCCGTAGCCGTTGTGGATGAATGTTCGGAGGTGTTGCAGCGGCCGCAGTCTCGCGATAGCGTCTAGATACCCAGGCCAGCTACTACTAGAAGTGGGATGGTCGTTATCGGGGTGGTGGTCACGGGGAATATCCAAGCCGAGCCAAGCTAGCCGTGTACATATACTGAGCTGTTCGATATCGGATACCGAGAGTCCCGGTCCCGCACCGGGCTCTATTGTATGGAAGCGTAACTTCCGTAAGCTGGTGGCATTCTGTGCGCTGCGACTGAGGTACTCCATCAGCGCGGCAGACTGGTACCCGGTCAGAGATAGCTGGGGCACACTGATAGTAAACGGGATTTTCCCCGGGGGCAGGCCTAGTGTATTGGGTGATTTAGGCTTATACATATAAGTGGCTAGTTTGAGTGTTTGAAGAGATGGGAGAGATTGGTCTGCGAGCCTTTCCGCCAACATTTCTATCATTGAAGTGCTAACCAGGCTTAACGACTCCAGCTGGGACCACGGTATTAAACTCCATTGGGACCAGGCTTGGTCCGAGACGAAGAAGTCACCATGCAGAGCTAGGGATTTGAGATGGGGTGTTATAGGGGCGATATTCTCTAAGGCGCGGCAGCTCTCATTCTCGTAGTTAATACAGGTGTAGCCGATGGATTCCGAATCTGGGAGCTCTAAACACAAGTGTTCTAGGTTCTTATGGGGCCCTAGTAGAGCAGCTACCTCACGAGATGGTGATATGGGGGATCGAGCACCCTTCCAAGGCCCATAATTATCGTAAGGTCGATGAACGAATGCAATGCGCAGGGAAGTCAAATTTGAACGAGACGCAGACTCTTGTGACTTGGACGAGGCCAGAATAGAGATATCCAGGGTCTTACGGTCTAGTGTGTGGACGTAATTTTGTAAGGTTACTGTGACATTTCGGCCGATATAGTTTGAATCGTAGAATAAGGCGTTCCTGAACTCATTCATAGGTAAGGATTCTTGGCTGCCATGAGTTGTTCGGTCATGAGTTATTCCCGCATTCGGATGCGCATTTTGATCCCCACCAACACTGCCAGATACCTGATGTTAGCTCATCTGAAAATTGACATGATATGGGCTATCATACCTAACATGCTTGAGATTATGAAGCCGAGACAATAGTTTTCGAAGATCCAAGACCCAGTCACTCGTCACATCAGGGAACCCGATGCGAATCACGACTTCACGAATGTATTGATATAGGCGTTCATGGGAGTTCAAAAACTCCAAGTGGTCTAGAGCTAATTCGTAGGGTTCTGATAAAGTGTCGGCTTCAAAGACAAGCCGCCTAAACAAGATAGACGCAGCTAGCTGGTGCCATGCCTTGCAGGTTAAACTGGCGTTCTTGAGCGTAAGAAGTAATGGCTCGTCGACTTCACGCAGCTATCAAGTATCATTAGGTACTAAGCAGGTGAATTACGATATGGGCTTACGGGCTTGGCTTAAAGACCAACCTTTTGGAATATAAGCTCTTGGAGTTCGATGCTCAAATCTGCAAACCCTACCATGATAAGGCCGATTCCCACGCTTTGAGCCGGGAATAGGGCATACTAACAGCTATGATGCAACTGATTTCAAGTAATCTGTTGATGATGAGTGGAGAAGATGAGATTTTATTCAACATTCTCGAAAGCGGTGGGGTCTTAGTGGCTCGATGGGATATTCTCATTGGACTTACTATCTATTTCAATATTTCGATATCCGTTTATCAGGGAGAGGCATATCTCATTCTAGCAACTCACTTGCATATCGTGGCTGTCGTTTGTTATTTGATTTGGACTTCTACGTTGATTGTAGATTTCATGCTGTGTCTTAAAGCATAACCGAATAACCCGTCATCTGTTAGGATTCTAGATGAGGCTTCTGGAGCAAAATATATTTGCGGTATCTTTTACCACGGGCTTCCATAGCCAGGCTCAGAGTTTATTGCGTAGCAGCGAAGTTTAAGTTTTCATGCATTCTGGTTCCACCTCATAATATGATCTACCTCACCCAAAAAGTATCTGTGCAAACTCGGCGATCTCCTTATTGAATCTCTCGGGCTCTTCATAGAATAGCCAGTGGCCAGAGTCAAATATTGACATCTTTGCCGTTCCAGGGTGTTTCGACTCGATTCGCCGTACGGTCTCCTTCATGCCGTCGAGAGGGAAACAACCTGTTCTTCGACCCGCCATGACCAGAGTAGGCAAGGTGATATCTGCGATAGCTTCACGGTGATCGTAGCGCGTGTGGTCGGCTAGCAGCTTCGCTAGCCAAGTTTGGTCACACTGCGCGCTAATGCGCGTAAAGAATTCCTCGTCGCGCCGCCGTCGTTCGTCCGACAAATCGTCAGTAGCCGGCTCCGGCGCATATCGGTATCCCAAGCAAGATTGTACTAGACCTAGATGCGCATTGGCGGAATCATGTATCCACTCCCGCTGCGCAGCTTGCATTGTCTGCTCGTCATAACAGCCCAGGTGGGACTTCGTCGCGTCCCAGCTGCCAAAGGGCGAGCGATCTTGCAATGGCCCCTGATCGACGAAGACAAAACCGCTGAAGTCGTCGCACCCAAAGAGCTCAACGTAGGTCCATAGGACTGCAGCGCCGATTGAACAGCCGACGGGCACAATCTTTACCGGCTTGGCCTTGGTAAGGGCTAAGGAGTCTCTCAAATGAGTAACCAAGGCTCGCAGATCAACAGCTAGACGGGCTACATGATAACCTCCGAGCGGCCGACTAGAATTGCCGTGACCCCGCATGTCCGGGGCGACGACCCAGTAATCGCGACTCAGCGTCTCGAAATTACGCGTAAAATATGCGCTCGAACCGCTGAACCCATGCATCAAGAGGATGCACCGCTCGTAGCGAGCTTCAGATGCCGTTTTCTCGGGTACCTCTTTAACTGGTAGCGAGGTCTGAAATGCGAGAGTGCAACCATCATTGGCTATGCACTGCTCGTATTTCATACCGGGATCTGCCTTATTTGCCATGGTAATTAAATGGTATCCCAGTCTGATGTATGTTAAGTGCAAATCCTACAAGATTTATTATCAGTTGATGAAGCAAAACATAAATTTTAGTTCCTACAATTACTCGTTATCACCTTATCGTGGATAATGAAATATATATTATACAATACAGTAATCACTTATCTACCCCCTCCCCCCTCCCCCCCTTTTTCTACAACAGTTCGTTGACGTAAGGGCGCAAAAACGTAACCGGACAGTTATTAAAAAGGCAACAAATGAAGTAAGTATGCACCACTATCAGTGCTTGAATTATAATTCTATACGCTTGGTCTACTATTAACCTGAATATAATAATGATGTAAATCGCTATCCCGCCTAATGCTTGGATATAAGTATTCCTAGTCTATTCCCAACTCCGCTATCGCAAAAATATGCACCAAGTCTTCGTCTATTCGACGTCGTCGTCGTCGTCCCTCTTGCCCTCCTCCTCAGTCTAAAATTCGTTGATAGTCACATGAGCTAAATGGCATCGTACACCTCATACTCGTCTTTCCTTTCGTCGTAGTTACATCAGCGTCGGTTGAAGTTCAAGAATCGTCCCTGTATAATAATATTAGCACTCGTACAGAACACGCAAATGATGCAAGGGGGGGTGAAGGCAAAACTTACCGCACAGAATAAGATTATCAGATTACTGCCCAGGAAAGCAAGGAAGATACCAAGGTCCCTCCATCGGTACTCGAAGTTGAACCCTAAAGGCTCGTAAAACTCATTGCCCACCTTGTAAGCACAGTATTGGCACAGACTAGTAGCGTTGTCCACGATGTACCCAGCGCCCTTCTCCAAGAAAGGAGCCATGTACTCGCCACAGGTTTGGCCCTCTGGTGCAGTGAATGAGTTGAGCTCCCACGGTTGGCAGTTCACCTGGAGGTCATCCAGAGCGGTAGTCACCGTGCCACCAATCAGGCGGGTGAACGGGTCCAGCTGATATAGCCACGATCGCCAAAAGGCAGGCATCTGGGGGGCGGGGATCGCAACGCCACAGAACATCGAGAAAGTGATAACGATGAAAGGATCGAATTGGCTGGCAACGAAAGGAGAAGGCGACAGAGCAGCAATGCACTGCGCCAAAGTGATCGAGAACAGCTCCGTAATCAAAACCATGAAGTACTGATAACCAGCTCGCGAGGACTCCATCTGGAAACCTGGGATATAGTACAAGGGAAGGAAGAAGATGACGGAACAGAAAATCGAGTAAGGCAATTCGGCAAGTACCATAGCCGAAGTGAAGGTAAATGTACTGTACATCTTGCTCAACTGTTCGCGGAAGAAAATCGATCGCTTGATAACGAACATCAGTTCGACTTGGGGGAGCAATAAACCGGTCAAGACGGTAATCTGGAACATGACGAAGACCTTGTACTGCAACGCTGAACGAGAGTCGTCGAGATTTAGATAGGTCAGACCAGTAAGGACGGAAATGACAATATGATTGAAAATACGCGTAAACAGATAGTTGGGTGATCGCCAAAAGGAGAGATTGGTACGTTTGATGACAACGCTCAATTGGTGCGCGAGCGGTGAAGCGTACTCGCGTTGTAGAGAAAGATCGGTTTGCGCAGCCGCCTCTTTACGGGACTCTTTAAACTGGGAGATCGTGTCCTTAACGTTAGCTAGCTCAGGGCTGTCGGCCCAGATCTCTGACCAATCTCGGTTTCCAACTCGGGGAGCACTTCCAGCACCAATAGCCTCGAGCATGAATTCTGCAACGTTGTCGGATGGACCCGCGACAGCACCATGTCGAGCCAAGTAGTCCCGAAGAATGCATGCATCCTTTCCAATATCACCGAAGTATACGCAACGACCTCCTCTTTGTAGTAGAAGTAGTCGGTCGAAATTCTCGAAGAGGGCGGCGTTAGGCTGGTGAATCGTGCAGAGAATAGCCTGTCCAGCAGCAGCAAGCTTCCTTAGGAATCGAACGATGTTGAAAGCACTTTGACTATCAAGACCCGAAGTTGGCTCATCCAAGAACAGTAGAAGCTGTGGCTTGGCCGCTAGCTCGACACCGATGGTTACACGTTTACGCTGTTCGACAGTAAGGCCGGCTTCAGGGGTTCCGATTATACAGTCTGCAATATTTTCCATTTCCAACAGAGCGATGATCTCCTCAACATAAGTGTACTTCTCTTCGCGTGGTGTCTCGAAGGGTTGTCGTAGGTCGGCCGAGAAACGTAGGGCTTCGCGAACGGTTTGGGTCGGATCGTGCATGTCGAGCTGCTCGGCGTACGAGGTAGATCTCTGAAACTCCTTACCCGGTTTAAGGCCATCAACTAGGATGTCACCAGTGATGACACCGATATTCTTCCTTGCGGCCAAAACATCCAAGAGGGTCGTCTTTCCAGCTCCAGATGCACCCATAAGAGCAGTGAGTTGACCAGGCTTACAGTAACCATAAACATTGTTTAGAAGACGACGAGTGCCACCGGGAACAGGCACGTCATAGTTGAGGTTTTCCCATGTTAGAATGCTAGTGGACTCAATCTTCAAAGCAGATCCCGTGTCCGCCTCCCTCGACTTTTGGCGCTGTAATCGCTTTTCGTTAAGGGCTTCGTTCAGAGCCTTTCGTTCAGCATTGGGTTTCGCGAAGACCTTCGCCTGATTGCCACCCATACCATACTTCACAAATTCGCCCAATACAACGTTCATGATGAGGAAGAATACGATGATGGCCATAATAATACCAAAGTTCCTCCACAAATCCTGGGGAGCATAAGAGAATCCTTGCGTAATATAATCGCCGCCGTTTATCTCGAGACTCCCTGGGGTTGAGCCTGCTAGAGTGCAGACTTGATGGCTAATGTTGCCATACGAAGGCCCTGAGGGAATAAGCGACTCATCCGAACATGTTAATTGGTTTCTTCCGAACTCGTTGGCCATCAGGCTGGCAAAGGTAAGACCTAAAGTGTTGATCCAGAAGATCCACCTAAGCCAAACCTGTTGAGACTGATATTGGATTAGATAACCGGAGGTCAGGACGAACAAAGTGATGGTAACGACAGCAAACTTGATCGCATAATCGAAGTCAGGACTAAGACAAGCGATTATACGGAAGTAGAGTGTCATCGAGATGTTCCCAACAAGAATCAGCAGATAGAACGTGAAGAAAGCCCCAGGTGTCCTCGTAAGGTTAGTCATGAAGTAAAGGATGATGGAGAACACAAGAATTCGCGTTGCTGAAAAGGCTGTATCAACAAATATCTGCGCTATCCATAATGCCGATGGTCGATGAAAAGTGTATGCTTTGTGCTTGTTCACGATCGGTCGACCCATCATTGTCGATCCTAATTCAGAGAAAGCTTCGAAGGCGTTGAACAGGAGAGAGATGAAGAGCAGACCTCCTTTGCTGAATGCGCTAGCAGATGTTTGTCCCAAGTTGAAGTACAAGGACCCCAATACTAATGCGATTACAATAGTTCGAATCCAAGATAGCACTATAGTAAGTTTGTCCTGGAACTTGAGGGCAAACTGTCGTTTCATCAGAGCCCACACCTGGAGGTGGAAACCTACACTGTAGACGGAATGTTTCGCACCGCTTCGCTTACTCTCGCGTACAGCCATGCGGAAATCATTATGGCGAGCGATCTCTTGTTCGTGTTCAAGCCTAGCCTTGTATTCTGCCATCTCGGTACTCAATTGCTGGGCAAACCGGGATTTCTCGAACGCCTCGGCCAATGTCTCGGGGCTGTGTGGGGCATTCCGTGCCGAAAAGCCATCCGAGTATTCGCGCTCAAACTCGTCCGTGCAGCCGGTAATGTAATCGGGTGTCGTCTGTCGCGGCCGCGGGAGGAATCCTAGCCCTTCGAAATAGGCTCGCGCCTCGGTAGTGGGACCGAAGTACACCTGCTTGCCGCCGTCTATAAGTAGGACTTTGTCGAATTGCTTGTAAATATTCTCGGATGCCTGGTAGAGAGATACGAAAGTAGACGTCTTGTACAAGTTGGTTTGGATCCGAAGGGACTTGACAAAGTCGAGAGCTGTGCTAGCATCGAGACCTCGAGTGCTGTTATCCCATGATAGAACACAGGCATTTGTGATCATCATCTCGGCAATAGAGACACGCTTCCTCTCACCACCGGAGACACCACGGACCAATGCATCACCAACCACGGTTTTTCTCGTGTGCTCGATATTGAACATCTTGAGTAGCATTGTAATCACTTCCTCTTTGAACTTGCTCTTCGAAGTTCCCGCTGGCAGTCTTTTCGAAACCTTGGTGTCAAGAGCAAAGCCGAGTGTCTGTTCAACGGTAAGGGTAGCGTGGTGGATATCGTCCTCCTGGTTGTAGACGGCCTCGCCACGGTATTGTTTGAACTCCTCTGCGGTAAATGGTCCGTAAAGGACCTCTCCGGTAACGCTAGTGTAACCCCATCGCTGGTTCGCGATCGACTTCAAGAAAGTTGTGCATCCAGATCCCGGCCTTCCTAGAACAAGAACCATCTCGCCAGGATTCACGACACCCTTGAAATTGTCTAGCAAGGTGACCTCGGTACCTTTGCTACCCTTGCCAAGTAGGCTCATCAAGGGAGTCCAGTAGTCGACGAAGTCCTTGAAAGCATCTGGGAATGTTTTCACGAAATTGGCAGTGCCGCCCATACCCTTGACTGTAAGCCCGTCCCAGTAGACGCCAATATGCTTTGGCTTGATGCCGGCCTCTCTCTCGGCATCTAGCCCTCCTCGTAGGGTTGCCTCCAAGTCGAAAGCTTCAAGCGACTCTTCAGATCCCGGAGTCTCGAGGGTTGTGAAGCCCCCTTTCTCGACGTCAGACTCCCTTCGGCTACGGGTACGACTTGCTCTAGACAGCCCAGATAGTTCCCGCCTGAGCTCAGCAAAATCGGCTTCAGCTTGCTCGACGGAGACGCCGGTGTTGATGCGCGAGAAGCCATTGGGGTTGTTCTGTCTCACAGTTTCACGTTGCTCCTCTAAATCCGTTGTGATTGTCGAATCCGTAGACGGCGGCCCAGTAGTTTTAGCCGACGTGAATCCATTGTCATGATCTTGGGGCGGCTCCCCAGATGCAAACTGCTTGTCCAAATCCTTCTCGGACATGGCTATGGCCCCACAGCTGTTGTGGGTGATACCCAGCTTACACGGTTGATCTCAGGAGCCTCGAATTTGCGCGAATCTCTTATTAGGCACGTAAATTGAATTTAAAAAAGTGAACTTGAGAAGTGCCTTTGGTGACTCTGGGTGCTAGAGGATACAGGAAATAATAATTACACGGCTAGTCGAATGCAGTTCAGAGTGGCTGTAGGTGTGAAGAGTGCAACCCGAAGTCTAGCAGAGAGCGAACAGAGACTATTAAGTCCAGGGGAACCTATTGGACTTGTCAAGGCTGTTCGGCTACCTCTTAAAGGGGAGCGAAAGGGAAAGGAATTAGGGGAAAGAAAGAAAGAAAAAAGTCAGAGAGAGAGAGCAAGATAAAAAAAGGATGCATATTTCTTAAGGGTATAATAAGAGAAAGTGCTTATGGGTTTTGTAATACAAACCTCCCCTGGCAAACGTACCTAATTGTTAGCAAAATACTTATTCGTAACTACCCCACATATATTAATGAGAGGTACCTCTCTTCAGTGTCTTTCCTATACGCTAATATATGCACTACTTGAAGGTGGTTGATTCTAACATACTCCCTATAGTTAAGACCTCTTAAAACCCTTAAGTATTCTTAATCCCCTACAATTTAAAAAGATAACTCATATATACAAATACTTATAACAATATATTAACATAAATGCTTGACTACCTCGTGTAGACTACTTACTCATGTATCGTTAGAAGTGTATGTGGGGATACGTAACCTAAGTAGTATGTAAACAGTTATCTTTCATACCCGGGGGCAGGCTGGGAGCTTCTGAAGCCGAACTTCTGGCATGGGGCTTGGCAATGGGACAGGATTACCAATCAATAGAGCAAAGATATGTAAAGTAACTCCATAAAAATTCCGTTTCATCTGATACCGATTCTTCGCTAGCGGTGTAAAAAGATTAGGCTATGAGCTAAACCGGGTTGCAAGGTATACTTTGTACTACCGTTGTATTGGGCAACCAACTGTATGTAACTAACCGCTTGACACTACGGCGAGTAGATAGGGTATAGTGGCCCCCACTTTCTAAGTGGATTGAAATCCGTAGGTAGTATTTTAAACCAGATAACTATGCCGAACCATAGTGCCGGATTTAACTTACTTACTATATCGAAACTCCGAAACCTTTTCAAGTAGTTGATTTTATATTAGTTAATGAGTTAAAACACATGTAATAATCCGTGTAACGAGCAACTACTTTTATATAGGTACCTAGTTAATAATAGTCTTGACATAAAAGCTATTAAAATTCGTAACGTTGGCGAATAATGGTGATATCAACACCATGATATATGTATCATGCAGCTGTCCTAGTCCCGGAACTCTGTTACTGATAAGATGTGCCGCGTTGGACCGCAGATCGGTTTGGAATGCGTTGAGGTCTTCTCAATTAGTCCATCCGAAGTTCTTCCTATTGGTTGCCGTCGGCTTCCCGTATCCGCACCCCGACTTGTGCATCTCGAAGCCTCGTGGAAAGTGGACACTTTGCCAAGGGTTGCGTGCGCCGTGCGCTGATGCTGTCGTCCTATCAGCCTGTACATACCTAATATAGAACCAACCACACCTACCGCTGTTTCGACTCATTCGGCCAATTTAGTCGGGGCTAGATTCGCAATACCTGACTAGTCAGCTTCATCTACCTACGCAGCCATGGAATAGGGGGGAAGCTTTTTATCTTACTCCTTAAATTCGTCCGTTCAGCCGTTGCGGGTGGATTTGCAACGGCCCATTTATAATTCGGATACGGGGTCGGAGTCCGGTACGCCACGGAGTTATCGACCTCATTAAGTACCTGTTAACTACCTACCTACCTACAATACTATTGACAATGTTCTTTATGGATTACACATATCTACCCCATCTCGGCCCAATTCATGGTTCCGGCAAATATACGTGAGTCGATGATTAGAAATGATGTAGTGGAACCGTTACATTCGCTTTACATTTATCTCGATCTACTGTGTATCCAAACAACGACTTGACACACCCAAAGTCGCAATCTTCGCACTTGGTCGAGAACACAACCGAAAAATATCCGATGCTGACTACATTGAAATCCTCTTGAGATTCTTATACGATTGTAACATAACAGGTCATAACAGGCAGACCGCCCCCACGGATTATGTATCCGTGCGTGCGGGTACAAATATTTGAGATCCAGGATTCCAGCCAGGTAAATTTCCATACGGCTCAGCACTTACTTCGCCACCGACCCAGAAAGACCAGAAAGATCCAGAGGTCTAGAAGCTCCGATACGCGGAAGCTCTCTCGTTGGACACAGCTTTGAAATGCATTTAACTGCCTAACATACATAGAAAGCGGTATCTTTCTTATGTAGATCCATGTCACATAACTACCACAAAACGTGCCCACATGATATGCATATATATGTAAGCTGCACGTACATGGAAATGCCTACATATGTCGTGAAACTCGGCGTGGTGACCCGGGCCAACGGCAAAGTTACTAGCTTATAGGTGAATAAACTAGTCCACGACCACAGCTGAAGCATCATGTCTCTTGTCTGTTGGAGTAAGAGACTACCTCATAGATTATGCGACGATGAACTGTAATACGCTTTGTGTAATGATTCGTATTACCTATCCATCGTTATCATCGCCGCCATTCGGGAAGGACCCTAGCTCGTCCAGTCATATCAACTCAGAATGAGCATCATTCACGTGCATCTTTCACCGTTGATCGTCAGGTCCATATTATAAACCACGGAATTACCTAATGTGGTATATATCCGTACTTTGTACATGCTCCCGTGCCCGACACGGCATCTGTCATCCATACCTTATTTATTAATAAGTTTACATATATCTCCAAATGTATGTTTAGCTTATAATTGTTAGGTACCTAGCTAAAACCAACACTCCTTATATGATTCCGAAAAAAAGAAAATCTACAAATATTGAATCCTTCTGTGGCATTCTAATCATTCTAATAAATTTTCTAGCGGGCCGTCGTTTCGGTGAGATTAACCCAACTCTTGCTCATTTAGAAGAGAGCCCCATCTGCCTGGGATTGTGGCGACCTGTTTTTCATGCGGGCGAGGATAATGGAGATAATAGTGGTAGTTAATCTAATCTCCGTCAAGCCCCTTGTAGTCATAGAAAATTCTCTTATATTCTCTTATATGCATAGATACCTAACCTACGGTATATCAATAGGCACTGTATAAGGTATCTACGTATGTCCTCAAGTGCGAGAAAGACACAGGTACACTGCTCGTCTAACCTAATTGGTTGACTTCTTTGATATACTATTCCTAGGATGGTATGCTTTGACCTTTTTCGAAGCTTTGATCTGTTGACATACATAGTAAGTGAAGTATGTATCTGTGTCTATCTCGCACTTGAGGACATATACATATATACCTAATAGATCCTACCCTCAGTCATTTCCAATTTGTGGCCCTAGGGGATACCTATCTATCAGTAAGCACTTGGAAGCTCAACCTAAGTCATAATCATATATACTGTCATCTCGTGAGGAACATTAAGAACTATTGAATAGTGAGAGAAATGCTAGTTAGGGTCTCGCAAACATCTTCATAGTGGAGGCGTAAGTTAACAACGACTAAATTATGCTGTGCCTTTCGAAACCGTGATAGCTCCGTCACCACGCATGAGAAGGGATTTATTACGATATGTGGTGACGATCTATAAGAGCTCTAGACTCCAATCGAGTGCCACGTGCAAACAAGAAGACAAATGACTCAAGTTACATCATATCCACAAGAAACCACCTCGTATGCTTTCTCCGAACTTGTAATCCTCTTTTCCCCTTTGATGCTAACCAGGCCCCCAAACAAAAGCCTGCCTGGATGGAATCAAGCATCGAAATGTTTACCAACGCCGGCCATGCAAGGTAGAAAGTATAGGGTTCATTCGTTCCTTTTCCTATCTAGTAGCACGGAGACCTAATAATCTGCGTCGTCTCATGCTGCTTCCCCCCGTAAACCAAGGATGAGCCCATAGGGAGTACAGAAATTCCGATTACGGCTGTTTCGACCTAATGAGATATAAGACACAGCGTGTCCAGTTCGGTCTGTGTTTTGTGCTTCATCTATAGACTTTTCGGCGAGTGGAGATGGTTGCCTCCACCACTACTCTAGTCACATTTGCCATTCGGCTTGCTCTCCTAGAGCTCCGAGTCTGCCCCGTTCGCCTCTACAGCCATGGGGCTTCCTCCTTGGCCATGTCGTCTTCGCGGCCGTAGTCTTCGCACGGGCCGTCCATTCAAGTTCATACTCTCGTCATCATCGTCGCTATCTGGATTGGTCTCTGCATGATGGCGCGCCTCATCTAATTCCGAGATGTTATCCGGTTTATCTCGTAGCCACTGCATCCGTGGGCCTGAGCGCGCAACCTCTGACACACGGAAGCCGTAGATACGGGGCTCGTATATCTTGCTACTGCCCAGTCCAGGCGCAATATTGCATGTGTACATGCCATTAAGCATCTCCTTATCGTCATCGCTCACGCGCGCATTCGCTAGTACATCAGCACCCCGTTTCGTAAGATCGTATTCGGGAAAAGTGAGTAGGAAAAGTGCGCCAAACGTGCGGCCGAAAAAAGCACCATCCACAGTCTGGAAACGGCTGTTAGGGGGCACGTAGACATCGAGACAAGAAGGACAGAAAAGCTTGACCGTCTCCTCGCCAGGTATATCAGAGAGCCCAACAGGGAGAGTCCGAGACTGTTCGCAATGGCTTCGAGGACATACGCCGAAGTGACCTAACTCATACTTCTCCGACATTTGCTGAATGCCTGCTCGCGAGCAGATAAAGCGCTGATGGATTAGACCGTAGAGCATCTCGGCGGAGGATTCGATAACGGACAAATCACTGGCTATTCGACTGTGATTGCGTCGTTCGCCGTGTCGCGGACGGTCAACGCCTTCGATAGATTCATCCTCTTCATCATCTTCTTCCTCATCGTCTTCATCGTCGTCCTCGGGTTCAACATCGAGTATCATCTGGGGTAGAGGTTAGCAAAACGAAAGCACCGGACACCCTGATTTTAGCTAACCTCCAGAGCTTCCTTATACATCGCGACCTGGGTCTGTAATCCAGTTAGGTTGAAGTCATCTTCGATAAATTCTTCGGACACTTCTGCGAAATATTCGTGGCCCAGGAGAGAGCAGAAGGAGGAAATCCAAGATTCCGGAGTGCCAGAAGACGACGACATTCTGGCAAGAAGAGTGACGCGCCCGAATAGATAGATCTCTCGTCTCGAATAAATTCAACTTGTCTAGGGGTGACGGTGGCCAAGGGTCGCAAGGTGTATTGCGTGTATTGTTGAAGAACCCCCGCAAGACCGTAATTACTCGTGGTTAGAGAGACGAGAAAAGAGAGCTCTATGGCACCTGCATGACGCCGATAAAGGCGAGTACAGGGCAAAGACGAAGGGGAAAAGAATAATTCAAAGCACGAGGGGAGATATCTATGCCTAGAGATACCTAGGACAGGTCTCGGCAGATGAATATTGTGCTACAATGGTGAATCAATATTGTGAAATAGTTGTGATGCATGTGTTGTGATAAGTTTTAGCGGGGATGGGGGATGAGAGGAGGGAGAGGCTACCAAAATTACGATTCAGCCCAGTCTAGCCCAGCAGGTAAATTCCATCGGTGGGAATTATGTGCACCCACCGGCCATAAAGTGGTCCGTGCGTGGCTAGAAGTAAGGTGTAGTAAGTATAGGTACAATCTTCTCTCACAATTATATACCCAAATACTTATCTTGAATATGTACAGCTACTTTAGGTGGTATCTAACTTATGCACCTACGAGCCGCATCAGGCAAGGTCAAGCCAGACTAGTAGCCACAGTCAAGCCGCAAGCAAACAAACCTAAGTCCATCTGGTTCGTGCGAATTCCCGTTTTCTATCATGCGCCATTCCATGTGCGATAATCTCCAACCGTGTCACCACCTAAATTCTTAATAATATTTCAATAATTTTTATATTAATGCCTTAACAACTCACATCCATCCCCCTCCAAAGAATCCGTCGATTAATGTTGTCTAAAGTCAGACTCAGCTCGCGGGTGGCTTTGTACAAACACACCTTCCGACGCTCCGGAAATCCATCTCAGGTTCTGCCCGCGTCTTCGACCAACCGAAGTTATGGTCAACTCTTGAATAATCCCAACTCGGCCCCTGCCAAACAGACTGAACAGCACACTTCCCGTGTTGAGTCGGTTACAGGCGATATCGACTTAGATTTGTTTCGTAGAATCGCATGGGCTCCTGAAACTCCGTTGCTTCTTCGAAGCTTCCATAATTTGCCTGCCATACAAAAATGGTTTCAGCACGGCACTGGAGCTTCTCATGCCAGCTTCGCACAGTACATGCGGCTCTATGAAGACCTTATCCTGCCATATGAGTTCACCATCCCCCATCCTTCGGGGGGAGAGGGCTCGGGGGGCAATGCCTTGGCACGTTTTCAAGCATGGCTTCTTGAGTCCAACGAGTATAAGAAGTCGCATTTACCAGTGATCCTTGAGGCTATCGTTAAATCGTCAAGTGATGAAAGCCCTTTTGGAATCGTCTCAAATTTCCAGCAATTCAGTGCACCCTTAAGTTTAATTATGAGCGCATCTCAATTCAATGAGACTCAAAGTGAACCCTCCAAGCGCATCGCAAATCTCTATGTTGCTCAATCTAATCTGAACGACCTACCCAAACCCCTTTTTCAGGACTTGCCTGTGCCTGATATGGTCAAATACGCCGGCAAGGGAGATATATATAGTTCGAGCATCTGGCTTGGATTACAGCCCACATATACCCCTTTACATCGAGACCCAAACCCGAACTTGTTCTGCCAGCTAGTGAGCTCAAAAAGAATACGTCTTGTGGCACCAGAACAAGGCGATGACATATATGCTCGTGTCCGCAGAGTGCTTGGCTTATCGGGTAGCTCGCGATTCAGGGGTGCCGAAATGATGGAGGGCCGCGAACGCGAATTACTTCACCGTATTGTCTGGGACGAAGAAACTATAGATGAGGTATCTTTAAACCCTGGCGATGGCCTATTCATCCCCAAGGGATGGTGGCATAGCGTTGCCAGTAGTGGCAAGGAGGGTGAGTTGAATGCTTCAGTCAATTGGTGGTACAGATAGCAACTACATTTTCTACACTCTAAAGCTGAATAAGAGAAAAACATAATAAGTATTACTTAGTTCCTATGTACATCATGCTTTACGATATAACTTTCGCTAAAGTGAAATCTACCTAACCTATACAGTCTCTATTTACAAGGTACTTGGTCTAGTAGATCGGTAACGCTTCTCCCGAGATCAACTTCGCAAAATAGAAAGGTTTTAAGGACACTTCTTAGAGATATAATGTATTCATAACTAGGTGTGCATGCCTTGTCCCCCCAAACCTGTTCGAAATGATGAGTTCCAATGAAGTTCGGGGTGGAAGATATCAAACGACTTACTTCACTACAATAGTAAGATAGGGGCGGCCGTAACCCCTGTGCGACGTGATGCTTACATCTTAGCGTTTATTATAATTAGAAACATAAGCCTAGCTTCAGTAAGCATATTGATATTCACGCTATGGTCTCTTTGAGTTGTGTACCTAAATCCTACCTTCAGGCTCAGCCCCTTTTCAGATCTCGCTATCGAAATATCGGCGTTAACTTACAGTACTGACAGTTAATCGCCATTGATATCAGATTAATTATTTAAGTTATAATTAAGCTAAGCGATTTCATGGTAATGTATCATTCTTGACTTCAGTCTATGGTGGGAAAGCTCTCCTAAACTCCAAAAGGAATTGCCTGTCTCATAACATATTCTCTGAAGCTACGCTTCCTCAGTAAGACCCATTTCCTCATCAGTCGGCTCAGTATAAGAGCCTCTCGGCTTCTCTTTCCGAGTCCTATCATTTAACACATTTTTCTGATCAATAGCTTCTGCCTCATCGCGCGCTACATAGAGAGTTCATCAGTTAAACCGATCGGCATAGTTTTCGTAGCATATGTTTAACTCACCTAGTTGCTTATCGGAGTCGGCATCCTCAGGATCAATAGGATCTTCGATGTTCTCATCATCCTTCAAGACTGGAATGGCGTCAGAATCTTTCCGCCCCTCAGTAGTGTATGACGAGTCGTAAACTTGGCCATCTGGGGCCTCGGAAGGCAATTCCCCAGATGCCTTGTTGCCTGTTTGTTTAGATGCGGTCTTGGACATGGTAAATGTGATTTGAGATGTAGTTTGGGCTCAGTTGGACTAGAGAGTGTGATTTCCGATTCAATACGCGGGTCTGATATGTCTCTATTTATCAAGGTACCTACCTCACATTCTTAATCATTTGCCATATACCTGTTCAATCTCAGATAAATCGAATACATATTACATGTTGTCACCAAGGTGACTGATGATATAATAATGACCATTACATGGTTACATTGATCCCTTCCTATGTCTTAGATCACGCCCCAGATCCACCGTCAGTCTCAACGTCAAAATTAGTTTGGATCGTATAAAAAGGCTACTAAAATACCTATTTTGACATTGATCCGGACTAGAAATCCAATAAGGGAAGAATGGATCTTACCGGGATCGTTACGATTTATCATTATATGCTCATCATCTCAATGTATATCTGCACGATACCCCCTTTATTACTTTAGTACGATATTTAAGCGTGCTCTTTGTCCCTTACGCGCCTTTATTGAGAGCTGGTGCAATATGCCTCTTTGGAGACTCGATCCTAAATTTTCAGTTAACAGTAGCCATCAAGATGCGTTGAACATTGTCTCGATAATAAGAAAGTCATCAGATGAGTAGCATCAATACAATTGAGTACCTAGTTTATCAGTCCATTGTTTTGGAGTGGAGGAGAGACAAACTTTGAGCGGAGCTGCCACGCGAGAGGCGGGGAGGGGAGACTTTGCACGCTCTTAGATCAATATCATCGTGCTCCGGACTATGGGACTTCAACGAACCGTGTGTTAGTCCTGCAGCGTCATTTACCTCACCCACTCTGCCCCTCTCTGATTCGAAATTTGTGTGTTAACGTTGTTGATCACTTAGTTGTCAGTGGGGTATTCACTCATATAGGCTATGTTGTTCCCGAGTTTTGTATGAACTAGTTACCTGAGTATATCCGTCTGGAACGTGAAAGGGGAAGGATCACGGTGTTCTAAGCTCATGATATAAGCCGCATAGGTCATGATACTCTTACATAGGCATGGCAACGTTATCTCCTAACTGTACTTTCTGTCAACATAGTTCTTCAAGATTGCCTACGCAAGTCCTAGGAAACGTACACATACAGGGCTCATGGGGCATAGCAGCGGGGAAACATTTCCGGGCAAAGGATCATCAATACTTGAAGTTGCGATTGGACCAAACAATCACCGGGTCTTACTCCGGGTTCCGAAACATTGGCACCTTCTAGTACTGCACAAGTGTGCAAATGCAACCCTCCTCCGGCTTCTTCCAGATGTAGTAAATCTAAGAGAATGATAGTCAAATTTCTCGCTGCTCACTCAATCATATCATATAGTTATGTAGTAGTCACGACTAGACTTCGCTAACGGGAGTTTTAAGGTCTTTGAATACAAAGAGTTCTTCATTACATGTTATATCTTATGCCTAATGTTTCGTGTCATTAAAGGGGGTATATGGGCTAGTCATCAATTGTACCAGCGTAGATAACCAAGCCAAGCTGCCGTTCCCGAATACGCTAATATCAAACAGTCTCAACGACTTCCCGAGTCTCAATTTGAACCGTCACCGCTGAATTAATACCTGCGATGTCGCTCCAGGGGTTTTCCTTATCCTGAATCCAAGCCATCTGGATCTCCCCGCAACACACGATAAACAATTTCGGCTTGTCATTGACGTAATTCAGCTCGACGGCTGTTGGGGAGGCTAAATTTCGTAAGACAACACTTGTCGTGGCCTTGCCCGTCGAGGGTTCGACATCGACCTTCCAGATAAACCCATCCTTATAACTACACGTGTAGGCCGCAGTCTCATCCCGCGTAAGGACCAGCCCGTCGCAGTCAGTGATCTCATCGGTAAGAATCTGCACAGGTCCTTTTATGCGGATTCCTACAGATGGATCATCTTGAACTCGTTCGATCGGGATGCGACCTAATGTACCAGCGCTGGTATTCGTAAACCATATAAACGCATCCGTGATGCATATCCGGTTAAGGCCAAAGAAATTTCCTTCGCCATTTGCAATCTTCATAGAGTCGTCAGCCATGAGTATTGATGATTGACCTGTCACTGTATCGAGATGCCATATGCAATTCTTAGTTGAGTCTGGTATTATCAACACACGATCTGAAATGGCGACGGCGGCTGCGCAGAGGCCTGCATTTGGGATTTCGGCTACTTTGGTGACTTTGGGCGGACTGCTGTCGTCGGGGCTGAGCGCTACGCGCCATATGATAAAATCGTTGAACTCGACGTTAACTAGATCACTAACGGTTGAAAGAATGAAATATTCATCTTTGGTACCCGGTATTGGATCCGCATCGACAAGACCGTTCGCATGTTGTTCGAAACTATGCAGTAGCTTAGGTGTCGCATTTGCGTCTTCGGGATTAAATGTGTATAATTCAGGTTCGTCTAGTCGACAGGCTAGGATTTTGCCATTGGGCCGAAAAGCAAAAGCTTCAAACCAAGAGTCTGATGGTAGTTGTGTCACTAGGACTACATCCTGATCAGATCCGTCCTCGAGCATGGCTGAGTATAATGAGACTGAAAAGTTTATGTGATGTAAATGTGTAGGTAGGTAGGTACGGATTATGTTATCTTGACTTGAGGTTGCTGAGGTTGATAAAAGTCAAAATGGATATAGCTCAGACGGTATTGAGACCTGACCGAGTATGAAATACTTGAAACCCCATGGCGGCCCATTACAATAATAATGTGACTTGGGCCCCTATCCCTGAACTATACCAAGAATCTTTAAGCGGGCATTTCCCGCATGAACAATTCATGTGCAAATGCGGCACACGTAAAGTGGAGAGTGGAGATGTGAAAAAGATCGGGAAATTATCTCCTCGTTGCTGTGCTAAAGGTAAGCTACAGGGAGTCTTCCCGCTTCTAGTTTGGATGCTAGAAGAATATGCTTAGTACGTCAAGGTATTTAAAGACGACAGTTAGGAGTTAGGGTAACTATTTCTTAGACTAGTTGATTCTTTATTCGTGATGACTACCCGGATATACTTCGAATATAAGACTCACTTGGTGAGGTTGTTGGCATAGGAGGTACTTAACCTAACCTATATTAAGTTATTACTGCGTTCGTCGCCGTCCCAGTGGCTCCTCTACTGATCGACCAGACTAGTTGCCATTGCCGTGGTAAGCGAACCGCAATCAGCTAGGAGAGTTATTTACGCGAGTGCCCAACCCGTTCCCGAGTCCTCATTCTATAGTCGCCCCGACCGCGGACGTGGGATTACGATCAATCACTTCCAACCAATACAATAGCACAGGGTAGTCAACTAACGACCCGAGCGAGTTTCGGAACGTCCCACCAGTGGTGTCGTTACCGACTCCGTACCATGTAAGTAATTAAGATACACCAGAACCGCCCGCTTTGATTCTGTTATTAATGCCCCTGTTGGGTTCTTGTTAACCACGGGCACAGGCATCTGGGTAGATAATTTAGTCTAGTCGATAATCCATAGGGCGTCCCTTGTTGTCTCGATCGGCGCCAGTTAACCAAGCCGTCTACATATAGAATACCGACGGCATCATCCACTAATAGTTTTAGTCTGCGATGGCGCTCTTTGCACCCACGAAGAAGGCTTACGACGAAGCCCTAGCCCCATCAGTTTGTGGGTTAGGAAGTGGAACTAGCAAAGAATCTAAGCCTAAGAGGTAATCAAAAGGGCAGGACAGCAACCGAGCCGAACTCTTCCAGTCTCGTTCCGGATCCACCAGCGGATGCCCGAGCGTCCTATCCCCGGTAATATGACCCAGTCCCCTATTTTCTTTGGAGAGCCCCAGATCATATCTGTACATATATCGATATGACTTTCGGGTTGTAACTCTGGAGTACAGCCGAAATTGAGCCCCTGGAATCTTAGGTTTATTCGATGTTGGTGCTTACCTAGTTGCTATAGTTATCGGGATTTGCTCAGGAGATCATCCCTACAAATTACTGCGTAAGGCCATGTAAGCACTTGATCTAGATGCTTGTCAGCGGTCCCGTCGGCAGCTCCCGTATTTTGTTGCCGAAGTTTGCCCTTTACATAATACTTTACTTCGGTAAGGATCTGATTGTGACAAGCCTTATAGTTACGAACTAACAAATTTCTAAACTAGCGGCTTACATTCCGGTTGGATATCCCGGATACCAGAGTGATGTTAAATCCATGTTCCAATTATAATACCCACTTACGACACAACTCTAAAGTCCTGAAAGTAACTAGTTATTGTTTAATATTTTTGAATGAGGCGGCCTTAATATGTACTGGACTCCCGCCTCAGGTTTCTCTAGCGCTAGAAGGCTTTACCTCTTCAGAATATTTCTTATCCTCCCTATTATGTAGTCCTTTTCGACAATGTGATTTTCTTCCGCCGTCCTAGTATAGTAGAGGATAGTCATCTAGTGAATATTCTACGCTTTATAAACCAGCTATAATCAACAAAGAACATACCTAGTTGCCTATTCAATAATTTTTTCTCCCTATATGAGGTACACTTTACTATTAGAGTTGCTATATTTCGATTCTACTATTCCCCAAAGAGAAATATCTAGCATGGTATGTTTCAAGTTTGATATTAACGACGTTCAAAGTAGTGGCTCGCAGTTATTCGTTTAATTTCCAAGCAATACATGTATATAAATAAATTATTTTATTAACCCAGGTACATAGGTAGATATAAATTCTTACACTGGTGAAATGTCAAGGCCAACTCCAGAGCCGACCTTACATTTAAACCCCGGTGCAAGAGGCTGTGGAAGAGTCAACCGACCCCCAGTGCAAGTAGCGAAGTGCAAACTATCATCAAGGCAAGTTAGATGACCTTCTATACATGTTACTGGGTCCCCCGTAGAAGTCGGTGTTGGCGTACTAGCCGATGCCTGTCCTGTGGACAATGATGGTGAGACAAGTAGCGTCGAAATTGTCAAGATAGGAGAAGAGGACACGGTTCTTGATAGCCCGGGTTCCGGTATAAAGGTCGGAGCAAGTTGAAAAGATGTGCTTGAACCTGGAGTTCCAGAAACGCTGCCTTGTCTAGCTCGCGGGTTTCCATCGCACTGCTGTCTGAACAAGTTCTCGGAACCCTCTGGATAGTCAACAGAAGGACCAGGGTTCGGGAACGCGATTGGTATCTGTTGTTGCAAGGCTTCTTCAGTTGTACACCCTCCCGAAACGTCACCCATGTTAGCCATGAATAGCTCTGGAAAGGCCACTCTCTTAGCAAGCGACGCCCGACGAGCTAAACTGTCCATGCGTTTCGTCTTGGCCGGAGTGACAGTAATAGGCGCACAATTCATGTAATATTCAGGCTGTCCTCCAATTCGAGCAAGCCACTGATTTTAAGTTAGCATTTTCCATTAAAAATTAACATTAAACTAGTGACATCCCCCACAAGAGCGCAAGGGCGGTTAGAAAAGGGGGTACTTACCGTCCATGCAAAAATATAGTCACCCGGTTCAATACCTTCCGGTATCTTGACAGAGTATTGATCATGATTTGGGCCGTCTAAATTACCTCTTTGATTCCGCGCGGGGCACCCACCTTCAATCGAGTGAATGACTTTCCATTCCGCAGTCTTAAGGGGGTATGCATCCCATGCACCATTATTGACCGGACCGGACAAACTAAACTGACAGGAACCTCCACCATGGACCGCCTGTCCTGAGAATGAGACGCTTTGCTCCTCCCCAATAGCTATAACCGTTGGTGGGCCCTCGGGTTCTAACTTGCCACCAGCTGGTATCTTGCAAGGAAAATCTTCACCAGTTGATGATATGGGGTTGGTCGGACCATATTGCACGAAGCGAAAGGGCTTTGGGTTCTCGAGCACAACGTGTGCCTCGAGAAGTGAAAATAAGGCCGAGAAGGCCACTAGATTAAGCAGCCTATGATGCATACTGGAATAAGTAAATAAGGGTTATCGTATATCTTAATGTTATGGGTCTAGAAATCTAGAATATTTGCGAATTTGCCGTAAAGAAGAGGAATATAAGTAGTCGTATCAAAGAGAACGGCGACATAAAGACCCAACAACAATTACATTATCCTTCAGGCCTGCTAAAATGCGCGAGATAATATGTCTTTTTTTGTTTTTCATGAGGTATACAGTCACAATAACAAAAGGCAAGCACACAAATTCTTGCAATAGTAGAAAAGGACCAAAATCTAACGCAGACACATTCTAAAACGTTAATGAACTTCTTCCATAAAACTAAATCTTATTCATAGCCTTAACTAGGCCAGTTAGATTTGTCTAATATCAACCCTTTCGGTGCACTCACATCCTAAATAACTCTTATTATCTTACGTCACCTCTCTTCAACAGGTAGATCTTTGAGGATAGTTATACCTAAGAGCAAGTACTAGTTCCGAACAATGCTTCATTAACCTTTGTCATATATTAGTACATATATACTAGTACATTTTGTTTACACGTGTCTTTTGTTCGTTACCTTTACCACGGCTCTAGGAATGAAACCGTAGTCTGACGAAAGTGATGGTAGATTAGTAAGTATTTGGTGATAGGTGAAGCGGAATTTACTTGACTTTTCGTACTACAAGAATTTGGAAGTCTAGATACGTATAGACTAACGGAGAACTTCCTGCTTTCTTGTTATACCTTAGGTAGGTACCTATCTAATCATTGACTTCTTAAAGTCTGACCAAATTCGGCTGTCGGTCTAATGCATCACACGTGCCAACATACGACTATATCAGGTGTTCATATGCTGTGCCATTTATCTGCAGTCGTTTTCGGCATACTACAGGATCCACAGAGTACCTCAAGCATGATCCTCTGATAATCACAGCTTTAGGTGAGTGTTGTGTTTTGCTAAAGCCGACCAATGCGAAACTCTCAATCCTGCCACGACACTAGCGCCTCCTATCTTCATTATCACACTGACAGCGATGGATTCTCAGGTGTTTAATGTCATTATAGCTAAAAGTAAGACAACTAGCTCCGTGCTAGGTGGCTGCCTATTAGAGGACTGAAACCTTCAGGTTCTTCTCACGGAAGCTGGGCTGAGAAGATTGTCTTAAATAAGTCTGGAAATGTTATAGCAACTGCGGTTCAGAACCTGTCGAACAAACCGCTATACTACTAAAAGGTTATTTGGTAATAGACTTTATTCTACTTTGTTTTATATTCATATCGTACAGATAGTAATATCTGATTGCAACTGCGAGTGATTCCGAGACTCATATCGCCCAGCCATGCTATGTTGCGCGCTATTTCTGAACACACATGAATTGTTTCGAACTTTAGGTATAGAGGTATGATGAGCACCTCCTTTCTTCATAGAATAGGCCCTACGTAATTGTCTCAGTAGAAGTATTATATATTAAACTACCTAGCGAGGCATCTAAAGTCCTATGCGCTCATTGCAATCTTTAATGTTAATTATTGTTAGGTCTTGGGCCAGATCAATGCTTCGGCGAGTTTTAAAATACTCTCGGTACATCTACTACTGCTCAGCTTCTAATTATAACCCGACGAGTATTAGTAGAGTGCTCAGGCTTGATATGTCCCCGGCATGATTACCGGACAACCGCCATTTCGTATTCAGCCCTTTCTCTAGTGGATAAGCGTGATGCGCAATTTAGGAGAGGCTCATCTCAATGCAGGAACGTTGATAAGAGGTTAATTAGCAATCAATATGGAACTCGGAAACACCCGTAATCAGCCATGGCAGCGTCATTTTCAAACGCCTAGGGTTGTATTGGACCTATAGCGTGTACTGATTCAGGCTTTTCCTCTGCAGGAGACTAATCTCAAAGCCGATAATACGATGAATGCTTCCGCCGGGATCCCGGGCCATTTTCCCCCAGATTGCCAGCTTTAAGTCGGCACTTCACGCTCCACTAGTCGGAATAGGTATCAAATAACTTGGCATGCGGAGGGCATGGTTTGGGGAAGTTGGGGAATGCGAAAATTGGTTTATCTATTTCATCGTGGCGAATTTACGAGAGAGTATATATATCCTTGAATATGAGTTGCTCCGGGAATGATGTTGCGTGCTTGTTAGTGCATCGAAATCACTTGACGAAGGAATTCGAAGACATCGAACGCAATGGCCTCTAGCAAGCTTGCCCTCGGCCTCGCGGTCCTAGGCCTCGCCGCCGCGCAGAAGCCTGGAAACACTGCTGATGTCCATCCCGAGTTAACAACTTACCGATGCACCGTGGCTGGCGGTTGCAAGGAGTCGACCAACTATCTCGTCCTCGACTCATCTGCTCATTGGGTTCACCAAGATGGCAACAATGTTGGCTGTGGTGACTGGGGAAACAAGCCTAATGAAACGGCTTGCCCTACCAAAGAGGCATGCGCTCAAAACTGCATTAGTATGTGATATCAATATCAATAACTCCTTCGAATTGGACGTTGGATTTTACCAGTCCTTTCCAGAACCCATCATAACAGTAACTAACGTATTCAACTACAGTGGAGGGTCAAACCGACTACAACAGCATTGGTGTCAAGACCGATGGCGCCTCGTTGAACATGCAGCTAATCGTTGGCGACAACGTTGTCTCTCCTCGTATCTACCTCCTAGATGCGGCCAAGGAGAAGTACGAGCTGTTAAAACTCACCGGCGCCGAGGTCTCCTTCGATATTGAAGCTAGCCACCTGCCCTGCGGCATGAACAGCGCTCTTTACCTCTCTGAAATGTTAGCAGATGGAGGTCAGAGTGAGCTGAACCCTGGTGGAGCTGCCTGGGGTACTGGGTACTGTGATGCCCAGTGCTACGTCACCCCTTTCATCAACGGCGAGGTAAGTAATGTCGAAATCAAGCAATAGTATCGTTATCTAACCGTTATATTAGGGTAATGTTGACGGCAAGGGCGCTTGCTGCAATGAGATGGACATCTGGGAGGCCAACTCGCGTGCCAACCAAATTGCACCTCACCCTTGTAACCAGACCGGGCCATACCTGTGCACGGGGGATGAGTGCCAGGCTGATGGTGTCTGTGATAAGAATGGCTGCGGTTGGAACCCCTACCGCCTTGACCAGCCCAACTACTACGGAAGAGGAGCGGAATACACGGTAGACACGACCAAGCCATTCACGGTCGTCACCCAGTTTCCCGCGGATGAGGAGGGCAAGCTAAAGGAGATCCACCGGCTGTACGTCCAAGGAGACAAGGTCATCAAGGCTGAGGTTGTGAAGAAGACTGGTGTGCCCGAGGTCGCATTCACCAACGATGAATACTGCGCTGCGACAGGCGCGACTAAGTTCCTGGATCTTGGCGCCCACGAGCAGATGGGTGACGCTCTGACTCGAGGTATGGTCTTGGCTTTCAGCATCTGGTGGGATGAAGGAAGCAATATGTCGTGGCTTGACGGTGCCAAAGATGGTGCTGGCCCCTGTAACGCCACCGAAGGAAACCCCACGAACATCCGTAAGATCGAGGCGCACCCCGAGGTAACCTTTAGCAACTTGAAGTGGGGTGAGATTGGATCGACATTCCCTGCTGCTTCGGCGCAATAGATGCTGTAGAAGGGATAGAATTTTAGACATACCATACTGAATAAATATTAACTGGCTTAGAGTGCCGGTGGAACCAACCTGATTCAGATATTCAAGTTGCAACCTGTACGAACACAATTCAACCCGGGGAACCATAGATGAATTGTTGTGGTTCGATGTGTTGCTTGATTGGAAGCGGATTGCAACCATAGTAAGACTACGACTCGAGCACAGCCGTATTGTATTAAGCAGACCGCAACTATAGACTTTATAATCTGGAAGAGTATGTCGAACAGGCGGTATGATGGAGCCATTCAGCTGAGGCTGAGCTTGCTTGTACAATACCTATCGCGAAACAGTGTTGCAGCACGTTCACCGACTATTTGAAAGTGACATAAGCGTTGCCTGCGTATCACCACCAGTTCGTGGATCCCAAATCGTGTATGCCGGATGATGACGACAACTATTCTTAGCATTCTGGGAATTCCCTATTGGCCCATCTCTACCGAGAACCTGTCAGCAAACAGATCCCATCGCTATAGGGCTGGGCTGGCCCGCCCCCAATCTCTGTTGCGTGTAAGCGGAAGCGAAGATACAACGTGTAAAGTGAAGAGTACATATATATAAATATAAGATTGGACCTCTCACTGTTATAATCTCACTATTATAAGGCAGACCAAGGCCTAACACTCTAAAACCATCTATAAAAAGCCAGGCATACCCTTTCCCACCTTCGCCATGCAAGAAGAGTACATCGTCTCTAAACGTTATAGCAAACGTTCCACCATTAGTTTTGCAATCCGCTTTGCGCAGTTCATCAACAGCGGCAAGCAAGAAAATATTCGCGAGCGACCAAAAGGGGCTCACTAGCGCCAATGGGGATAAGACTGAGGTTTGTGTTTATGACTTGTCTGGTACTTGTCTGGTCTGCGTGAGAGCTTCAACTAACGTATGTATTCTACTGTAGCTCGTGGTGGTGGGGAAGTAAGAAGACCCAGGCGTACGATGAATGGACCGATAGACAGTGTTCTTATAAGAGTACCTCCTATACATTACGGACTCGATAATTCTACGACCAATCGGCGCGAATTCGCGGTTAGGAGACGGGGTGGGCTATAAAGTCACCCCATGACTAGTAGACTACTAGTCTTACGACAATGGTTTAAATATCCTAGCATTTATCTACCTAGGGAGGGGCTCGTCTCTAGTTCGTCTCCATGCAAGAATGCTCCAGATCGGTTTCTTATTTAGTTGTTGACAATATGGAGTTTGGAGTCTGGTGTTGGTGATGAAATGGATATCTAAAGACTGAAGCGTTTAGGTATATCCTTATGTTTAACACTTCCATAACTTCGCTCAACTAGCTATGCTTTTTCGAGTCTATAATACCATATAAATTCATCTCTTATACACATGCTCGTCCCCGCGGTTTAAGATACTTGAACCAATATTATTTCTATAACTGCATATATTACGTTACAAGCCTATTAGTATTATATGCTAGTAAAGAATACGTTAATCTTATCTACCTGTCAATAAGCATCTAACCTAGTTCCTAGTTAGTGTATTCTATCTTATCGAACCCCATTAAAGCAACCCACCGCAACCTGTTCATCCCTTCATCCCACATACACCGGCCGAATTGGCCCTCAACACCACAAAAACAAAAACAACCCAGCAAAAAGCGAACTCCTATCCCAGCTCACCGATCGGACCTCCGCCCCCGCCGTCACGATGCAGGGCTTCAACATGGGGCGGTACGTGCCTCCCGACGTCGAAGGGACCACGACCGGCAACAAGCTGCACAAGAAGCGCCCCCCAGGATTCTCCGGCGGACAGCAGACGGTGCGCTTCGAGATGCCCTTCGCGATATGGTGCGCGCACTGCCCCCAACCCACCCTCATCGCCCAAGGCGTGCGCTTCAACGCCGCCAAGCGCAAAGTCGGATCCTACCACAGCACCCCCATCTTCGCCTTCCGCATCACGCACACCGCCTGCAGCGGCGCCATCGAGATCCGCACCGACCCCCAACACACAACGTACACCGTGACCGAGGGCGCGCGCCGGCGGGACACGGGGTCGCCCGATCCCTTATCGTTATCCTCCGGGCCCATCCTAACGGACAAGGAGCGCGAGAGCCTGCGCGCGAACGCGTTTGCGAAGCTGGAGAAGACGATCGCGGACCGCAAGGTCCTGGAAGACGCCAAGGAGCGCATCGACGAGCTGGAGATGGAGAGCGCGCGCCGTTGGGAGGACCCGTACGAGCAGAATCGGCGGTTGCGCGCCGCGTTCCGGGTTGGGCGGAAGGAGCGCGAGCGGGATGCCGCGACGGCGGAGAATTTGCGCGAGAGGATGAGCTTAGGGATCGAGCTGCTGGCCGCGAGCGACGAGGACGCGAGGAGGGCTGCGCTGGTGGATTTTGGGCCGTCGTCGTCGGATGCCGCGGGCGCCGAGATGGGGCGCAAAGCGCTTGCGAAACCGTTGTTCCCGACGAGTTCGGGGAGTGGCAGTAGCGCGGATGCGAAGGATGATAAGAGGAAGAAAACGAAAAGCAACAAGTTGAAATCCGAAGTGGCTGCTGCTCAGATGAGGGATAGCTTGGTATCCGAGATCGTTGGCAACACGCGGGTGGCTCAGGACCCGTTCTTGTCGCTGGATCGTAGCAATGGGGATAATAATAAAGGTTCCTCCAGGATTGCTGGGATTAAGAGAAAGAGGCGAGAGCCGGAGCCGGAGCCGGAGCCGGAGTCTGAAGACCATGATGAGCCTAGATCGTCAGAAAAGAGAGGGACGGCTGATACGGAACGAGAAGGGAAAGGCGCGGTATCATTAACGTCGTTAGTCGAGTACGATTCGGATTAAGATATCACTACACTAGAATGGCGTCTTGGGGGAAATGGGGTGTCTGGTTTTGGTCATTAAAGGGATACCCGGGTTAGGTCATGGGATATAGCATATTAGGGGAGTCACGGAGGTATAAAGCAAGATGAGACTAAGCGCATAGCACGGGTTTAGTCGTGTTGATTGAAATTTATCATTGATACCCTTGTTCTATAATGATCATGAAAGCAATCAAGAGTGTCCACCTCCAACGATTTGGTGCGAAAATAGCAAGCTGATCAAGAACAGTATCGGAGGAGGTCCAGTGAAATATCAATGCTAGCTATTGAGAACGATTGCAATTCCAGCAGTCGGCTCAATTCCGTATGCAAATTACGCGTAAAAACACCAAAACCCACCCATAACCGCAAGGGAAATCCGTATTACTCCTTAATCCAGAGTTGATTCATCGAAGAGAGGCGAGTTGAAATATAAGGGAATGATGTGAGACGATTGATCACACGTCATCCATCTGACCGGCGGGCTCGTCCTCTTCATCTCCGAAGCTTGCAACCGAGGACATATCGTCGTCGTCTTCGCTCTCGGCCCCGGCGTCGTCTGCAGCATCCTTACTGGCGTATTTTTGGACATATTCTACTTTATGTTAGCTAGTCCCGCCGCCCTAATCTCGGCTGCTCTAGAAAAGAGATGCAAGGACAGGCATACCCTTGACTTTAGCGTCGTAGCTTTTCGGCTCCCTCATCAACAATGCAGCCGCTTCACCGTTTAAAGGGTCGGCGGGGTTGGGATATCGGAGGAGTTGCGGAAGGAAGACTTCAAATATGTTGATCATATCGAACATCGGTGACCAGGTTTGGTTAATGACATCCAAGCAAACCGAGCCGGACCTATTCCATAATATTGCTTTCCTTAGTCCTGTCCTAGAACATAGCAGTCCTCGTGCCCAAGGGTTCACATCTAAGACCCAAATCACTTACAGCTCATCTATATTCGGGTGGAAGATCCGGTTCACGAAACCAATACTAGGCGACTTATACGGGTATTGGTCAGGCAACTCGACGTGGACTTTCCAGGTCCCGTGCTCGAAGGGTGCTATATAGGTATTTGGTTAGATATGGTTGGGTAACGAGATCTGACATCCTCTTTACTAACTCTCGGCGGGTCCCTTGAATCGGACATAGAATTCTTGCCTGGAAATATGTAAGGATTTAGAGGACAAAGGCGAATACGGCGAAATGGCTTACACTGTAATCATTTCGTTAGTATCATAACAAATAAGAAGTAAGAGGGGTTAAATACTGTTGTCGTTGACCAGAGTGACCTCATAGTCGGACATAAGCCTGAGAGTATTTAGTATTTAGTTGGAGTAAAAGGCTTCGTTAGCGAAGGTAATCATACATCCTACGAGATAGTTAGCAGAGGTTCCCAACACGTTTCACCGATAACGTCGCATACTTCATGACCTTGGTTGCAATTCCATGTTAGCAAGTAATGTCTCGCGAAGCTGTATATACCCAACATAAACTTACATCTGTCTCGATTCGTCTGCGTGGGCTACTCATTTTGCTCTTTGCTCTTGTTTCTGCCTTTCTATAGTTGAGATATTCCCTTGCAGTGGTATTTCTTTATTCCTTCTTAAGTGGCCCTAAGATCTGTTCGTTAAGTGATAGGGTTCTCTCTCGTACGTTGTCTTTTCGGATTTGGGTTGGAATGTTCTGTTCGTTGTCCAAAGGAAATATTCTCCAAAGACAAAGTATCGGATATTTACTAGTCGTAGTATGGACGGCGTATGGGTTGGTTATTCTTGTTTCTTAGGTGTTGTTGAATGCGCTGGGGAAGGAGACGTTGGGACGAGACGATATGTTAGTAAAAGGGAGGGAACGATTGAAGATTGGACGGGATAAGGTTGTTAGATTGTTAGGTTGTTAGGTAAGAGGTAAAGTAGGTAGGTGCTGTAGTACCTAGGTAATGGCCTGATTTAACGGGTTTGATCGGTGAAAGAGTAGAAAGTGGAGGAGGTCTCTTGCCTTTGAGTTATGAATCCGAGTCAAGTCACGCACTGCTTGAATGCATAGAGACTCAGGTAATGACGCGACATCGCCCAGATAAGCCCATTTTAGCGCTATTCTCATGCTAACTCAACCACCAATATTGTACACTATATTCAGTAAAATCCCCCGCTAGCCCCGCCTGCCCCGCCAAGGTCTTGTAATAATGTTTTATCGATAGTGCTAGTAGATGCTAAGACACAGTGGAAACACCTGCTAACATGTTGTATTAGCACATTGTAATTGCTGCTATCATATATCATAACTCTAACTGATATTTCAAATATTTCCTGCTTCATCACCTTCTTCCATTCGTCCTATCTACCTGCCTAACTGTATGTAACCCTTCTTTACGCCAGACATGCGTCGCATGTTTGCTTCCATAGTGAATATTGCTTGGGCATCAGTTTACTACTTTTTACTACTTCCGTCCGGCAGAACTTCTTGACTCATGATTCGTCTTCTCGACAATGAGTTTCCCCTCCCGTTGCTCGCAACGTGTTCCCGTCACGCTGCATTAATAAGGACTCTTAATAAGTACGCACGCGACTTATTTGTCCAAACTATTTGTCCAAATATATCTCCTTGCATGCCTAGATAATTGTCTTATACCAAGCGATCGGCTCTCTCAAACCGGTAGTGCTCGTAAGACTCCTTATACATATTAGGTATATAAAGTCTGCACGACATGACCAGTCGTTGGAGACTTCTCCGGATTTCGCCAATGAGCCGCAAACCACGATCCATCTCTGAAACATGGATACCTACCAGGTATTCGCAATCCTTTATGGACCGGTTTACCTGGGTTCTTTGCCTTTTATCATGGCGTAGGCTGATAGCCATGCTCACTACGCATGCCTAGTCAGCTTGTTTCGTTCAAAGCGGAAAATACTATAGAGGAAACTTTAGGTACCTTTCCAACAGCCTGTTGAGCATTTGGCGGTAGTTTAAGACCGGGAAGATTTAACGGTGGTGGTGTCACGCCTTCGATTCCACACGTAATCTCAATACTCCTCAATAATCCACCTACGGCCCTCTGCTCCGGAGTAAACACGGCTAGGTTGGCGAACGTTAGACAGTTGGGCTCGTTGAACAAGCGTGCCTGGCACCCATCATCCATATTCGCGATGAAAGTCCCACATTGTGCTACCCCAGGTACGTTATAACATTTCGGAGTTGAGTGTTGTAATCCAGGCTTGGGCAGCTGGATGTTCGTCATTACTGTACCGCGACAGTCTTTCGGACCAGGTGCACCAGAGAATAACAATGCGGATATTGGAACCACGGGCTCAGTTGGCTGCGCTTGGCTACCGGTTGTCGTGCCGTTGGGTGGATTCACATCCACTTGTGGAATACCTGAGATTTGCGGTACATCGGAGACTTGCGGGATGCTTGATTCGACAACATGTTCTACTACCTTTGTCTTCTCGGGTAGGTAGTCTGTCTCGCTCGTTATCGTTGCACCGTCCATTACGAGAGGGCGAATCGGTTCCTCTACCCGTATCCTTTGGCCTAATACAGATGTTACCAACCATAACAGCCCGAGGTTGAGGAATGTTATCTTCGAGCCTCGCCATATTTCTTCCATTGCGCTTTTTCCTGCTCAACACGTTAATTGAGGAGCAGAAGAAATTCTTGAAGATTTATTCATATCGTGACAGTCTTCAGCTTGAGACGTCGCCAAGATGTGATGCGAGTCGGTGTGGACGTGCATCCTCTTGGCGTTTCACGCTTCATCGATCTACTCCTTAGGAGAGCATGGGGAATTTTGATACATTGGATGATAAGAATTCAAGATTGAAATTTCTCTATATGAATATGACGCCGTCTATTAACAGGATTTGATAAGCTGAAAACAGATTCAATGAGAGTCTCTATCCAGCTGGCTCATCAACGAATTGATTATACGTAGGTATTTCGCAAACCTCTCCTTTTGTTTCCATTCTAGCCAGCCAGTCCAACACCATTGGTCCAACTAGCTATCGGCTGTACAATCAACAACCACAGACAACCTAGCACGTTATTTAGGCACCGCGACGGAGAGCTCGTAGGTAGCACCCGGCTGGATATTGGTGAAGCGCGCTTCCGGGAGGACCCGGCCCTCGTGTTTTACCACTATCTCCTTTACGTCTGCTGAACGACGGATATCAATAACGAATGTGGCGCCGCGGAATAAGCGTGTCACTTTGATAGCATCCCAGAAAGACGGTAACTGTGGCTGGATACGCAAACCCTTCGCGTCTCCACGCAGGCCACATAGCCCCTCGATAAAGCTTCGGTATAGCCATGACACTGTCCCCGTGTTGAAGAGCTGGCTAGACCGTCCCGCGGTGCGGGGATATTGCTGGTACGCGCCTCGGTAATAGTTAGGGATATACACGGGCAGCTGGCCTCTCTGTATATAGTCCTCTTCTGAAGGTCCAGGGATCATCTTCCTTAGAGCATCGTATGCTCGATCGCTCTCCTTAATGGAGTACAGGCTGTGGACGTAGAAGACGGCCGCATGGTTATAGACTGACCCGTTCTCAGCTGAACCGGGATACTTTTGCGTCACACGCCCTACGTCTTCTCGCATGCCGCTATATGGAGGAGCGAACATCACAACGCCGTACGGCGTACCCATCTGCGAATCTACTTGGGGCAACATCCGCGTGATCTGCTCCTTGCTAGCCGCCCCGCTCAAGATCGACCACGTCTGCGGATTCAGCCAAATACGACCCTCGTTATCCGTCTTGACGCCGAAGATTACATTATCGTCTGTGATTCCTCGCGCGAACCAGTCTCCATCCCACAGGTGCGCATTAGCCGCATCGTTGACCTCCTTGGCGCCTGCGCGGTAGTGTGCTGCTAGATCGGCCTTTCCTTCGTGCTCACAAACGTCCGCCCACAACTTCAATGCAAATGCGGTAGCAACCGTCTGCCACCCGGATACACCCTTACCTTTGTAACCCACCATGTTCAACGGGTCGCACCAATCGCCTTGCGCAATGTAGCTCAGCCCACGCGCGTCTCGGGCCGAGAGTAACCAATCCATAGCCCGACTAAAGCGCTCAAATACGGTATACGTATCGCCGTGCATTCCTTTTACTTGCTCCTTCAGAAGATCATAATCACCTGTCTCGGCGAGGTATGCCTCCAGGGTGACGGGTAACCAGATACAGTGGTCAGTATGTGGGATCTGGTTAATGTACTTGAGCTCAGCGCCCTCCGCCAACAAGATACCGTCGGGCATAGCGCCATTTTTCTCCTGCTGTGCCACGGCGATCAGGAAAGCTCGACGTGCGACCTCGGGCTTGATATATGACATGCCCATGTTGTCCTGTAGGTAATTGCGCGTCTGCGGATCTGTGGTCAGCCGGTTCACGTCGCCATGATAATAGCACTGCCGCGGTAGCCAGTTATTGACAAAGTTGTCTACGTGCTTATCAGGAGTCTCAATCTGTAAGCACCCTTTTCCTTTGTTGATATAATCTGCGTATTCCCGGGCTGTCCGTGCGAACCCCTCCTTACTGAGGTACTTATCCCGTACCGAACGGATTTCGGCGTCATCGTACGCGGGACCGAAGAGAAATCGGTACTCATGCTGTTCGTTTGTCTTGAGCTCCTCCCGGTACTGTACCACAGCCACAGGCGTCTCGTAGCGAGCATCGCTACGGCCGAGCTCTGATTGTTCCAGCGACGAAGGTGCATGGAGGCCACCTTCACCCTCGAAGGCCTGTTGCATTGCCTCCCATGATACCGGAAAGGTTTCGCACAGAAAATATGACTTGTCCTTCAGATACTTGTTCTTGAAGTAGTCTGTTGCCTTCTGGTATGGCGTGATACTACTGCTTACCACGCCGCCGAGATCCGGTCGCCATTCAGCTTCTTGATTCATCCACGACATGTACCCAAATGGGAAATAGGGATACACGCTAATTCTGCGCGGTCGTGAGGATAGGTTGGTCACTTTAACCGACCATAGCTCTACCACATCATGCGTTGGAATCACCAAGGTCATTTCAACGCGGATACCAAGGTACTCAACGGTCCAGGAGATATCACTCTTGCCGACAGAAAACACGAAGCGGTCGAGCGGAGCCCGCACCGGCTCATAGGGTGCCGAAAACAGCTGGCCAGTCTCCTCGTCCTTGATGTAGACAAAACGGCCCGGGTGGTGTGCGTAGTAGTTCTGCTCGGGTTGCATGAAGGTCTTGGCTTCGAGATTAGGCGCGTGCGCGTACTTGGACGGCTCAGGCTGCATGAACTGTGCCGTCGCATACCCACGACAGGTGATCTGGATCATCATCTTCTGATTCCACAAGAAAGCGCCAGATTTCGGCAGAGCCGTCGGGCTCTCCAGCTCGTAGCGGTCGCCGTCCTCTGTAGAGCGTAACATCGTGTTCTTTCACTTTCAGCCGCAAGTGTATTTCTCCGGATGTCTTCAATTAGGTCTTCCGCCACGTCAGGTCATTTAGGAATCCGGGGTTCTGGTTTATAAAGGGGACAAGACTACCAGGCCGTGGACCATGGACACCGCTACGCCGGTACACGGGGCTTGGCGTATGACCATCTTGCATGGAGCTCGCTCGGGAGAATATACGGGTAAAATCAATACGCCGTTACGACGTGGGCGACGAACCAATACCTTGCTCGGTATAGCAATCAAGTGATCCACAAGAATCCTCTAAATCGGATAGAGCTTTCGAGGACATCGTTCGATTGCCGCAGATCTACTTGTGTTCGTTCAATATCCTCGCAATTCTCGCGAGGTAATGCCGGCGGCATATTTCCTTGATGCACCGCTAGGTTGTACCATATATGCGGACTCCAAACCGCTGCTCACACGACGTAGCGATTCGTGGGGTTCTATGATATACTTCTTACTAAGAGCGGAGCTGGGATCGGAGGTCCAAGTAGGCAAGCTCGCGGCATCGTGGGGGAATCGCTCCGCTGCGGGAGACCAAGCCCGACGAGCCAGCTGCTTAAGCCAAATGTAGACTGGTAAGTTCATGGCATGGTAAGTTGGTCCCAACGAAGGATGATGTATTACCTATTTCCCCCATCGATTCTACTGAATTATAGAAGCGACTTCAAAACACAGCATTGAATATGATTGGCCTGACAGGCTAAATAAAGAAAAAGTACCTAAGTCATGGTAGTCATACCGATTAACTACGTACCAATCTAACTCAACATTTTCTCTTACTCCTTTTAGAAGCGCGTCTAAGCGAATATTTAATAGGTAACGCCGAGAAACTAGGTATCGTCCGGAAACTCAGAGTGATAGCTTCTCTTCCTGAAGGCTCATTAGAAGGTGCCAGTCGCTCTACCTCACCCAAAGTATACTCGTTATGTCGCTATGTGCAGAAGAGGTCCGTCGGCTAGTTACGGATGCAGGTAAAACGGCGAGTAGCCCATAGAAGCTATAGAAGGGGGTGTATTAGTATTGTTATTAGAGTGATATCTAGTAAACCCGAGTTGCTTCTATTAAATTATATCTTAATACAATCACAACTTTATTTTTTTTAACTAGTTCATTAAAGTACCCAGGTAAGTATATAAAAAAGAAGCTGTACTGTATGTAGCACTATACGTTATCGGAGGCCATCCCCCCAGTAGGTGTTTATGCCTCCTTTAAAGCTATCACGGCAATAGTGGCTCTCCTGACAATATCCTATGAAATAGGTAGCTGAAGAATGATTGATATAAGGCTGGTAGACGCTAAAAAGCCAAATTGAGGCGTTTTACGGGGCCGTAGCCATTGTCATTAATCACTCCGATTCGAACAAGAGCCGCGACCCAAATAATGCCGCTAGGCGCGCATAGAAGACTGTACAATAGGTAAACAAGCCTAGCTATTAAGGGGTACTTGCGGGAAAGCAGCTTTGCGAATTTGGTTGGTGATGTAGACGGCGCGATTGATTAAGATTGGACGCGTAAGCAATACGTATGGGGGCACGAAGGCGATGCTTGGCAGTTGGTTCGAGCCCGGTCTATAGAAATAATTGGGGGTAAAACGAAGCAATCTATTAAAGTAACGGATACGATTTAGATAGACAGCCTAGGAGAACGGCAATACTAGTTGACTGACAGTGTCGTTCCATAACATCAATGGTCGTGTAGAGTGCGGTTAACCGGAGTGACCTTCGCAAGCCCATCAATATCTCTACCGCCTCCAGAGTCGATAAATCTCAGGCGTCAAGCGGACCGCTAGTCCACCGCCCCCATGCCGTTTCTTTTGTCTCGATACAGAATATGAGGAAGATTATTGTTGCCACACATATAAGAACGCCGGTATCTATGATTGCGATATGCTGCCATAAGACGGTTGTAGGGTTGTAAAGAGTAATACGCCCATTCTACCTTGGAGGGCCATCGTGAAAGCGGGTAAGAGAGAATATGCTTAATGGTTGATAAAAGCCAGCATTTTTTGGATTTATATATTTTAAAAGAGGGCCGCAGTTGTACACCGATATTGTGCTCAGCTGTTATATCAAGTTTAGTCTATATCCACCGAAGCCGGAAGGGTCACAATATTTCCCTATTCGTACTATATATGTATATGAAGCGATAGTCAATCTTTTTCCATGCAAGTAGTAAAATATACTTTCAAGCATTAGTGGTCTGGAACTCTGTGTAGTCATTCGGATCTAAGCACCGTAAGCAGTCGCGGGACGTAAGGAATTTAGGTAAAAGGTAGGTATTTGTTAAGATAAACCGAGAACGTCCAGTTTCCTTGTGAAAGGGCACTTCTGCGCTTTCGAATCTAAACGCGCGCCGGCCTGGAGAAGCATCCGCACGCCGGCCTCGAAGTCCCGATAGATCGCCATGTGTAGGGGCGTCCATCCCGAGTCGTCGTACGCATCGACATCGGGATGATCTACCGCGCAGTCACCCCGCGGTTCGAGAAACATACGTAGCATACTTTCGCGTCGGTACAGCGCAGCCCAGTGTAGTACCGACCTCGCGTCCCGGTCTACGGGAGCGATACGGGCGCCCCGTGCGAGGAGTAATTGCGCCACACCTTCATGGCCGCTTATCACGGCGTGCATCAGCGGAGTACGTCCATCACTGTCTTTCTCGTTAAAGTCTTCTCCTTGTTCTATTAGTATGTCGACCATTCTTTCGTGTCCACTTTGAGCCGCGATATGTAAAGCACCGAGCCATCCGTCGTCGTCATCCCCGCGTACCGATTCAAGGGACTCTTTAAGACGTGCTGAGGGTCGGTATCTTAGCGGCCTTCGTATATCATTAGATGGGCGGGGCTCTTGAAGCTCATTTTCGTTATTGTGGAGGGGATGAGAGATTCTCGTATTGTCGACTATATCGGTTCCTATTATTCCGTCGGGGGTTGTGTCTAGCTCTTGCAGGAATTGTGACGGCGAAGAAGGGTTAGCATCGGGCGTAAGCCCCGTAACCGTGGTCGATAAGAAGCCATCTATGACATTGTGATCCCAGAAGTTGGGATCGATATGAGAGGTAGCGTTGTTCGAACTGCCCTCGACCTGAAGCGAAGGGCTCGCAGTTGATAGGAGACCAGGTAAAGTAGTGGAATCACCTTGTGGGACCACATCTATATTTGCAGGGTGAGGTAGCGATAGCTGCGACTGGATTTGGTACTGGGGTCCAGTTATAGATGCTCCGAAACTTGGGTAAGCCTCAGAATTGGTGTGGACATCATTTTCATCGACAACAACATGGCGTCCTTTCTCTCTCTTTTCTATGAAACACGACTGTTGGCAGGAAGATAGGACATATTATTTCTAGTTTAACTTACGGCGAAACCTGCGTTGCGCTGCTCGATTTTGAAGCCTACGACGCTCGACGGCATCGCTGGGAAATTGTATGCTGATGTCCATGAAGAAATAATATTGAAATAATATTGTAAACCGGAATTTAGAAGTTGGTTGCGAAATCAAGTGGGGGGTGACGCATGAAGTACCTAATGTACTTGCTCCTAATGTTAGACAAGGATCCCTACACCTCTAACACTAGCTGCAAACACTAGCTGCATATGCCATACACTACGCGTACATCTTATGGATGTACCTGCAGCCGATTCTTTTGATATGTAGAAAAGGAGTAGCATCAAAATTGAATTGCAAGAGACATTGCCAGCGTATATTGAGTTTCAAAACATTAGGTACTCAGCTAACCTAGCTATGCTATTCGTATCACTTAAAGCAACCAGAAAAGGGGGCACATACAGACTTAACACAACCATAAGGTATCTACAGCTTCACAAAAAGGAAGGGGGAAATAGCTTCTAATAAAACAAGTCGCATCAACTCTTAATAAAAAATGGGACATGATGTCCTCATGTTCTCATTCGCAAGTTCAGAAATACGCCATCCTAGTACACATTCGGACCCATTACTGTCCCTCGCCCCCTATTTGCCAGAACTTCCTACTCCTCAACTTGCTGCCTTACAGCACGAACATACCAACACCTGAGACCAGGGCAGTGATCACGTAGGCAGCAAAGAAGGCTTTGCCGTAGTTGAAGAACGAGGGCGCCATCATGTTACCCACAGCAGCACCTTCGGATGAGCTGCTCGCAGCTGCAGTACCTTGCTGTCCCGTCGGGCTAACCACAGAGCCTTCACCATTCGTACCAGCTGCCGAAATCAAAGCCGCGCAGCCAGATGAGGTCGTGGGGCTTTGCGTCTTGGCTAATCCGCTGAAGTCACAAGCGCTTGCCTTGTTGTCGCTGTTTATGTATAGCTGGTTGGCCACCCAAGCGAGTTGCTGCTTGGGAGAACATCCACTAAGAGCGCCGTAAGTACCAGTAGTACCGTTGTGGGCGATTCCTTTGCAGTAGTCGTCGTCCACACCACAAATGTAGTCGAATACGTCTGCGTATGAGTCCTCGTCATCAGAATCGATGGTGCATTGCAGGCTAGCAACCTCACACGAGCAAAGCTCAGGGTTAACCGAAGGGGGAAGAGGTGACGCAGCAGCAGCCCATGTCGTACCACCAACGGTAGGGCAGGCGGGGGCAGTGTTAGACGGCGTGTATGCGCTCGACTGTGTGAGGGACGGTGTGACCTTGGCCAGTTGAGACGAGAGCGAGGTGTATTCCGGGTATGGGCTAACGGTGTCGCCGTCGATGGAGACCAAACCATAGTGGTTATCCGCTTCGAAATACTCATAGACGATACCTCCGGAAAAGACCGAGGTCATGTTACCGTAGAGAACAGCAACCTCGGTAAAAGGTCTGTGGCCCTTCTCGACACCCTCAATACAACCATATTCGGCGAAGAAAGCAGGGACGGGATAGTCCTGGAAGAAATCGACACGAGTACCATACGATGAGGTCTCATAGTTGCTGTTTCCACACCACGAGTAGACGTTGTAGCCCCAGAAATCAATTGATGTAGTCTCGCCATCTACAGGCTCACAGGCAAAGTAATGAGCCAGCTCATCTCTGCTAGGAACGTCAGCTGTTGCGTAGCCTACACCCAAAGTATCACGGTAGTTCATCGACTTGATGTAGGCTTTTGTGTCTCGGACGGCAGCCTTAACGAAAGCAGCAGACGATGTCTGATTCTGCGACTCTACGACTTCGTTGCCAGCAAAGAAACCGATGACGTTCTTGTATTTGCTTAGAGCATCGACGACAGAAGTGTAACGCTCGTAAAGATCGACATTCCATTCGGGGTCGTTGCTATCGATGGAAGTACCAGGCTCTCCGAGATCGGCAATGACATAAATGTCATTAGAAGCCAATAGCTCCATACAATCATCGTGATCTTGGGTGGGATCGATAGCGTAGACTCGGATCACATTGGTGAAGATCTTCTTCATGACGGGAATGTCGCGCTTACACTTCGTAGCGTCGGCCAACGGATCAGTATACTTGGTATTGCCATCATTGTTAGCAGTACCGTTGGGACTGTAGTCCTCCTGATAAGCAACGCCCTTGAGCAGGCTAGTCACGGATAATTAATTAGCTTTGGGGTTCGAGGATTTGCCAAGACAACGGTTGATAAGATAGTTTGAGCTTAAACTTACAATTGAGTGCCGTTGTTGGAATAGAAGAAGTGCTGGCCTACAGCCTTGATGGGCGGGATGGTAGTGTAGCTCTGAGCTAATGCGCTGCTAGATAGGGCGCCAAGTCCCAAGGCGAGATATGAGACGGCAGAGGACGTCCACATCGTGGCGGTTGATGTTCTGCGATCCTAAGCGAAAGATTCCAAGAACCAAGAACGACCAACCAATAGGAAATAAATTAGGACTGAAAAACTCTGAAGTCAGAAATTTGCACGTCACCACCGAGATAAACGAAAGAATAAATAACGAAGGTGTGTCGGTAATGATAACGAGTGAGGATTATTGACGATTGCGCGATGATAATAAGAAAAAGGCCAAGAAAAATGGAATGCGGGAGGTTTTAATTGAGAATAAGAAGAAAGTAGAAAAAGCGGCGAACGTGCAGGTCAAATGAACCAAAGAACCAAGTGGATCGTCAGACCAAATCAAGGTCACCTTCGGTCTGAACCAATGGAACCAATGAATTTAGTTTCAAAATTTGGGGGACAAAAACCTCTTTACATACGTTGGTGTGAGAGAAGAGGCGTAAGACTAGGAACAGGAATAGGAAATTTGGCCGGAATCAGTGAATCAGTGAATCCGTGCAAAGAATGTACATACCTAATTCACCAAGGTACGTATATAGTGTACTTTACGTAGGGTTTAATGATTGGTTAGTTAAAAGAGAACACGAGGAAGGAGGCTCTAACAGTTTTAATCCGTCCAATAATGGATCTAGAATGCTGCAGCCTAACTGGATCGCGGTTGCCATCGACTGCTTCAATTTCCTGTATCAGAAGGAAGCTGATGTGGCAGGCCGTGGCTATGCAAACGTATGCGAGGCAACTAAAATTACATATAGGTACCTAAAGTGGCATCTCTATGAGGGGCTAGAAACGGTTAAGGATGGGGCGTGTATTTACGAAAGGACCCCTCCACCATTGATCCACAGTCACACAGTTGACGTTTTCCCCGATCTAATTGGCTTGGCAATTCCGAGCTATCCGTCACTACGGAGTGACTTATGCCAATCAATCGAACGTAAACGCGCTACGAAAAAAGCTTAGCAAGCTTAGCAAACTTGGCAGGCTGAAATTCCACGCTTACGTATTACACTTGTATTTAAATGCTGGGAACCCATCCGTAGATCACCAACCTACTCGCAGATCCACCACGTTACGGAATGGACATCATTTGAAAATGAAAATAGTTATATAAAATGTTGGAAACTTTTCATGTTTTTCCTTCCAAGAGCTCACGGAGCCGTATTATTCCCAAGATTACTAAAAGCGAAATACGCAATTTATTCACCAATCAAATAAATTATCCCTGAACGTGAGACGGATCGAAGTACAGGAGTGGCATATATTGCAGCGATCAGTACCCTGGTTGACGACCTCGGACTCACCGCAATACTTTAAATCATCAAAACGCTACACGATATCCATCTGGATATCCATTGTTGCGATATCCCTACTAGCTTTTTGTGTAGACTAACTTTTACATTTAGCAATTACGTGTCTGCAATATGAAACTTGAATTCTAAGCCCAAAGTCTCCAGGCTATTTAACATACGTAAAGCCGCGGTCTTGGTAAATAGGGGGAAATATCAGATTGTTACGCGTAGAGACGTCCGTGATTTTTCAAATGAAATGATATTTCAGCGGTCTTACGTAATTATCACCCCCCTTAACGATCAGTCAACAGCAGTGTAGTTCGAAAAAGGGCATGAACAAATTTGGGGGGCAACTCGGCATCTAGTCCCCACTTCAATATCCGACCATTCTTGTCTGCGGTGGTGCTGTTCGGCATCGAATCGTATCCGATTCTCGAATAATACAGGTATAGATTCAAGCACGGTGAGGTCTCGGCAATGTGACGCGCGCCCGGCGGAGACAATCACACGATAGCGAGGTTGTTTAAGGGGCAATTATTACGACGAAAATCCACAGAGGACTGAATATTGCTCGAGACGCTAGTTAACCCCTGGGAAGATTGATATTGTTACCCACCCATATGATAGTTAAGTGGTTCCTTTTCAAAGATATCCTGTTAAGACAGCATAACTACTGATATGGAGCTAGTGGGCCGGATGTATCTTACAACGTTAACTTGTCCAAGAGCTTTCCTTAGACTTAAGGGTCAGAAATGCTACTACCTACCCCCTGAGCATACGGTCGGGTCGATGCATCGAATATCTTAGCTGTCCAGATCCTGTTCAGTTGACATCACGAGATAACTGAACACGTCGGCTATCACTTGTTATTTCATGGAACATATTCACAAACCAAACCTCCATTCGGTTCGATAAACCTTTCACATAGGCACAAACAAGTATTGAATCCGGTTGATTTATTGGTCTGGTCGAGCCTAGTATACGTTTGCTCCTCCTCTAAAGTGTACTTGGATAGTATCAACAACGTGGTCTCCATCTTCCACCCAATCACAACTCTCACATCTGAACTGCACCGGGAATCTCCTTAACCCAACGCGGCCGCCGATGCGAAAACAATTCTACTCTTGGCTTGGCTTCGTTGTCGACGAAGAAGTTCGAGTCGTCTATGACACCAGCTTTGACGATTGGGTTGAAGTCGGTGACTTTCCCGTTGCGCCACAGAGTTGAGCCGCAGTCGCCGCAGAAGTACGACGTTATCTCCTGACCTGAGTCGCCATCCGTGACATAAGTCTTGGGCGTCCCCGATAGAATCTTGAAGCCAGCGGCGGGCACGACGATATTGGTGCTAAAAGCTGAGCCTGAGATTTTGCGACAGTCGAGGCAGTGGCACAACATCTGAGTGTGTGTTAATGTTAGAGACATAAATGTTTACAGTGAATGAAATAAGATAATTCAGGAATCTAACCTTGTTTATAGGCTCGCCTTCAAACGAGATGCGGATCTTGCCGCAAAGACAGCTACCTTCCCTGACCATGGTATACGTTCAGGAGTGATCTCGCTAGTAGGATATAATGGATATACACAACTCAACTCTTCGACGATGTTGTAGTAAGCGACCTTTATGCGAGAAGCGGGTAGGTAGTTAGTTAGGATGTAGTAGGTGCCATCAAGGTATTCCGACTCGATTTATATATAAATTTTGGGTTGCAATTGATGCATCGGTTCTTTCTCTTCTATCTCCCGTTACAGTTCCGCGGGCATTTGGTCCCTGGTCGTCAGCATACAATAGGGCGCCAGCGTTGACAAATCAGTCCTAAAACCAAGATATCAAATTACTGATTACCCCTAGTTAGCGAATCCTTTAAACGGGCTTTGTCTTCGGGTCCGACCGCAATAGATGCAATAGATGCAAAGAGAAAGGCGTGTTTCAAACAGCCGGAAATGCGTATCAATGAAGCATCTATAGATTAGATATTTGGTAATTACCAAAGTTGAGATTTATTTTGGACTAGGTCAGATGCTTGTGCGTATGATGCGGCTTACTGTATATCGCTACGTGATTCCAAATGGGTCTTATAAGCCAAGGCGTGGTGATGACTATGTAATGACAACAGGGCGCAAAATTCTCGGACTATGTACTTGTTTCGAGGATTCTCCGCCTTGAGGAGAGCGGAAGAATGAAACTATAATCCACTAACCGTTACTCTACAGTAACGCCGTAAGATGTCGCTTGCGGAGTCGGGATAGTATTTTACCTGTCGGGATCTGTTTAAGTGGCGTCATCGCGCTTAGCAAAGTATCTAATTATGACATCTGCCCGAGTATTTTATTACATATTATCATATAAACTTGAACACCATCATTTGAAAATAGCTTGAATTTATTTTTCTTGTTTCCGGAGCTATCCCCTTGACTGGCATTCAACTACACCTCCACTATTTTCAGTATTGATACATAGGGATTGGCCAGGAAAGAGAAAATGGCTAAATCGACCAATGATATTTACGGTTTGTACCAATTGTTGAACCTTTTCTTATTATTTTGATGAACGACATCAAGTCTTATGTACTGATACTGAAATAGCGGAGGTGTAGTTGAATGCCAGCCAAGGAGATAGACTGGTGAATATATTGTGAAGGTTTTACGCAGAAGAGCATGCGGATGCGGGGTTTAGTAGACACATAACCCCTTATTCTGTTGAGTTGTCCCCGTTGGAAATACATACTGGCGACGATACTAGGTATAGTAAAATCGTCCGCTCGTTGACAGTGCGGGCTATCGGACTACCTAGGGGCGGGATCTACAGTATTTGCGACAGACTGCGCTGCATACTTCCTCGCATGCGTCACCTTCACCTCAAACTCCCCGTCATATGCCCTGAGGTGCTGAGCAGTTTTTCGACAAACTCAGATAACTCGCCGACGCCGGTGATGGGAAAGGGGTTGTCTCTGCTTCAGGAGAACACCTCACCCAAGTAGTCGAAGATGTTGCCTGGAAGACGCTCGTAGGTGGTGCTAGGCTGCCCTCCGTTATTGCGGAGAATGAAGATGAGCCTACTCAAGAGTTATTGCCACCGATCTATGAGGAAAGTTATTGGAGGGCTATGAATTCAGGAAAGACGTGCCAGACATGGGAGAACGAATCCTTAACAGGAACTATCTTGCTGGATGCAGAGGTCAGACAGGATCCTACAAATTATCTAGACTTAGATCACATCGTTGAGAAGACCATAGAAACAGCATAGGTTACTAAGGGCAAGATGAGAATTTGTTTTCATTACGATGACAACCCTAAATAGTCGCATAACATATAGGTAGCCATCAGAATATAACTTGGGTAAATTCATAGGCTGCAGGGAAAATTCGCTATAACATCACCTTGCCTTATAATTCTCGAGACAATAACTTTGTATAATCTGCACAACGTCAAATTAAACCTTGAACCTAAGTCAGTGTCTTAGCTTATTCCTAAATTAAATCACGATCTATCTATGCATACAAGAACACCTCGATTATAAGCCTAGGTATATAATTACTATGTGTTTGATACGCTCATACTGCGATAACGCCGTGTCCAGTGACGGGAACCGCATACTAGGGCCTTGGCGGGCGTTCACCTTCCTGCACGTAGTCAACCAATAACGGTGACTTCTCGGGGATTCACGTTTATACATAGCCATCCGGAGTAAACTCCGAATGTTCTCCGGCGCGTAGAGATAAAGACATACGTTCTGATATCCACATGTAAGTTTGATAGAAACGAGAGGGACCAAGTACTATAAATATTATACTTCTTCCTAGGGGTGGAAGACTTGGGTACAACATTATTAAGATTTTTATACCATATGAAGTCTATAACACTTATAAATTGATGTTAGCTATACTAATATATGTGTTAGCATTATTTTTAGCGGATGACTCCTTATATTCTCATTCAGGAACTGGGCTTCAGGTAGAAGCAGTTCTATGTAACTACCTCTTACGTGGTACGGGATGCGTCACCAAGTTCTCTTCCGTAAAGGATCGTGAACTATCTTAGATTATATTCTCCTTTCGTGCTTCGTATTGGCGAACTTTAACTTCTCTTGATCCTCATGGCCGTCATCTGCTTTTGGATCATTGTTAGTCAGATATCAAGAGGTCGTGAATAATTACAGATAGGCCTATAATAGCCCGGAATATTCAGTTGTATCTAAAACAAGTAGTATGCGGGGTGACCCGCGTTTACCAAAAGTATGGTACGTGGGCTTGACAGGGCAAACAAGCATGAAGATCGGTATTCTATACGCTAGTATTATCAGCAACCACTCACAACCACTCACATCATCAGGGTTATCATCCGGGCGCTAGCGCTACGAGCTCCAATCTCGTCCAGCTACGATGTATGTTCATATGATCCGACATGCTTATCATCGCATCCGAGATAGGGACTCCGCTGTCGGTCTATACCTATGCTAAAGATACCTGCTTCTCACATGTTCGCTTTACTACCTCTTACCTCGCCTTGTTGATGGATGATTATATTAAGAAAAGGGGGCCCCGCGAGAAGTGGCAGATGGAGTAACTAATGGAATTTAGAAGATATATTGGGATCCCTTAACTGCGTTGATCTCATTTACTATCTATAGCATTCAATCTTATACTTGATTATTATTCAAGATGGCACTATATGTTGCCCTTTGGTTGGCATCCGGAGTTGTCCTATCCCTGCTTACCTTTCTTGCTTTGAATAAACCCCAGAAGGATGTGGTTCTCAGGAGACTAGGCCTCGCAAGACACAATGCATCCCGCCCGAGCACGCCGTTGCTCGAGAAGCAACCGCTCTCGAAGCCGCTGTCATCATCAACTTCAGATCTTTACTCGACTTTACCCCCTTCTCAAAGGGGTCAACTTAGTACCATGGCGGAAAATATGTCCCCTGATCAAAAGGAAGCGCTAGGCAATCTTTCGTTCGACATGGACACATTCGCGCACTCACTGCTGGGTCTCGAAGAGGATTACCGGACTGCGGACGACTCCAAGTATTGCTTCAGCGGCTTCTCAGTGCGTGAACTCAAAGCACTAGGAGACTTCCCCGACTACTCGGTGCTCTCGGAGGTCCCTATGCCCCAACCATACTTAGAATTTGATATCGACCGCGCTAAACCGCGGCCATATCGGCCATTTAGGTGGGCATACCATCAGACCATGTGTGAGTACCTACTTGTAGCTAGCTAGCATTGTTAAACTTATGAAATAGGGGCTAATAACTGATGATAGCCTTGACGAAGCTGGAGACCGACTGGTGGATCGAGCTGGAATCAACCTACAAGACCCGGATTGCGCAGCGCAAAGAACTCTACGCGACACATGGAAAGGCCGTGCTAAATTGGCTCCCCGGCTCGGAGCTTGCATGCAAAGAGCTGATGGAGATGGTACTGCAATTCATATGCGCGCGGTATCCGCAGTACTTTGTGCTGTCGCCGGACAAGTCACAGTTAGAGAACAAGATCCTAGGCACGGTGTCCACGATTAAGGAGAAGCATCCCCTCCTTATCCTATTAGATAATGTTCCGGAAGACTTCAACATCATGCTGCGGGATCCGGAGACCGGCTACTACCACCTCCGCGCTGGTATGACATGTTCGTCCTTAGGATGGAATTTGGGAACCAAGATGGGCCTTAAGCTTCACGAGATACACCAACCAATCCCGGATTACAAGGAGAAGATGCAGTTTAGTATGGATCGGTAAGTGCCATATCCTATCTCTAGTCTCTCTCGTATTGCATATAGGTACTTTTTCCAACTTTAGCAACAATGCTTACTCTGTCTTAGTTACTTCTCCAAGATGCCCGCCAGCAAGCCCATCCAGCGCGGGTCCTGGGGGCTCGAGGTAGACCAGCCGCTCTACATGCCGCCGGGAGACCCGCACGAAGGCTACCGAGATACCCAAGACCCGGACGTATCGCGATCTCGTATCCACCTGCGCGTAGACTGGCAGACACTACGCCGGCTCCCGCTGTCGGCCGGAGTCGTATTCAACTTCAAGGCATTGTTCACACCCCTGGAAGAACTGCGGGACGAACCGTACGTCCCGAGTCTCGTATTAAAGGTCTTGAAGGAGGGCAAGGAGAATCTCATGAAGTACAAGAATACCTGGCATACGGAGCACGTGGTGATTCCGGCCCTGGAAGAATTCGAGAGAGAGCAGATCGAAAAGGGCATTATCGAGAAGGACTGGGAACCTAGGACCCTTGATGACAGCCCCTGGTTTCCTGGATGGCGGGAGAAGTGGCATGCGCAACAGGGGTTCTGAGGAGAAAAAAGAGGATTGATTCATTGCAAATAATACAAAAATGGCATTAAAGTATCGTACATCATTTTATTTACCAGTAGCCATTCAATTAGGGGAACAGATAAAATCGCATGAGTTAACTTTTTACTCTGTATTGATAAACAAGCTTAACAGCGACACTCATGTTGAAGCTAGTCTCCCCAGCCGCCTTGCCGGCTATATATATACAGTCGAATATATCCAAGTAGGTCTTAACACAGCAACGTTTTCGTCCGATACGATCTGATCTGCATTTACCAGTCCATCACTGGCGAGGTAATGTTGGTATACTAGAAGTTGAGTTCGTATATCACCATAATCCGTGAATTATACACCCCGGTTTTCCGAAGTCTATATAGATAGGTTGGACCTTATTGAGACATCGAGCAGTTTTGAGCATTTTTTCCTTAAATAATCGAGGCTTCATACCATTTCTTATTTTCTTATGTCATGTAGTACTTAGGTCCTTCGCCACCTTGGGGCACAGCCCAGTTGATGTCCTGGTGAGGCGCCTTGATATCGCATGTCTTGCAGTGGATACAGCTGCGGCAAACATTAGCACAAGAACCGACTTAGTAAATCACGGGCAAGGAACAAGGGTAGCTCGAGGTACTTACTTTTGGGCGTTAATCTGGAACCTCACACCCAGTGGCTTTGAGTCATCTTCGACGTATTCGTAGACGCCAGCAGGACAGAAGCGGTTCTCCAAGCCTTTATAAGTAGGCCACGTCTCCTGAGTATGAGCATCCCAGTCCTTAACTTGGAGATGGACGGGTTGGTCTTCCTCATGGTTCGTCCCTGTCCGCGAGACGCTCGTCAGAATGTCAAATGAAATCTTTCCATCTGGCTTAGGGTATTCGATCTTCGGATACGAATCCGCATCCTTAGTGGCGCCGTGATCGGTATGCCTATGCTTCAGGGTCCAAGGAACACGACCCTTTAGAACGAAAGCCTCTATACCAGAGTATAGAACACCACCGACAGTGCCCAAGGGGGTTTGGAACGAGGGCCGCATGTTTCGAACCTCCTTCAATTCCTTCCAGACGCTGGATTTCCGGAGAGAATCTTCGTAGTTGTACAAGAAAATTGATTCCTCGCTTCCTTCTGCCAATGCATTCCAAGCTGCATCCGCAGCTAACATACCAGTTTTCATAGCGTTGTGGGTGCCCTTGACTTGAGGTACATTGACGAAGCCAGCAGAATCGCCGATCAACGCACCTCCAGGAAATGCGACCTTAGGGATCGATTGATATCCACCCTCACTAAGGGCTCTCGCACCGTAGGATATGCATTTTCCACCCTCTAAGACGGATCTATATAGAGGGTGCTGCTTCATCTTTTGGAATTCGCCATACGGTGATAGCCAGGGATTCTTATAATCTAAGGCGACAACAAGTCCAATGCTGACCAAATTATCCCCAAAATGATACATCCATCCGCCGCCGTACGTATCCAGGGATAGGGGATAACCCATAGAATGGGTAATCTCGCCTTTGTGGAACTTCTCTGGTTGTATCTCCCAGACCTCCTTTACTCCTAGACCATAAGTTTGGTGTTGACTATCCCTTCTTAGATCGAAATTCTTGATAACTTGCTTCGTTAAACTCCCGTGGCATCCCTCTGCAAATAGAGTAACTCGGGCATGGAACTCCATGCCTCTTTCGAAGTTATCCTTGGGCTTCCCATCCCGACCTATACCCAGGTCATTTGTCGCAACACCAAGAACCGACCCATCGGGCTTGTAAAGCACCTCGGATGCAGCGAACCCAGGATAAACCTCGACGCCAAGTTCCTCAGCCCTATCCCCGAGCCACTTCGTAAATTGATTTAAACTGACGATGTAATTGCCGTGGTTGTGCATTTGCGGCGGGGCTGGTAAAGGGATTGCGCTGGTCTTGGTCAAGAATCTCATCTTATCTCCTGCCGCGGGCGTCGCATGCTCAAATCGGTTTTCATTCGCCTCATCGAGCCAGTCGGGGAATAGCTCCTTAACCGCAACCGGGTTTATAACAGCTCCAGACACGATATGCGCTCCAACTTCGCCAGCCTTTTCTAGTAATAATACCCTAAAGTCTTCATTGCCATTCTCATTGGCAAGTTGCTTTAAACGTATCGCAGCACTCAAACCAGCAGGACCTCCACCAACAATACAGACATCAACCTCGTCACTCTCCCGCTCGATGGTCTTAGGGTCGAAGTCATCCTCGGCGCTTGCGAAGTATCTGGGACGAGTAGTGCTAAATGCGCGAGAGGTCGATCGAGCAATGGGAGAATATGTCGCAGCAGTATATCGTAATCGAGGTGTAATTATGGAGGAATATGAGGCCCTAGGCACTCTTCTGGGAACCTTGGACCGAATTGACGCGGCGCCCCGCCGTGTAAGAACGTGGAGCGACAACGAAGTAGACATTGTAAAACTTGTTTGCAATATCCCTCCGTCCCCGTCTGTCGGTTTCTTATCGTCAGGTGAAAGAAAAAAGTCTTTACTTGCTATGGAGTTCGGGACGCCATTTAGGTAAATCCTCTCTAAATGTCTTGGTAAATGTCTTGGCCTAGAAAGTAATCATACTAGGTATGATGACATCAAAGCCACATGTATAAAGTTCCCATTGGAATCGTACCAGAAATTGTACCAGCTTTGCAGATGTTGACCGAGCTACCGAGGTTTGCGCTGGTCATTCATTGGATGATACCTTAGCGCGCAAGGGGGGTATTTGAAAATATTTATAATTATTATTTTAATATATAAAATATTTATAATATTATATTAACCGTATAAAATTATTACGTTTTTTAAAAATTATTATTATAATTTTTTTTATATTATAAAAATATTACATATTAATTATATATTTATTAAAATATTTATATATATTTTATTTTTATATTAAAATATAATTTTATTATTAAATTAAATATAAATATATATATAA